CTGCATTTGCAATCCTGGCAGAACCACCGGGACTGTTAGTTTTGCGTAACTCAATATAGAATACACTGCTGTCTGTTGTGACATCTTACGGACTGAATAGCCAAAGAGATCCTGATGTAGGGGGAGGGGGTCTGTGTAGCCCTGCAAAAAGACACACCCCTCCACAAAAGTAAATCCTCGCATCCAAGGCCCCTCCCCTCCATCCCCACAAATGGGTCTATGAAGAGCTTCGTGGCCCAGTATCCAGGCGAAGGAGCCGTAGGACGCCCCAGGATGCAAATGGCCCGAGCCGGTGTATGAGAAGTCCGTTCTCAGCAAGATAAAGCCCAGAGCAAAAAGAAGGTTTTTGTTGGGATGTTGATTTGGAGCATGGGTGTTCCGGAAGATCCATGCTCCGAGCATTCGAGTCTTGAACCTCCTTTTGCACTGGGATCCTGGTAGCCAGATCTGATGATATCGGTGCTGCATCCTGAGGGGCAGTTTCACACCTACGCTTCTGTTTGGAGCACCTCATATTCTCAGCATCTCAGAAACCGGCACGTGAGAGTTTTGAGGTAATCCGGCAGGGTTTCAGGGGTCGTGGTGTTCTGGATTGACCTTGTTGCGTACATCTGCCTGCCATCAGAGTCTTGAGGAATCGAGTTGTGGGCAGCGGAATGACATCGGCCTTCCTTGCTTTGTCTAGGCCGTACGTGATCCCGTGATCCCGAGCACTAAGCCTATTTATTGTGTGGACCTGAAAGATGGGAATCTTCACGTGCTGGTTTCTAACTGGGTGCATACACACGCCTATGGCGGGAGCCTTGACTTGCGCGTCTGGTGCTGTAGCACTTTGTCTGCAGCCTGCCCACTGAGACGCTCCAGGTCGGATAGACACTCGCCGTAATGAAGTGCTATATCCGAGCTTTCGAGCCACCTCCGTAAAACGAAGGAACAAGGCCCTTGCAGCAGCCCGGGCAACCAGGCCAACGAAGCCTTGTCGAAGAGGCACCTGAAGCCCCAAATGCCGTGAGCCTTTCGTCGAAGCTTCGACGCTAGGTCAGAATCCGAGCGATGGTCCGTATGACGCAGCAGACGGAAGTCGAACAGCCCCAGCTCGAATATTTTCGCTCAGATCCATAGACCCGAGCAAATGAGCATTGAACAAAGGCAGGGCAGTTGTGTGCTTTTTCCGTTCCACGTTTCATGAATCATTGAATTCGCTTGCGGCACAGCAGCTGTGGAACTCTCGACGCTCGCCCGAGCAAAACAGCTCTTTCAGGGCTGAGTTGGACGACACTGGTAGTGGTGATGGTGGTGATGCTGGTGAAGATGGTTCTCACGATGCATGCACGCGAGACCGGTAACGTTCCCTCAAGAGAACGCCCTGAAGTGAACAAAACAGGGCTTGAGCACCGTTTGCAAGCAAATGGAGCTTCTTGCCCCAAGCCACTGAGGCTACACCCCGCTTACGCATCCTCAAAACCGTAATGTTCGTGCCTAATGATGGTGTTGTACTATTTAATCCCCTCCAAGGTTGTTTTGCGCGAGGGGCTTTGGGGTCAGGTCTTTGACTAGGACTAGGAATAGTAAACCTCTGACAGTGTCTTGGGTCAGTAGTACTAGTCGTATTCGTGGCAACAACTGTGACAGTAGTTTTAGTGTTAGTGTTTTAGTGTTAGTAGCACGAGTAGAAAAGTGGCCAGCTGGGTTGAATGTCTCCAATTTTGTTTTGGTATTTTTCGGTCCAGACTATTGTATATGTCACCCTGTCTTCGATTATCACACCAGCCCCGATCAATTGTTTGGGCCATTCTCCTCTTGCGCTCGGAATTTCTGCCCCGGAAATTCTGCCCCGCGGAATGTTTTTAATTACAGCTCCAAACATAAATACAACTCCAACATGAAACTTTGAAGCCCTCGACCCCCAAACGCAGGGCGCGAAGCCCTCAGTCCGAAATTCCAAACAAGAGCTTCGAGCTCCAGGGGGTAATGGGCGTTTGCTTGGCTCTTCCGCCGGCTCTTTTACTCCCGTGCGCAGCAGCTTCAGATTGACGATGCCTTTCTTGTGGTGGCTTCATGACCAGACCCAAACCCTAAACCCTTAACGCCCGTCAAACAGCCCTAAACCCTTTTGCCTAAACCCTCAGCCCTCCCTTCGGGCCAGGGCCAGGGATCCGAGTATCCGGTACGCCTCGGCGCGAAGGCGGTGACGAAGCTTCTGGAGCTCGAGGTAAGGCAGCTGTTTGGGGATTCATTGTTTCCGAAAAAAAGTGATTCCTTTAAGGGTTCCTTAAAGGGATCGTTTAGGGTTTGGGAGTTTCCGAATACCTTAATTTGGGGTCCTGCTAATAAGGATCCTATAGGGTACTCTGTAAGCCCCATTTTCTCCCGTATAGGACTAGGGGCCTAGCGTGCTGGCATCAGATTTTACAGGGAAAATCTTGCGATTCAGGGCAGCTGCTGCAGCTGACCTGCTGGGTATTGTCAGTATCAAACATCTTTGTCTAAGCCGTTTTCTTAGTTCTACTTCTTCATGCTGCGGATGCCATTGCGATTACAGTCACTATTTTTTTTTGCTTTGTGCCCTTTGATGTGTGCCTTGGCAGGAATTACTTGATCCAGTATAGCCAACTTAGAACACCTGCCGACATAACAGCAGAACCAGCTTATAAGTAAGCCTCATATAAAGTTCGAGGCACCCAGTGGATGATTTCCCATAACATAGGCTCGGATCCATACATTCAAGCGTAGCCAGGGCTCCCCAAGTGCTTGGGTTTAGCAGGAAAACGAGTGGGCGACCTATCAAGATTCAGGATTCTTCTCTCTTGGCCCTGGTAGCTCGGCTCTCGCTGGACTCAACTAACGTTGCACGATGCTCTGCCTGCCGTTCACGTTTCGTGTGTTCGAAAGCGTCGCACTAGCCGACTGGTATAAGCGTGAATTTCCGATGGCCTGACCTGCCAGGCGAAGAAGTTGCGATCAGTGCCTGCCACAGAATGTTTGCAACGAAACTGTTCCGCGGTGGTGCGCCATTTGTCGGTGATGTGTGGGACATGTGTCGGTACGAAAAATCGCACACATTGACCATGGGTGGGGTTGGAAAGGTCGGGAATGGGTATAGGTGCTTGTGCCATCCTGTATGTATACTACAGTACTACCCGTGTAATTTTGTCAGTGCCATGCGTTGTACTCGGTGTGGTACTGTCTAACAGTACAGCATTCAGTAGATAATTCTGGGCTGTGGTAGCCAGTAGCAGTGTTTTCTTCCAGTAGTGTGGTGGCGAGGGCATGTACAAAAAGACAAGCGTAAGAAATACTGAAAAGCCTGAATGTTGCAACACGACATGAATAATTTTGCGTGTTGTCAGCGTTTTTGAATCGTCAGTAGGTGCTGCATACTTGTGATTGCATCCGTAGGAGACGTATGGAGAAACAAACTGACAGTACCAAACACAGTGATTCATCTTGATGCCTGGTAGTGTGAGCAGTACCACTGCCGTTGTTGGTAGTCCCACGGCAACAAGAACACGCTACGCGAGGGTTTCCGGGTTTCTGTGCCGGGTGGCTTTAAGCTTCGGGCTTGCGCCTCCACCGTTTTTCAGGTTTAGGATTCGGTGACTCGGTCTCACGGCAATAGCGATCAGAATCCAGCAACGCAGCTGTATCGCAGCGAAGCTGCCAAACGCGGTGTGCAATGCTCCTTGAAGCGACGACCCCCTTAAAATCTTGAAACCCTTCCTTTCTTCAACGGATTTGGCATCGTGTTGTGCGGAAGAGACCTCCCAACCCGATGCAAGCAGCTGTTGGCTCAACAGCTCACTCATGCGATCCATATCCGATACTACTAGCTGATTCATTCATCAGAAGCTTGGCTTGTACAAAGGGTCTTGTCGCAAAGGCACTGCTGGTGATTGATTGCCTGTGCTTGGGCTGTGGGTTCGATCTGTCGAGTTTCAGTGCCTGAAACAGAGAGTCGTCTGTCTATGCCACTATGCCTGCAGCGTGAGTGCCCTCGGTCAGGATACAGAACGTCCATATTACTACCGTGCGACTGGGCGTCCGAGCGGCATCTATGAAGTTGAACTGCCGTGGGGCTTCTCGGGGCCGAGAGACTGATGGGCTTGATGGAGGGTTTCAGCTGGGGTTTTCAGGTTTTGGTTGCTGCAGTTTGGGCGTGTGCCAGCCAGATTTTCCGCGACCCAGCTTTTTCAGACCCGCAGCACATAATTGAAGACAACATGGACAACGCTCTACAACCTCAAAAGCGGACAGGAAAGTCCCACGCCTTCAGGCATGCCGACAGATGGATCAGATGGCGAGAAGGACGAAGTGACGAGCTCGCCACGAAGTGACTTCGTCGCGGTGTGGCCTTCGGGTCTGTTTAATTAAGGTAGTAGCGTCGTAGCATTCATCGTCAAGTGGTGGCGCTCCGGTTGAGCAGTCATTCTTCGTATTCCTTATCCCTGAGCAAGGAAGCCTCCCCAAAACATTCGGGGGCTGCGATGGAGTGCTGGCGAAGGGGTTTGTAGCGGCTCCGATAGAGCGGGCTGCGAGGACATGCTTTGCTCACCCTTCAGGCAAACGCGGTTGTATAATACTCATGGACCACTGCAAGCGCCGCCCCTGTACATTTTTCGAAAACCCGAAGGGTGTCGCAGTGGGTTTCTTATTAGGTTTTTACAGCATTTCAATTGAGCTCCTTTTGGGTTCCCTAGGTTTTTTCGGCATGTCAAGTGGGCTTCTTAGATTTTTACAGCATTTCAGGTGGACCCCTTTTGGGTTCCCCAGGTTGTTTCGGCGTGTCAAGTGGGGTTCCGTTTGGTTGTTGCAGCATTTTCAGCGTTCCCTTTAAAGCGTATCAACTGGGCTTGCAGTGCCTAGACTTTTGCAGCATTTCTGTTGGTAGTTAAAAGGTGTTGAGAGCAGCACTTTCCTGCAGCAAGACGCAGTAGGGTAGCGGGGCGGGCTGCATTCAGAGCTCAGGTGCTTGCCGGCGAGCCGTGCTGCGAGTGACCGGCATGACTTGCTCCAATTGCTCCTCCGCCGTGGAGAGGACGGGGTCTCAATATCGACGTATCTAGGCCATGCAAGCCAATTACAGCGAAGAGACCCAGAGCCGACGTGCCTGGTCAGGGCCTTGGGTCAGCTAGAATTCGTGGAGCGCTGCCAGGCTCGGCTACTTTGCTTTGGGGCTGTGGGGGATGCGGGATGCCAGCTGGACAGCTACCCACCATGAAACTCTGGACCACAAGCGCTCCATCTTAGAGTGTTCTTGGCCATCGAAACAAGAGCAGGTCATGGAACCCCAATGTGAACCATTCAAATCCAAGCTCGGCGCCCGAAGAATCGCGAATCGCGCGGCCGCAAAGAGTTGGCCGCCTTGTTCTTTAAGCCTAGCTGGCGGTACTTGTCATGAAGGTACATGTGTCCGTGTTGTGTGTATCTGTGAACCATGCTTCAATTAATCCCAGTGTGAAATCTCAATCCGTCCCAGCCATCCGCAGCAGGTTAGTAGTGTCACAACTAAACACCTCAAGCCCCCTCATCCTGCGATGATGCTTTGCACTTGTTGCAGAAACCAACGCTCAAGCACTGAACCAGACTGCATAAAGTCTTGCTGCTATTTATACTTGGAGTTTTGCATTGCGTTACGTAGTGATCAGCTTCTTTGAGAAGCACTGTCGTGTATGGAGTTATCTTGTTATGAAGGTACGTTTTCAGCAATCTCTTTCAAGAGACAGGTGCAGTTTCGCACTTTGCTGCTGGTCGTGGGTGGACAATCCCGAGGTTGCATAATGATGACTCTTCCTTGTGATTACTGCCTTTGAGAATGTTACCCCATCGTTTCGTTGTCACAGGCTTACATATTAGATCTTTAACCTCAGATCTTTTATCTCAGACTTTATGTGTTATGTCCTCTATCTGCCGCCCCAACCCGAAGAGCCGAAGAGGTCGACTTGATCAACTCGCGGGCTTCCATCGATTACAGTGGAGGATCTGGCGCTGGGCCAGGCGTGCAAGATCTCTGCGCGCCTGAGCAGAGTTTAAGAGGTCTGAGTGCTTCAGGCCAGCTACCTAGGGGCTGGTACGCTTCTTCTGGGATCGGCAGATGAAGGTGAGCTGGTAATTGGCGCAGCATACCCGCCAGAAGCATAGTGGGGTCACTGTCGAAGTCGTCCGGAGCACAGCTTTGCGACCTCGCGGGAGATACCTCAGTTCAACTGATCAGGTCGTAGTCCTGCGAATCTGGAAGTTATGCAACAGACAGCCCAACGCCTCGTACTTAAACCAATTTGACTTTCCTTATCCTTGCCAGCGCTACCAGAATTGCCTTCATACTGGGTCGTGCACCTTGATTCAGTGCCAAAGCTGAGGACGAGGTGGAGAACATCGGCTTCGAGGCCATACAATTTTGTCGTGTTTCCATATCAGCACTGTTGTAAGCTCTCCTCAATCCCCGGCAAGCTCTTGCGGTTCGGGGGGCAGTGAAGTGCTTCAGGGCAGTGCTACACCCTGGTGAGTGAGAGCTTCTTTGACTGAAAGTCTCGTTGCTGGTGCCCTCCCCCCCTCTACCTCGCCTCGCCTGACCTCGTCGAGAGCGAGGGCCAACGAAAGCCTAATTTGCCGAATCATGTGCATGGCAACAGTAGAACATCATGCCTTCGATGTTGAGCGTCGAAGGCCTTGTCGTATGAGGCTTATCCCATGCTAGAGTTGTGTGGCAGAACCTGCAATGTGTCACCATAAGTGCTATCACCTAAGGATCTTTCTCGCACTGGATGCCAGAAACTGAGGCGCACCCCTAAATAGTCGGATCTTCATTGTAAGGAACCCAATCAAGGTACCAGTGCTCCTGTTTTCCCGCATACTTCTATCTTGTTTGAGGCGTCAGTGCTGGAAGACTTCCATGTTCTCGACTGTCACTGGGCCACGGCCGGGTTCGAGGTTTAGGATCTCAAGTCTTGGTGTCGATTTCCGGGCTTTGCGGGAAAAAGTGGGTCTTTGACGTAGGATTTTGCGAGATTCGACGTATTGATAAGCTTTGCTGGCTTTGCAGGTGTTCACTCTATTGCTAGCCTACATCACGCCGGCCATGTGTACCGTTGCTGCACCTCGTGAGTGTGCCGAGATTCGTTATCAGCTGCTCCAGCTTTCCATGTTTCCAATGCACTCTGCATATGATGGTCGTATTCGTGTAGGTTTACATATAGATGCGAGTGTACACACACATGCACACAACCTTGAGCACAGATGCGTGCACCCGAGCACACAAGTAAAGACACAGACAGAGCATGTTTGCACATCCTCACTTGTGCGAGTAGAAAAGGAGTCTAGGAGCCCCCAGCTGAAGTGAGGTGAGGCGTCGCCGGGAGGGCGGATGTCGCTGGACCTGCTGGTCTCCGGGAGCGAAGGAAAAGGCCACGGGTTTCACCATTTTCTCAGGGTTCAGGCTATTAGCTTGCCAAACACAGAGGCTTAACACTAATCTTTGGACATGTCCGTCCGATGGTTTTGTGGTTAAAGGCATTCGGTCGGGCCCCACGTGACTGGCAAATGAACGCGGCTTGACAAGCTTACGGCACAAGGGCCTGATGCAGGCTTGATGTTGATTTGGTTTCCTATGCTGTATATGTTAGCAATGCAGACTTGTCTCAGTTTGAAGGCTTTTTAGCTTGCGATCCAAGGGCCCCAGACACTGCAAACAAAGGGATTGAAACTCCTGGTTGCTCGGAGTGGGTGGACCCCTTCGAGATGAGCGGTATCTTCCGACCGCTCTCCGCAAGGTCCAAGGGAGCTGCGTAACGAGTGTGTCAAAGCCGCCGTCATAGCCCTTTCAACTCTCAACGTCAATCGATTGAACCCTGTTTTCAGCCTTAATCAAATTCCCTAAATCAAACCCATCATTGTGGTTGGAAGGTCTGGCAACCGTTGAGGTGCAGTTGACGAATTAAATATGTGATATTTAGTGATTGGACCTGTGATCGAGTTGGCGAACTGTGTCTGTTGAAAAATAATGAATAAGATGAAATAATGAAGATAGTGAAAATGATGAAAATGGTGACAAAATAGCGGAAAATAGTGACAACATCTAGGAGTGCTCAAGTTGCGGAGCCTCGAGGATTGCGCCTGATACTGCTACACTCGCCAGAAACGAAGTTTCAGAACTGATATCGGAGTGCAAAATTCCCGGGCCCGGCGACACGACGCGACTCCGCCCTGAAGTCTCGGAAGCTTTCGGAGGCGACGATGTGGCCTCCGCCACCAAGGTGCTGCTGAGGCCGTGGCTGAACCATGGCAAGTATTTCTGCAGTTGTGCCAGCAGTGGCAGACTAGACCATTCAGCCCGGTGCATTGCAGCGATACGCCCGACCTTCTGATCCAACGACCCTGCCAAGCTCGAAATCGCCACGAGGCTGCCAGGGGTCCTCGAATGCTTGCCAGGCTCGTCTTTGGGTCCTTATTCGCACTGTCGCGAGGTCTTATGCCTGGAGACTGCATCTTCACAGAGCTCCACGACGCTACGAAACCAAAGTACCTTCGAACGAATCCAAATCTCATTCCTCGAAGCCCGAAGGCGCGGAGCAACGTCTCCGCGTTGCCTTTGACCCGACGCAGGTGGGAGCTAACATTCTTCTGCGTGATCTACATGATAAGATTCAGGAAGCAAGTGTCGGAGCGCAGGAAATTTCGGGTTCCGGGTTGTTTCCGGGTCAAAGGTTCAGGCTTGGTTGTCAAGCCTCAGGAATTTTGCCACGCGATTTCTGCTCCCGTCTCCGCAAACCTTCACACCACCCCATAGCCAAAAAGCCTGCGCGCATACCCCCAGCCTGCTCGGATGCAGTATGCTAAGCCCTCAACGCTGGAAGGTCGGTGCAAGGGACTTGCTTGGAGAGCTGCAGCTCGGCATGGCCTCGCTTTGGCCTAGGCTCTTACTCCTGGAGTGCTCGCTCCAAGCAGTATCCGCACCAGGTTTGGGTGAGATTAGGCCTTGGAGTTGGCAGCAGACCCTGAGATGTAGATGAGTGCTGATCTGCTGGCTGCATCTTTGGTTCGCAAGCGTTGAAGCTAGGCTCCTCGGGCATCCTGTAAGAGGGGGGAAAATAGTGCAAGTATTTAGCCGTGTCATCATCAGTGATAGTAGCACTGATCATGGTCAGGAAGATGGCAAGAACGCTACATAGTGAACGTTGATTGTTTTGGTGACGGTAGTCGTAGCACCCACAGCAGCTAGTCCTCGTCATGAAGGTGCAGGCGAAATCAATGATGCTCTTGGCGCCCTTCCCAAAGCCCCAACTTGTCTATCCCGATGCTTGACTTCTATATGGCAACCGCTCCAGGACGGACTGTGGCTATGTTCAGTAGTAGCACTAAGGGGTGCAAGGCACGATTTTGGATCAACGCGAGCCATGCGGCACAGGCGGCTTGTGCCAAGAGGCAAACCCATTGTGGTGCTTCTCCTGCTCGGTGCCCTCGGCGCCTTGTGCCAATGGAGCACCCTGACTCTGACGCAGGTGCCCTCCTATATGCCACCAGTGGCGACTCTCCAACGTCCTGGGCCAAGGTACGACTTGGCTGGGCGACAGCCTCGGTACTACCAGGAGGAGGCGGTAAACCTTTTTTTCCAGTCTGCGAAGGCCATTCGCAAAGAGAAGGGCAGGCCCATGCGGCTCCAGCTGGCGGGAGGAACTGGCAAGACTGCGATTTACACCATGATTGCGCAGCGAACTTTGCGGAACAAGCCGTTGGCCCGAATTGTGATTCTCGTCCCCTGGAAGGCGCTGGCAGAACAAACCCATCAGAAGCTTACCGAGTGCGGGCTCAATACCTGCATAGTGGGTGATGGTGTCGCCAGGGTAGATAGATCAGCGTCTGTAGTTGCGTCTTGGCTGCTTGTTTGGAATGATGTGCTTGCCGTTGAGGTTCTGGCTTTGCAAGAAGGTTACCTTCCTGGTAAGGATGCCTTGCAAGATTGCTACAGGGTACCCCGATCGGCCAAGGTTTGCGTTTTCAACAGTGCTTGCCGTCTGCGCGGGCAAGGATTCGCTGTGAAGTTGATCGATGAAGCTCATCACACGGAGGGTGAGGGAATGTTCACCAACGTCATGCGCCATCAGGCTGCCACGTCCCACCGAGAAACCTTTTCTTGTTGTGATTCTGACTGCTAATCACGGGGAGATAAGCAGTGACTGATACAAAGCACATAATTCCAGCATAAGATAGTTCTGTAAGCGCTGGTCGCACAAAACCACAGAAAGACACACGGTGACACACGTCGAAAAACCGTGCTCGTTGCGCAAACAAGGATTAGCTGGATAGCCTAAATCCTGAAGCCGGAATCCTACAACTCCAACGTATCCCTTCTGGGATGACAACATTCAAGGGTTGCAGAGAAGATGAACACGGCCCCTGTGCACGAATACCATGCACAAGTCGAATATCATCAAGAAGTAATGGCAGCAAACGAGTAATACCAACAGACCTAAACTTCCTAAACCCTCAAAGTCCTTAGCCCCAAACCCGAAATCCTTCCTCGCCTGGATTGTGCGAGTGTGAGCGCCGAACCCTAAGCCCCTCGCCCGGATGTCCGCGGTTGACCGATGTGTGGAGCTCAGATCCGCGCAGACCTGGAGGGTGACTTCTCGGCCACCTTCCGGGCAAGCGAGGTGCGGTTTGGGATGTTGGGCTTCGGGATTGGGTTTGGGGTTCTGCTGTTTTCGGTTCTGGGTGGTGGGTTGTGAGGTGTGCGATGTGGGCCACTACTTGTCAGGTTTTGGAAAGCTTGAGAGCTTAACGGCTTTGGTATTTCGTGGGAGTTTATCTTTAATCGGGGTCTTGGTGTTGGGTACACGGTGTGGAGGGAACTCGAAAGCAGGAGGGAATATCGAGCATGAGGTTAGCGCGACCACGGATCCGCCTAAAGCCCGGGCTGGGCGAGAGAACTACCGTCCCAGATTCGGCCTCTGCAGCTATGGAACATCGCCGCCTTGCATGCAAACTGCCGTATGTACTCTTGCAACGCACCATGACCTTTGGCCACAGATTTTCCAGAAGACGTACGAACAGATGAATCATTCAGATACACATGTCTGTACGGGATTTTAATGCTGGTACTGTGTGGCTAATGATAACTAAAAATACCAATAAGCAAAACATGCGGCTGGTGATGGTGATGATGGCTTCCTTCCCTCGGTGATTGTCCTAGACAGGAAAGTGTCCGATCGGCCGTGCAAGTTTTCGCAGGGTTTGCCTCATGTCGAATGCTCCGGAAACCACAGGCTGTCTCAGGAGCAATTATTTGAGTAGTGGATGAACAGAACAGTCAGGTGGACTATAGCTACGGCTTCGACAAGGCGGTGAAGGATGGATATCTTTGCGACATGCAGAGCTTCATCCTGCCCCTGGTGGCAAGATCCAAGGAAGAGGAGTATGCAAAGCTGGCCAAAATTGTGAAGGAGAGGAAGGCGGACGGGGGCACGGCGTTGTTACCCACCCAAACAACAATGTCCACAGGAAAAGTGTCATGTAGCTAGTCTAGCACAGAGGCCCTGATTTCAGAGAGATGTTCCAGAAGGCAGAATGGTCTCCCATGCTCATCCTCTTCAACCGCATAGAGAATGCAAAAACCTTCTCCGACATCCTGAATGCGGATGACGTCCCATCTGCTGTGGTGAGCCACAAGGACCATGAGGGTTTGAGCAGGCGTCAATAGCGAGATGAGTCAAACAGAGAGAGAGGATGCCACAAGACGGCTGCAGGACGGGAGAAACCTTCGGAAGTATCACCGCCAAGCTTTCGAGGATGGAGAGCTACAGGTCCTCTGCACGGCCGGGGCCCACAGTCTTCCCGCGTGGCCCAGGGTGCAGTGGAACTTTGTGGGTGTCAGAGGGTACTATCGATGTTTGTGGAGATTCGAAGTGTGAAGTTCATGTGTGAGGAAACCTTGAGTACAAACTCCGACTCCCCGAACTCCCAAACCCTCTGACAGTCCTTTCGGGATCCTGTGGCAGCTTCCCAGAGGTGAAAGTTTTCAACGAGGGTATCGACCTTCCCATGCTCCGCTCCGTCATCATCGCCGAACGAAGGTTGGGCGCTGGGGCTCAGGCTAGAGGGCATTCCGTTCTCTGGCACTTGAGATCCGAAAGGAGTCTTCGGCAGCATTGAGTGGTGCGGAGTAGATTTGTTGCAGACGCAGAGCGTCGGAGACTGATCAAGAGTCGAAGCTACAGGTTTTGCGAAACCTTTCAGTGTCGGGTCAAACATCGCTGACATGTTTGCTGCGGACAGTACACTGCTTGCCTTGGCGAAGTGGCAGTCATATGTTATGCCCATTAACCACCAAGGGAGTGCTGTTAATATAGCTGTAGCAGCCATTCCAATAAGAACTGCCGGCTCCAGGCCGACCAGCGATATTGGCGCCTTGTCCTGGTTTCGTAAGGGTATGGGATGCTATGGGGGCATGGATAGGGGAGTCCATGTTGTCAAAGGCATATCCTGGACTCGGGTGGAGCCTGATCTTGTTTTCGCTCGCACCTCCTCTATGCGGCCATGATGTGTGAGCATGTGCAGACTGACTCAACCCAAAAACCCTCGAAGTCCCTGCTTCGCGTACCAGGCCATGCAGGAGGCAAAAAAACACCCGAACCCGGAATCCGGACGCAGAGCTGAGAGAAAGAGGCCTCTCAGAGCAATGCGCCAACCTGGGATCGAGAGCCCTCCTTTTTCTCCAGGTGTAGGGAGCATGGATCCGTCTTTTTCTTTGGACGGCGAATGAAGCCCAAAGCAGCCACGAATAGACGCGTCTGAAAATGCTGGTTATAAATCCCTGGCACAAACTTTTTCATACCTTTTCGACGTAGTAAATTCTCCATGTTAGCCAGACCAAGGCGTCGTGCAAGCAGCGATGCGGGCGCTGCGGCCACACAGAAGCAAGCCGGATAACAAGGCTGGGCCTCGGGACAGAATAGGACCCTCATAGTGCCTCAAAGTACCTTCACAGTACCCTCATGGTTCCCTCGCAGTACCTTTTAGCAAGCTGGTCGTAATGGATGCAACTATATTCTGTAATGTACAGACACGGCTATTCTTGTTCAGTGAAATCCTTCCTATGTGACAAGCTCTTTTGCTGTCTTGGGCTTGCCCCACCGACCCAAAAGTGTTGAAGATGAACCAGCTTCGAATTCACGATCACAGGACGGTGCACCTTGGATTCCTTGAACTATTGATAGTCTCGTGCCGAAGTCGTTTTCAGGTTCCTAACGTGTTCCCAACCACATTTCTATCTTCCACCGGTCTCAGCCCTTTCTCCATGATACGCTCATGACCTGTCGTGCGTGAGCCTTTTAGAAAGCTCGGGATCCCAATCTCCCAAGACACGCGGACTCAACGGCCAAGCTGCATCTCAAAACCTGAAAACCATCAGGCTCGTGGTTGAAGCCGGGGTGTTAGCATTCGGGCCAAGCGTCGACTTCAAGGAGCTGCAGGGTTACCATGTAAACTGAAATCCCAGACCTTTGCAGGTTCCTGCTGCGAAGCCCCGCACCCTACATCCCGATCGCGGGTACTGGTATCCCTAAACCAGCGGGCCTAAATCCTGAAATGCTCGAGCCAGGCGTGCGTCGTGCAGGTCGTCAACCCGGGAGTGGACTCGACGGATCATTACGTGACAAAGGTGGATACGGGTACAGTTTTGGCGGGGATGCGAGCTGCTAGCAATGTGCGTGCAATGAGATTTGCAGTACTTTTGACTCTGTGGCTCAGGATATGGGCTTTAGCACTTTAGTGTTGCAAGCTTATGGCACTTCTGGTGAAAAGGGACAAGAGGGGGGGGGGGTGGTTGGGATTTTGGGCCTTGGGGTAATGTTTCGACTGTGAAGGATTGTCAGAGGCTTCAATCCGACTATGTGAAAATCAACCGCCAGCCTCCGATACTGGAAGGCCGTTGAGGCTGTCGTCCTCACATCCACAAAGTCCCAAGTCCCAAACTCAAGATGCAGCCGTTCCAATATGTGCTGTTATAGAACGTGTATCCTTTGTAGCTTAAATAAACATATACAAACAAACACGCGCACACACACACACACACATGTATGTACACATATGCATATATGCATATACATGCACACACGCACACGCATATATGAACATGTGTATACATATATGTATACATATACATATATATATATATATACATATGCACACTTACGCAGTTTTCACATACATATACATATAATACACATACATATACATATACATATACATAGGCAGAAAGCACATACATATACATACACATACACATACACATACACATATACATATACATATACATATACATATAAATACGCTTATACACATATACCCACACACACACCTACACACATATACACACATATACATATACATAGACCTATACATATACTGAAACATATACATATACACTTATATACATATAAACACACACAGACATCAAGACATATTTGCATATGTAAATATATACTTATACACATACACATACGTATACATACACATATACATTCACAATACATGTACACATAAATATACACACACTTTTACATATGCACACACCCATACACATGTTCAGATACATATACTCACACACAAACACTTGCATATATATATATATATATATATATATGCATATACTCATACATATATTTATGGAGAGAGATATATACACATAAACATATATGTATGTATATGGTGTTCCCCATGTAATATATATATATATATAAATATGTAAAGTTTTCCTTTATCTGTTTAGCACACAAATATAGATGTAACGCGCACACACACATATGTATGTATGTATGTATGTATGTATGTATACATAGAACATAGACCCAGAAAGTGCTGAAGTTCCGTCAAAAGGTGGTTCGGGGCTCTTTGCGTCAAATCACTGGCCTCTGGCGGGGCATCGGGTCAGCGATGCGCTATGGAGATCCATCGGAGCTGGTCGAGAAGGACCCCAACTCCCTCACCCGCCTCCATCTCATGGATACGCCTCTTGGGATGAGAACTAAGCAGTGTTGCTGGAGTCGTTGTCGTCTTTGTCGTTTGTATCTAGTGAAATCCTCTTCATAATCCTGTTCCTCGTTGTTACCGCTGCTTGTGATGATCATGCACATGTTCATGGTGAAAGCTTGTGCTTCGTTGGGGCACGACGATGACCATGACGCCTCTAGCGTCTCGTATGAGCCTTCCAGTGCGAGTGCCTTAAAAAAGCATGCTCGCGTTCTTGATGACTGTCATCTGCGTCGTAGCTAGCATCTTTAAGACTGTGAGCCAAGCCGTTATGGAGCTACTCTGTCCAGCTCAGACGGAGTGCAGACGAAACGCTCAACTTTTCATCTTGTCGAAAGTGACAGGGTTCGCATCTACAAGCATCCAGTCAGGTGTCGAGACAGGCAACCCAGAGAGCTAATCACTGCCCAGGTCAGGTCAGCATTTGCCTCCGCAGAGCCGTTGCACGAGTTGGCTTTTTATCCGACATGTTTTTGCCCACAAGAGAAATCCGCCTTATGATGACTTCAGCAAACACCTTCGGCTCTTGTCATGCTCTTGCTGTCCAATCCAAACAGATGTCTTTGCCTAAGGAGAGGGGAGCCTGCGAAGGCAACGGATGCTGAATTGTGGCATCTGCTTGAGAGTCAGGGCCGGCACCCATGGCGCAGCATTCGCTTCTTGGCCTTGATTATCCTGCAGTATTGTCGCAGCAGTAGTAGTAGTAGCAGCAGTAGCAGTAGCAGCGGTAGAAGTGGCAGTAACAAGAGTAGCAGGAACAGTAGTAGTGGTGGTGGTGGTGGTAGTAGTAGTAGTAGTAGCAGCAGGTGTAGCAGTGGCTTTGCAGGAGTAGTGGTAGTAGTAGTAGTAGTAGTAGTAGTCGTAGTAGTAGTAGTAGTAGTAGTAGTAGTAGCAGTAGCAGTAGCAGTAGCAGTAGTAGCAGTAGCAGTAGCATGAGCAGTAGCAGCAGCAGCAGCATCAGCAGCAGCAGTAGCAGTAGCAGTAGCAGTAGCAGTAGCAGTAGCAGCAGTAGCAGCAGTAGCAGCAGTAGCAGCAGTAGCAGCAGTAGCAGCAGCAGCGGTAGCGGTAGCGGTAGCGGTAGCGGTAGCGGTAGCGGTAGCGGTAGCAGTAGCAGTAGCAGTAGCAGTAGCAGTAGCAGTAGCAGTAGCAGTAGCAGTAGCAGTAGCAGTAGGTGGTAGTAGCAGCAACAGTAGCAGTGACAGCAGTAGCCGTAGGCGTAGTAGTAGCAGTGGTCGTCGTGTGGTAGTGATAGTGGTGGTGGTAAGGGTAGGGGGTAGTGGTAGAGGTAGTGGCAGCGGCAGCGGCAGTGGCAGTGGTAGCGGTAGTGGTAGTGGCAGTGGCAGTGGCGGTTGTAAGTAGTGGTAATGGTAGTGGCAGTCGTAGTGGTAGTGGTAGAGGCAGTGGTAGAGGTAGAGGTAGTGGTGGTGGTAGCAGTAGTTGTGGTAGAGTTTCGCAGCAGCAGCAGTAGCAGTAGCAGTAGCATTAACAGTAGGAGTAGGAGTAGCAGTAGGGATAGGAGCAGGAGTAGGAAGTAGCAGTAGCACTAGAAGTAGGAGTGGCCCTGGCAGTAGTAGTAGCAGCAGCAGTAGCAGTAGCAGCAGTAGCAGCAGTAGCAGCAGTAGCAGCAGTAGCAGCAGTAGCAGCAGTAGCAGCAGTAGCAGCAGTAGCAGTAGTAGTCGTACTAGTAGCGGTAGTAGTGATAGTAGTGATAGTAGTGATAGTAGTAGTAGTAGTAGTAGTAGTAGTAGTAGTAGTAGTAGTAGTAGTAGTAGTAGTAGTAGTGGTAGTTGTGGTGGTAGTGGTAGTTGCAGTAGTAGTAGTAGTAGTAGTAGTAGTTGTTGTGGTGGTGGTGGTGCTGGTTTTGGTGGTGTCGGGCGGCTGGGTACCTGTTGCGCGACGTACGGACAGAAGTGGTTGTGTCCGACATTCGCAGATATGCCAAAGCTACTGCAAACGACCCCAACTGCAGGCAAATGGCTGTGGGAACTGGTTGCATGGTGGCGATATTTTGGCGATCAGCCTCGAGACATCAGCCGCTTGCAGACGGCTTGAGCTTTCGAGGGTTCCATGTTTTGAATTTCGTGGTCAGCGCCTTGTTTGGACGTTTTAGCAGAGATTTAACAGCCCGTCATTGGAGTCATCTTGCTCTGGGGTCCTTCAGGCTAGGATGTATAAGCTTCAGCATGTATGCCTTCTTGGCCGCGGCATGGCGCGGAAATTTGTTGAAGATGCAGGTTGAGGCGCCGGGAAACTGCGATTTTGCCAGACCCGTTCGATAGCGGGAGGCGGGGTTTGTAGTCCTGGATTCAGGAAGACTATAAAAGTAGCGGCTCGCAGTCTTGGATTTCGACGAAGTATGAGGGAAGGGGGGCGGGCTGGTATGAGAGGGGGGGGGGTTGTAGTCTTGGGTGGGGCGGGGGGTTGAACTTGTGTGTTGGAAAGGGCGTTTTTTTATTGTTTATTGTTTCTTGGCGGCTTAAGCGAGTGGGGACTTTGCAGTTAAAAAGTCCAACAAAAGCTGGAGGTTGAGGGGGCGAACCCCCCCCCACCTAGTCCTCCTCGCCCGGGAACCCCTTCACACTTTTCGGATTTCTAGGGTCCCGGGCTATTGAACCGGACTCGATTGTGTTGTTTGTCTTTTCGGACCAGGCCCCAAGGCCCAAGCCAACACCCAGAGCGGAGATTCGAACGCATGGCCGCTCAGGAAATGCTCCGGAAGCTCGGCCTGATGGAAATCAGTGTTTCGGGTTTAGTGTTTTATGGTGTTCAATGCTCGCCAGTAGACCACGATGACGCATTGTCACATTCGTCCCCCCATGGACAAATGTGCAACCCTGTTTGCGCTAGCATGCCACGCCCGACTGATCGATGCGAGATGGCGCTATGCTGCAAGATGTAGTTACACACAGGTACATACACCACCCAGGCGTGCATACACGCATACATATGGACGTGCACACACATGCACACATATCGTGCATGCATGCATCCACTCATCACTTGCATACATAGATACGTACATGCATCATGTGTACAGAGTGCGGCTACTGTTGCTGGCACTTCTGCTGCTGCTGTGAGTACAGAAGAAGAAGAAGTAGTTGTAGTAGTAGTAGTAGTAGTAGTAGTAGTAGTAGTAGTAGTAGTAGTGGGACGACGACGACGACGACGACTACTACTACTACTACTGCTAGGTACAGTACTACTACTACCAGTACTGCCAGTAGTACCAGCGGTAGGAGTAGTAGTAGTAGTAGTAGTAGTAGTAGCAGCAGCAGCAGCAGCAGTAGCAGTAGCAGTCGTAGTCGTCGTCGTCGTAGTAGTAGTAGTAGTAGTAGTCGTAGTCGTAGTCGTAGTCGTAGTCGTAGTCGTAGTCGTAGTCGTAGTAGTAGTAGTTGTTGTAGTAGTAGTAGTAGTAGTAATAGTATCAGTACTAGTGCTCGTACTAGTACCAGTACGAGTACTACTACTACTACTACTACTACTACTACTACTACTACCACTACTACCACTACTACTACTACTACTACTACTTCTACTAGTACTAATCGTAGTAGTCGTAGTAGTCGTAGCAGTCGTAGTAGTCGTACTAATCGTACTAGTCGTACTAGTCCTACAAGTCGTACAAGTCGTACAAGTCGTACTAGTCGCGCTAGTCGTACTTCTCGTACTTCTCCTACTTCTCGTACTTCTCGTACTAGTAGTACGAGCAGTAAAAATGCACAAGAAGCAACAATGGTTATTGTGACAGCGGGAACAAGAGACAAGTTAGAAGCGTCAGTTATGCTAACTTGGAGATTCGGCATGCATGCACAACAACCTGACCAAGAGAATGGAAGGAATCATCTCGTTAGCCGCAGCGGCAGGAGTACGAAGGATGGGCGCAATAACGGCAGTGATGGTACTTGCAATGGTCATAATTCCAACAGGGTAATGCTGCAAAGGAGCTTGTTTGTGGTGGTACTGAGACTTGCATAGGAAGCAACGGTGATGGTAGCAACAGTGTGACATACAGATAGCTATGACCATTGCCATTGCAAAGTTGTGAGGTTGACAGACATGTTAACGAAGAATGTTGACTCTGATACTCCTCCTGTCATGCCATCAGACGTACAACTGTGGCAATGATATGGAGTCGTTCCTTCGGGCTCCCAAAGCAAAGATGCCTTGGCATGATGGGAGTCTCTGCGGAAAGCTGTCTTATAGCTACAATTCAACCTTAACCTACGTAGACTGTGGTCTCACTGTGGTCTTGTGGGCCTGCGGGAGTTCAAGCATTTTGGAAAGCCCCATCGGGCAGACCAGGCCCGGGAGACGCAGCAAATTGCTCGGTGGAGGCGCGCTCGGCGCATCGTCCAGGAGCGCATCCGCTTCGGCGCTTGGGGCTGCGCTTTTCAGGGTTATCGCTCAAGTTTGGGGCCGCGAGGGTTTCTTTGACTTCGGGTCCTGGGGATTGGGTTTCTCTATCTTGGGAGACTCATTCTGTTGCAGTTATGGATCTTCTGTGGCTTCATGACCTGATTTCTTCTAGCTTTTGGACGCGTTCCGTTGTTGTGCTGATTCTTTGACTTGCCAGTCCTAGCATTCGCAGTATGATGCGCACTAGAAGTGGGGGACCATCACCATGGTAGCAAGAGCAATATGGAAATACCAGCAGGCTGTCTCGAAGATATCTAGAAGCTCGTGGTCTTGGCTTGAGACTCCCGACTCTAACGTCATAGGACGCCCCAACCCCAAATCGTTACATTGAATGTCCGGTGGCAAAGCTTGCCTAGGGCTAGGCATTGCCCATGAGAGACGGCTCTCTTATCTTTGAATGCACTTCCTTCTGAATGTGAGGAGGGTGCTTTCACTGCGGCAGAAGTCGACATGCTGCAAACCGTCGGAATGCTGAAGGAACTCGAAAAGGACATCCGATCGCTGCTGGAGCTTTAGACGAAGTCCAAGCCCGTATTCAGGCTGTTTCGAAGGCAGTCACCGGCCGGGCGCTAGTCTCGCCTGCAATCAAGAAGTGTTCTGCGCCCCGATCGGGCTTCCCTGGAGGAGTTTGAGCAGCTTGAGACCTTGCAATCTGTGCAAGTGACCGAATCAAAGTGAACAAGCCTGCGAGATGCTGGACAATGCTACAATTATTTGGATACTCAAGATTTCTAGTTCAGACTGTTTACTGTTGTTGTGCAGGCCGCAGCTTGTGACTTTATGTGCCCTGAGGGCACCGCGCATTGCAAAGTTTCATTGCGTCGCAACAGTTGCGTTGGCTCGTTCTTTCGCGCGCAAAAAAGAGAGAAGCACTCACAGCTGCGAGGGGCGACGCCCAGTCCATTGCTTCTGCGGGCAGGATTGCGAGCTGGGTTGGTTTTGCCGGCGTCAGAACTGTGGATCAAGGGCTGCCCTGGGCATTCCGCTGCAGTAAAGGCCCATAAAGGCCCAGGCCCTAAGGATGATCTGACACTTGTGCGCTGTTGCACCTGGGTCTGCGTGCTGTTTATGCACAGTACCGTCATCGTCGTCATCTTTGTCTTCGTCGTTGTGGTCGATGCTTTTGTTGATGACATTTTCATCTTTCCCCTGTCTCCAGCTTCTTGCTGGAAGTGTTTCTTGTCATTGCCAGTCCACTCTACCCCGAACTCTACTGCATAAAAGAAAAATACTAGGAAAAGTGCTACGGTATATGTTAACTATAAGCGAAACCCATGAAAGCACATCATTACGCAACCTGCTCGTGTCCAGAGAAATGTTTTGAAGCTGTGCAAGACTCGAAGTCCCGGCGACTCTTCGTAGTTTTCTGGGCAAGCGGTGACCTGCGGCTGTCTCAATTAGATATGAATATGACATCATGGTTCATGTCCTTGGGGTTCTGGCATTCATGTTTCTCGACCGCCGCATTGCTGCTTTGACTGCCCGAACTCAGGAACAGCTCGGGCTTTTCGGCGCAGCCCGACTCTGCACCCGACACCGTGTCTCAATCTAGGATTCTAGAGTCTAGAGCCCGTGGGGTCAACAGTTTGCGGGTTTCGTTGTGAATAAAAGCTTGAGTGCGTGGGGCTGAGGCCTTCTAGGGAAGCTGCCCCTGCCAGACCAAGAAGCAGAGCCTTACTGCTCGAGTCGCTTACCAACACCTAACGGCCCCAGGCCCAAGCTCCAAAATTGATTCCGGCGTCAATGCGGGAAGCTAGGAAGTCACTTGTTCTGGTATAATTCGGCTCGGGTTCTGCTCGTTGGCATGCTTGCCGTGATCCTTGTCGAAGCTGCTGCTTGTAGCATCACCAAAGTTTCTTGCTGCGGTTATGACACTACGACTCGTGTTAGATAGATCTTGCACGGATTTGTACATTCGGCCCCGTATAGCAATGCAACGGAGGAGTGCATGTGTGTCTGCAGCCCCTGATCTCAATAGCCCCCAATCCCAACAACTGGATATCGCACTCGGATCAGTAGGGGCAAGTCGCCTTGATGAGTTCGCACCCCGCAAAGGACAGTGCTAAATCCGGTGAGGTCATGCCTGGAGGACAGCCGTGAATGATAAGGCTTTCAAGCCCACAAATCCCTGGATCACAAGAGTCTAAAATCGAATATCGAAGCCCGGTGGCCTTTTCGAAAGGTTGGGCCTGAACTCGCTCGTTTGACTGCGTGCACATGAGTTCATTGGACAGGCTAGCAATTTGGCTTGGATTGTTCCTGGCCCACTGCCGAGAACCTGCATAGAATCCGTTCGAACCCTATAGGTTTCCAATATTACAGCAGCATGTCCGTGGAGGACCTGCGTAATTAGTCAAGGTTCCGAGCGTAACTGTGGCTACTATCATCGTTGTGACTCTGTTCCTGAATGTTAGTACTGCTTTCTTGCCATGCGCTTTGTTTGACGCTTCTTCCAGTTTTCGTATCGAAGCAAGGATGTCACATGTTTTTGTTTGTGTGCATGTGCAATGCTTCGTGTCATTCACATCGGGCAGACAACCATCCTTAGCCCTGCACGAGGACTAGTGACTGCTCTTACGGTGACGTTCACAATCATCGTCATCACGCAGGTCCTACCGTGCTTCGAGCATTGTGACGCCGGGAAGCAAGCGCCATCGGATCAGGTAGGTGTTTGGCGAGATACGCCTGGGTGAGGTTAGTAAGCCGCGTAGGGAATGCACAGTCAGAATGGCCGATGTGATTTGCCGTTGTCGCTTCGTGTCGTTCTCATTTTTTGTGAAGCTTCTGTTTGTAGTTACTTGTCGTTACCATCATGAGGGTAGCCCTGATGTCCCCACGATTGCAGAGCCAAGAGTTGGGGGAATCCTCTCAGGACAAGCTGCTGCACATGCACATCGTCCCCGGTCTCCCCTGTGTGACAGTGATCCTGGGCCTGCTGGCCACGCCTGTGCAGCGTCCTGGCTGCTGACCATGATGCATGGTTCTCATTTACTTTTGATCAAGCTTGCGGAATGACAAGAGGCGGGGGCGGAGGCGGAGGCGGGGACAAAGGTGGAGGAGAGGGAAGGAGCAGTGATAGTGGCAGTAGTTGCAGTGGTAGCAGTAATCGGCAGCAGAGGAAACAGCAGTAGCAGTAGTAGCAGAAGCAGAAGCCGTAGCTGTAGTCGTATTGGTGGCCGTAGAGATAGGACTCGTAGTCGACTCAAGACGCAGCAGAATACAACAAGAAGTAACTGTAAGTAACTGTCTAAGACCAGCAACCGAGCAGCTGCCATGGCAATCTGAGCACACGTGGCACCAGCGAATAAGAATGCGCAGCAGTCACATAGACACACACCACTGCAAGTTGGTGGCCAAATAGTGGCAGCAACAGGTTCACAGGGCGCCGATGACAGATCACAGTGCCAGGAGTTGAAGCAAGAGCAAAATATCAACGGCAAAGCAGTAGTAAAACATAGTTGTCGAAACTTCAGGAAAGCGTTGCCACAGCCTTCTGAGTGATAGGTATCTAGCATGAAGCACAGTGCACTGTGAACTCTTGGCTCTTGCAAAAACTGGCGCCACACTTTAGCAATGCTGGCAAAGAAGTGCCGGAAGATCTATTGGCCGGATGATGGTCATCGTCATGTTGCCAGAGTCCAGGCCTCGGGCTTGGTCTGGGCTTGAAGGCTCACGGCATGCAGTCACATTCTTCTCAGGTTGAGATTTAGGTGGATTGATGGGACGCGCTCGCATCCTGGGACGCTGTGAGGCTGTATTGCGGTCTCCGCTTCCACCTTGGTGCCTATCACGCAGTCCGGCGGCAGCCTCAGCGGGAATCATTGCAGTCTTTCGTCTGCGAGTCTTTTGGAGAGCTCACCGTGTCTACAGGCACCATATAAGTACCACAGTAGTTCATGGCTCCTCGAGCAATCTCGAATCCAGTCCGAGCTTGAATTAGGGTCGCAGCCCGCCCCGGAACTTCAAAGCCAGGAGCGGCGTTTGGGACATGAACGTGCTGATCTCGCTGGGTACAGTTCTTTGTTTTCTGTACTCTCTCATGGCATCTGATCTGCAGTTTGTATCAATCCGCTAGTCAGTCAGGCTGTATTTAGAGCTACGCCACCAACGGCAGTACTTCTTTAGGTGCACATCAGCCATGCACGAAGGCAAGTGCACGCATGACATTTTTGGATGCTAGACTCCTAGGAGCAAAGGTTGTTGTAGCCAGAACTCCGGACTTGCGGCACAGAGTTTCTCACACAACCTTTTTACGCTCACGCAAATATATACGTACCTCTGTGTATATATATATATATATATATATATCTGTGTATACCTTTATGTGTACACATACACACATACATACATACGTGCATACATAAATGTGTGCATGTATGCATGCATACATACATACATATTTATGTGTATATATATATATATACACACATATACACATACACATATCAGTTAAAGTAAACAGTGACTGTACTTCAGCAAACCGACTACAACCTGCCAGCATCTGCAATCCAAGGTTGTCGTGCTGATGATTTCAACGACGCTTCTTCCTGGAAAAAACATCGAATGCAAGGCGCCACCCCCTTCATATTTCGAGACGCCGTGCTTCGTGTGCCTCGGCACAGGAATCAGTGTTAACGGGGTTGAGTGTGTGGCTCTGGGGTCAGATTGCTCGTGCGGAGAAGTGCCACTTCCGTACTGCTGTGCTTTGCCGTAGCCAGTCCATCCATCAAGTTCAAAAGCCGCATCAACAACTAGGAGTTCAATCATGAAGAGATGGCAGAACGACCAGCAATGGCAATGCCGCACCGTCATCGTCACCACCATCACCATCACCATCATCACCATCACTGCACCTTCGCCATCAGCTGCAACAGAAACAGCAGCAGCAGAAGCAGTAGCAACATCAACAACAACGACAAACACACAAAGCGTGGACATAGGAGCAAATCAGACAGACCACCTCAAGAGATTGGAGATTTGTCAGCTTCATGTCATAGTCGTGGCAGCAGGGTTTGGGTTAAACTGTGCAAGCGGGGTGCGTGAAAGGGCCAGGCGCATCATCTCAGGTTATGCAAGTTTAGATGGAAGAAGTTTTGGGCTGAGGGGGTCTTGCGGTTACGAGTGTCAGCTCACAGGGCACAGGGCTCACCATCCTCCAATTTGGAGCGAAGCAGCTGGGGGTCCTGTACCCAGGATCACTTTCGTGCTGCTGGGCAAGCACCTGGAGGCCTGAATTAAATATCAGATCGATGCAAGCATCTCCCACGCAAGCCATCTTCGAGTCGTACAAGCCCGGGCTTCAGGGCGGGCAGAAATGTACTAGTCATGGAAAGACTTAGCCTGTGCTCCGGCAGAAGACGGAAACCTGTATCGTCTTGATGCAACTCCTCGCCCCTCCCTTGCATCACCAGCTCCAATGCGGCCGTGCGAGGCATGGGCAAAGAACGGTGCTTCCAGCGCGCTCCAGCAACTGCTGTCGTGCAGGGCTCGGAGCCATTTCTGAGTTTTCTGGAGAGTACGTGGTCTAACCTGCATCGAATAGACCAGGGGCTTCGAGGCCCAAGGATGGGTCCGGGCTGAGAAACTTGTTTTCAAACCCCAGATACATCTCAACATCGAGATTGGAAACATTGTGCCCGAAACGAGCCTGGGAGCCTTCTTCTGAGGCTGCACCCAAGCAAGGCGCACCGACTTCCAAAGGACAGCATGGAGGCCGGAGATCTGCAGCCCCTCCTGGGCTTGGCTCCCATGGCCATGGCCATCACAAGATGTGTGATGCTGGGGCGGTATGGTCAGGATAGGCCAGGCCCAGTGATTCCGGGATGTGATGGAATGACCATGGGGTGATTCCGCAAGATCTGGTGATCATGATCATGCGATGGCCTGACGAAGACGAGAGTCGGCAAATCCTGTTTGTCGTGTTGGGTTGCGTCAACGTTCTTCGCTTGGCGGTAAGTCGGTGTTCTTTATTGGGCACCTAGGAATTATCTGTTGCCTCGGGTTAGCGCAACGTCGGGTCATCCAAGGGTTCGGCAGTTCTAGATGTTGCTACAGCTGCCTATCGTTGTCCTTGAGCCGCAGAAGGCATCCGTTTCAGCCTAAACCAGCAACACCGGCCCGTGGCAACAGTGCGATATCATCTAACGGACCCTTCGTTGCGCCTATGCCAGGTGAGAGTCGCAGCCCCAAGGTGATCCTACGTTTTTCGTTAACCCTAGACGTGGCCCAGAACAGGATTAGAACCGTAAGCCCATATCCACAACCAGATAGGTCCAGGACCTACCGGTCCAACTTTTGCACCTCGGAGACACCCTGCAGTGCTTCGGCAGCAGGTTTTCAGTCTAGGTCCAGTGTGTACGACTCTCGTTGCCGGGGCCCGGAAACTTCGAACTGACGCTGTTTTGCGATGGCGGTTCTGGACCGCTTGCCATGCAGGTACTCTTATAACTTTTGTTGAGTTTTTTGCTGGCATGACTTCCGCTCCTGAAGCCAATGCACTCGGTTCCCTGCGAGGTTGAACCGAGAAGGCTAGACCTTGGTTTTGTCGTGGTGCGCATGTTTGAGAGTCATCCCTTCAGTGTTGTGACCATTGTAGGAATGTTACTGCTGCTGATGATGGTAATGTGGATTGACGGCGCCCCAAATTCGACCCAATGGGAATTGGCGGAGCCAATCGGCGAAGTTTCGGAATGTATTGCTTTAGGCTGAAAGCTGTGGAGTTGCTGGAACAAAAGCCAAGCATCAGAGACTTGGGTAAACCACAGCTGGCTAGTCCCATAATGAAACCCAGCCCACTCTGAAAGCTCAAGCTTGAGGATTTATCCGGGGGAGACGGCCAGGACCCGAGCATTGGGGTTCTGAGGGGCTTCAGGAGGGGTGTTGCATCCCCGACTAGCTCTTTCCTGCTCTGGGGCCTCGTCGGCAAGCATTCTATCTCGCATGATGAAGGTGAGGCCTGCGACGAAGGCAGAGGGATCCAAACATGTAGGCTCCAAGTTGGACCTTTGCTGTGTGAAGTGTTCGGGTGCTGGCCCATGGTTGCCGGCGGAGTTACTGGTTGGATCACGGTTTGGGGTTGAGCTCCGCCGCTCGTGGCCGAAGGGGCGTCCACTGAGAAGACCCACAGGCTTCCCGACTCTTCGGGGTTCCGGTCCTGCCGCAGCAAGGGTCTATGGAACCTTCTGCCATGCTTCACTGGCATTTCATTCTGTCTCTGTTCTGCATATTCTCACGCCTGCCAGTTACCGTCAGAATTAGCGTCTGTGGTAGTCCTTCCTAAGAGATGGACATGACTATCTATGCATCATGTGTATGATCTGCTACCTTTTGATCTTCTTAGGCACCAGCAGACGGCGTCATGACCGGCCTCGGCTATGCCGAGTTTGACGAGTCGCTGCTCACAGGTGCCGGGGGGCCCGAAACCCGAGGGTTTGCTTGGAGGTACGCCTCAAAATTCAAGGGCTTGATAGCCTGGATTTGAGGTGCTGGGCCGAAGTAGAAGATCGGAGGCCTAAGTGAGTGGCGTTGCCAGTATGGCTTCTGCACAGGCCCTGCCCCAATGCTCAACCCGAAGCGTATTACCCAGCGTCGTGGAGCCGAAATGCCATGTGGCACATGCAACATTGCAAAATTGAGCGGCACAAAGGCTGAAGGTTTTGGTTCTTCAGTATGCAGCGAGGTCGTGTCGGTCGTGAGCTGTGCTGAACATAGACTCGCCTGCTATGCGCTTTGTTGTTACCCATGTCAGCGCTAGGCTTGAAACGGAATTCTGAAACCTTTTATCCTACTGCCATGAATTGGTCCTACTGCCATCAAGTGACATCTTGACGCCGAAGCCCCTCAACATCCTCATCTGCAAGCTTACAGCCCATGCCTGTGCACAGCGTATATGTCCACGCATGATTCGATATACTTATGTGGGCAAGCCGGCTTTTCCTCGAATACCATCGCCGCAATGGCCTCGCAGTTACGTCTTCTGGCGTTGCTCTACAATGTTGTCTGTGCTGCATGCGGTGTAGCACTGGCGTACTTATTTACCAGCGTGCATCGTGCTCCCCTGCCTCGTGATGAAATTGCAGCATTGCCAACCTTCGTCCAGCATTCGTTGGGCAGGCCCGCGCTCTGGCCACAAGTGCAAATTGAGGTGTCTATGGCAGAGGAAAGCGATTTCAACTTAGAGGCGATCCACACGTTTGTCGCAGTGCTGTCAGAATCGCTACGTGGTAGAGCGCATGTGAAAATTCGTCCTGATGATTCCACCCGCACGGGTACTCCAATGCAATGTTTTGCGGCCGATGTGAAGACATGCGTAGAATCTCTAGAGATGCAGGCTTGGCGGCGTTCGCCTGGTCTTGGCAGCACGTTTGAGCTGGTACTGATTAGTTCGAACAGCGGGTCATCCGTCATCCTGGATGCTGGCAAACGGGCCTTCGTGAGGTGGCAGCAACAAGCGATCTCTATGGAGAAAATGGTGAGCGCTGTATCGCATCACCTGGAGGCCAGCTGGCTGCGCCCAGAGGCGCTAAACGAAGGCGTGGCACTCTTTGAGATCACTCCCGGCTATGTTTTCAGCTTCTTTCTCGTTGGTGACTGCCGAAGCCGAGTGTCCTGGGATTTCGACGTGCTGTCACCATTCCTTTCCCGTTTTCTTGAACGATTACAGCTGATCTTCGACATCGAGCTCAATTCACAGGTTGTTCAATGTGGCTCCTTGGGCACTCCACTTGAGCCAGCCGAACGAACGCACGGGATAGTGGATGCAACTATGCTGCAGGCTGATTTCATGCGAAGGACTGGCGAGTGGCCCGCAGACACACTTACTCGCGATGCTAGATGGCTGCCTCCACTGGTGCGACTGGTTGCATTCAAGCCTTCCGCCGCAGTGAAGTTGGCCGATGAACGAGGTCAGGCGCAACATTCCTTTGCTCTGCAAGGGTTTGGAGCAGTTGCAATAGCTGCTTGCGAGAATCAGACAGGTTCTGAAAGCACCCATCACAGTTTGACTTCATGCGAAGCAGAGACGGTGACTTCTGGCTGGATTTCTAGCCTGCGGTCTTGGCTCTCGCTACCAGCACATGAATCTGTTGCTGAAGGAGAGCTGCAAGTTGACGCTGACGGAAACCGAGTGGCATTGCATGCTGCAAGACCTCGGCTAGACGGGATTTCCGATTGGGAGTTCGAGATCCTGGCGAGAGCAGTGCATGCACAGTTCTTAAGACGAACTGTGGAGACATTGCGCAGTCTTGTCGAGTTGGTTGATTCCCTGCCGGACGTAGAGGTTCGTGAAGAAATCGCAGCCATGGCCTTCAAGGCGACCCAGAAAGCGAAGGCATCAATCGAAGCCGCGGAGAAGGGTGACTTGCTGCCTTCGCTTGTCGAGTCTCGGCAAGCTCTGCTGCTGGCGCTGACCGCCATCCATGACGATTCCGTGGTGTCGCAGCTGTACTTCTCGTGGGAATTTAAATATGCCGTGTATTTGCCAATTTCCATGCCCATTCTGGTGCCCATTCTGACTTCAACTTGGCGCCTCCTGCAATCCTGGATGACGTGCAGGAAGCGTGCAACATCCTGAGATTCAGCTGCAGCAGAGGACCGTGGATTTTGGCTATCCAGCATGGATGTGACATGTAAGACCCTTGCTGACTCTCAGGCAGCCATCTTGCTCGGACTTGCACCTCGTTTTGCAAAGCACTGTCTTTCCTTTTCGGGAGCGAGCGTAGCTGGGAATTCAAGTGCCAAAACGAAGCGCGGCATGCGTGGCAGCAAAGCATTGCGGAGTCTGGCATGAAGTGAAGCTGCTGTGTATTGTTACTTTTTGGCATACTCGAGCAAAGATCGAGGGAGCTGTTGCGGCATGTGCCCTCAGCTTACTTAGCTTACTTCTCTCACGATAGCACCTGTGCTGTGCCTTCATGCTTTGCCCTGATGCAGCTGCATTGCTACCTGGACCCTTTTCTACTTTCGAGTACTGTTTGTTTGCCCTTGTTGAGTACTTGCGACCTTGCATGCCCAGAACTGCCCTTGTTGTTGCTACTTTGATGCCTTGCCACGTTGAGTATTGGCCCTTGATTCATGCGGTGAGCGATGGATAAACAAATAAAAGTGGGGACGATGAACTTGCTGATGTGAGGCCCCCGCTGAAACCTGGGTGGTTTACAGAAAACCCCCAACACCGACCGAAAACTGACAAGTCTGGATGCCCTTTTCTCCGGGCCAGGGGAGGCCAAGCCTCTGCGCAAGCGTGCCGGCGACATGGTCATCGGTGGCTCCAGGTGAGCTTCGATTGTGACGTATAGGTTGAAGAATTGAGAGAAGGTTTCTATCGTCGGTTAAGCTTGATTGCACCAGGCAGTCTCAATTTTCCTCTCGTGCCTCCGCACGAGACTTGAGCAAGCCATGCAGGTGCCTCAACGGCCGGGCGGAGATTCGAGTGGACGCTGGGCCGGCCTTGGAGGGATGAATTTGGTTGGAGGTGCTGAGGACAAGAGTAGGCTGCGGAGCCGGTACAGCCAATTTTAAAGCCAATTTTAAGCTGATGTTTTTCCCATGGAGCCAACGGCAATTTCATGTTGCACCGGGCACTCGAGGGGGCTTCTTGCAGACATCAGGTGAAAGAAACGTGCCGTAAACAAATGCAAAGGTTGAAGAGGCATGGGTCACCAAGTCGGCTGGTGTTAAGCCCCAACGGATATGACAGGATGCTCGTGCCTCCTCAACAACCGAAGTTTGGGCACACTCTCCCAGTCAGACTGTAAAGCCTTCCGCTCTGGCTACCTCCGTTCCTGCAGGTGGACATGCCCCATATGTTGTAACTTCGCATCCATCCTGGCATGCTGCAGCATCCGAGAGCACCCAATCGAAAACTAGCAGGAACGTCTGGGAAGCAAGACCCTGCTGAGCCAAATTACCGCCCTCGTCGAGCGTGCCCAGCCGCTCGGCTGAAATGGTGACGTGATGCAAAGCTTCGCGAATATTATATTCCCGTGCTGGGACTTGTGCTCACACAAGCTGGTGGTGATAGTTGCGGGTAGAAGTAGCACCAGCAGCAGCAGCAGCGGCGGCAGCAGCAACAGCAGTAGAATCAGCGGCAGCACCAGCACCGGCAACACCAGCAGCACCAGCACCGACAACAGCAACAGGGAAGCTGCTGTGCAGCAGTAGCAGTAGATGTTTTGGCAACAACACCAGTAGCTGCGTCTCAGGCTTTAAGCCCTTCCCCACACAAGCGCATCATAATTCATCATGCAAACGCCCAAGCCATGACGCCCTCCAGAACTGAGCAAAAAAAGCTGCCAAGGCTGAATCGCGCTCCGGTACAGCACGTGGCAGATGCCGTGGCCCACCGCTTCGTGCCGGCAGTTGTCCGGGACCTAGAGCGTATGATGCCAGATCGGAGTACGTCTGAGCACGAAACTAGCAACACTAGCTGCAGTTGAATAAGCCCAAAGGAGAGAAGAACACGAAGAGAAGAAGAACCATCACATATCAGAACACAGGAGGTTTTTTTTGGTCTCGGGCTTTTGGGCTGTTCCGAGGAGTCGGTTGCCTCCGTGTGTGCTTGAGTTCTGGCCCAAGGTGGCGCTGAGCGTCCTGACGTGGGTCGCATGGTATGTGCTGGTCTACGTTTCAAAGGCACCAGGAATCTATCCGAGCTGTTGGCTGCGTTTATCGCTTCGGCTTTCCCTCCTTCCCTCTCCTGCTATCCAGCGATGTCGGATCCGAAATCCTGAAAGTATGAACCACGGCATCAATGCTTCGGGTTTCTCGGGTCCCGCCCTTTCAGACCGTTACACTCGCCGACATCACCCGGAATCGCGAAAGCTCGCAGCCGGAGCTGGACAAGGCATGAGACGAAAAGGGTCATTCTCATAGGATTCTCTTTCACGGGAGTGCTTCCTCGCCTTAGTCGTGTTGCGTCTCAGAGCTTTCAGGATGAGCCTCACAGTCAACGCCACGGGATGCTGTGTAGGGATGAAGACTCGGCGATTGAGTGGGCGTGTCAAGGCAGAACGAAGAACCCTCTGCTTATGCTGCTGGCATCGGGCTTGAGGATGACTAAGTAAAAGGTCGCAAGTCTTCCGCCCGTGGGTCAGCACGGGTCCTTGGGTCAGATGGCGGTGTGGCGCTGAGGTTTACTTTCGGAGCCTGCAATAGCAGCCGAATCGAGGACCCTGAGCGTTCCTTCGTAAAAAAATAGATTGCGGTCCCTGGCCCGAATTCCAAGCCCGGACAGCGGAGAAAGCTAGCGGCTAGCGTAAAGAGTATGTTCATGGTCGGCTTCATCCTGTGTAAGAAGGGGCAGATGGCCTGGCCTTCCAGTCCGGGCACAGCCGCAGTCCGACAGGCATTCTTCGTGCTGGAACACGGCCTCAACGTGTTGCTGGTGGCCTGCCCCTGTGCCCTTGGAGCCTTGGCCGCGGGCTGGAATAGGACAACACCGGCAACTGATGATTTCGTAAGAACTTGCAGATGCACAGATTGGAAGTGTTTCCACGTTGACGGTTAGGAGCCCTCTGTAGCCCGTACTGTACTGTGTCACTTTGCCATGCTACTCAATTGGCATATTTGAAATTGGAGTGCTCGGTGGGTAGAAACTCTGGAATGAGAATCTTGAGATCAAATGTGGACTTAGGTTGTCCCGGTGGTTGCTGGTTACATACTCATGTCACAGAAGTAACCATGGGGATCTTCGGCATCCAGGCGGGCATGTACAAGTCTGTGCCAAAAAAAGATATGGCCGTAATTGTTGAACAATTGTTGTGTGCCAGCGCCTTTGCAATATTCCTTGCCATGGCCGGTCCTGCTTTGGATTCATTCGTTGTTGTTGCTGCTGCACTGCTGCGCTGGTGCCGCGGCTGTCGCTGTGGTCGTGGTTGTACAGACAGCCGTTTCACCATAATCTTCCGGCTCCTCCGGTTTCCACTTGAAACCAGCAAAACATGATTCCTGTCTTGACCTTGGCTCTTACTCTTGCCGTCTTGGTTTCTATCTGCTGTCTAAAACTGCCAGTTGGTATCATGCTAAAGTACGCTGTTCTTCCTACGGCCGCTGCTCCGGTCGTTCTGTTGAGCTTCTATGGTTGCCGGGTTGAGAGGTCGAGGTCTTAAAGAGAGAAAGAGCCTCGCACACGATGGCCCAAGAAGCTTGTCACAACTCTTTCGCTTGCAGCTCTATGGCTCCGTGAAGACTCTATAACGTGCTTTTCGGCACTTACGTTGATTTCTTGAGGACAACCCCAACCTTGGTCTTGAGCACCAAGATGCTCACCCAGGTCTTGCCACCCCTACGGCAGTCATGGCCGCGACTGGGGTGGCGGCGAAGTTTGGGATTCTAGCCGCCCGGTTGAAGCCAGGATCTGCCTCTATGGCATGCTAGATGTCTGTATTTGGGGATGTGTCTCAGGTCGACGCAGGGGCTGCGCCATATGCCTCGAGCAGGAAGCTCTCATCCCCAAGCTTGGCCCAAAAAACCCTCTGATGGTACTTCGACCAGTTGGAAAGCGTCAGCCCTTCGGGACAGTCGTACAGTATGAGAGCCGTCGCAACAAAATTGGCCTGCCTCATTCACTGCAGCAGAGCTGGTCATGTTTCAATCCGATTCCCAGCTGATGCGGAGTAGAGCCTGGGGGTTCAAAAGAGCTGTCTTCAGGTGTTGATGTTCCAGCATAATGCAGACAGGATGAATGTGAAAAGGTTCCTTCGCCTAACTAGCAGTCTACAGGAAAGAGATAAAGTACTATCCATCAGGACTACACTTGCACGTGATAGAGAGGCACGGTATGGATTCTCGCTCGTCTACTCACTTTCCGGCTCAGTCTTAACTTTGTCTGACTTTAGGCTCTATCCCAAATTCGTGGATGTCACCATAAGAAGGAAACCATACGTATTACTTCCTATAGTTGCTTATTATGATAGCTTAATCTTGGTTCCTTAAACAAGAACCCTGGACCGCCTCAGCTGCCAAGCTTCTCAAGGTTCGATCCGGAGCAGTCCCTCTGGAGCTGGGCTCCAAGATTCAGCGCATGGTGCTGGACTGCTGGGGTCTTGCTTCAGTGTTCAAGCTGAAGGCTTAAGGCTTGACCGCTGCAGTTCCGCTTTCCGGCAGAACTCTTTGGGGTCAGCAAGGTTTCCTAGTTGGCCTAGGAGGAGGAAGTCGGACTTGCCGGCACCTGACCCTCAGGTACTTGGGTTTTGGGTCGTAGCAAGGTATGTTAGTTCCTCAAACAGTCTTGCGGACTTGATGCGCACTTTGCAGTGGTCGTGTCAGCTTTGCCGCACGTCGTTTCCGAAGTTCCAAATGTTCCATGGAATGACGACTGTTTTTAGTAAAAGTCAAAAAAGAAAAATAAGGTAGTGGAGCAAGGTTTGCAGAAGACCCTTATTATGGAATTGCATCAAAGCCTCGCACATCTTTTTGGCTGTGCAGACTGCGAGCTCGGCACCAAAACCAGTGTACCCGGAGGACAAGACGGGCACACTGACGACGGGCAAACCGAAGGCGGCTGCCTCGGCTGTGCTCTGCCCATGGACTCAAGAGGACTGCGGGCTTGTGATTTCTGCTGGAGGGATATTGTGTTGAGACAGGAGCGGAGGCGTAGCATGGCGCGAGTGTATGAAGCAGCGGACAGACTGAATCAAACGTCATCGGCATGCCGAAGTGTACGCAGCAGCCCTCGAACCAGCATGACGGAGCCTCTTAGTGCAGTCTCACTTTGCAGACGCGAACTCATATGCCTCGCCTGGATTGTCCGAGTGTGAGCGCCGAACCAGCATGGCCAGCTCACTCCCGTTTCTCTGAGCTTGGAAAACATATTCGGTATCTTTTGCGAAGGTGTGTGAGTTTCCCAAAGCTTCATGCCCAGAAGTCGTGACTGACATCAGTGACCTAAAACCTGCCTGGTGCAGTGGACTGCCTCAATTGGCTTGGCTGTGAGAGTTGAAACCCGAAACCCAATATGCTAAAAAACCTGCATCGAGCCCCAAGACCGGAAGCCCAAGCCCAGGAACTGCGCTTCAGTACAACCTTCATGCAGCTTTGCAATGCTAGAATCCCCGCTTACAGCCTTGTAGCACCCTGAACCCTTTAACCTTGTCGCACAACCCGGACGTTCTAAAATGCCCTAAATCCCGCTGTCAAAACCCTGCAGATCAAGGCTTCTTTGATCGTCCTTGCTAGGTAGGAGGGAAAAAAGCCTCTTTGACCGCCAGGAGCAGAGCTGGGACCGACTGCTGAGCAGCTTCCGAGAAGCCGAGGAGCTCTCGTCCCGGCGCAAGGTTTCGCAGTCGGCAGTTGAGGGTAAATACGATAGAAGCAGAACTAGAGCTTGGGTGTCCTGAAAGCGATTGACGAACCGAAGATATATTTATGTGTGATATTGTCACTTTTGTTGGGCGTTTTTACGTCTTGGTTGAACTGGGTTGTTTTGAGTTCAGTTTTGTGGCTGTGTGACCGGGAGTAGAGTGTATGGTTTGGGCAGGCGTCAGCACAGTTTTCCATGGTTCCGATGTCGAGTCTAGTGTTCGATTCGCACATGACAAAGCGCGAAGCGCATGTGGGCTCGTACGTCGCAGCAAAGCAAGCCGATACCCGTGATACTGCGACAGTGGCCTTGCAGCTTTTCTTAACCTCTCTGTCTTTCCGTGCCTGCGGGGGTAGCGAAAGACTTGTGCAAGTGCTTCTCAAGTTTGGATCTTCCAGGCCCAATCCAAGACGGGCAGAAGCCAGTGCAGAAGCCCTTGAGGTGGCCTTTGCTGTGGACATGACGACCACGTGGGTGGCCGACGCTTGGAATGAACACATCATCCATCTTAGTAACAGAACGGTCTTGGTAAGTCAGGTGGCGTTGGTCAGCAAAGGTACCCTGGTAGTATCATGGTAGACAGAATCTGTAAACCCTCCATGCCCTGAGTCCACATCCCTGATCCTATGAATCGGGCAGCGCTGCGAAGCTCAGGATGCGGAGTCCAAGCCGAAGCACAGCACTCAGCCCAAAATGCAGCGACAGCTTTGGGAACTCGCGCCTTATTATCAGCCCTTTACTCCTGATTTCTAGCAGAATAACGATCGATTCTCGGTGGCGCTTGAATCTCGGCCTCTGCAGGCCTTGGGACGTAGGGATTGAGCTCAGACTCTTCTGGGCTTGCTTTTGTGAGTTTAGTAGGCAAGGTAGTACTGCCCAGTCTTTGCTGCCGGGCGCCGGAGAAGACCCGATGCAAAACGAGCTTGAAGTAAACATCCTTGAACCCTGAAGGGGTGCAGGATTCTTGCATGCCTCCCTGCCAAAGAAGCTTCAAGGCCACTTTACGCCCAAAGTCAACGTTAATCCCGTTCAGAACCCCTTGCAGTATGTATGTATGCATGTATGTATGCATGTACGTATGCATGTATGTATGTATGTATATGTACGTATATGTACGTATATTTATGCATATGTATGTATATGTATGCATATGTATGCATGTTTATAATTTCTAACTGTACAAAAATCTGTATATCCGTTTATATCTACATATCTATACATATATATATATATATACATATCTATATATATATATATATATATATATATATGTGCATTGGAATAGGCATCTACACGCATATCGAAATCGAGACCTATATCCACATCCATATCTGTATCTATTCCTACATGTATACCTGTAACTTTACTTACATCTACGCATCTTTATCTACAGCTATATCTAAGTCTTAGTCTGAGTATCTCTATATCTATATCAAAGCATTCAAGGTTAACAACCCGAGCCTCGAGGTCGCCTGATTCCGCGCCTGGGTTCAAGGTGTCGATGCCAGGACGTCTCACAGGGCCTACAAGACATATGAAGCAGAATAAGCACCTGCAGAATGCATGATATACAACGTAGTGAGTACCATAAAGTTATTCAGGTTAAGCTAGTATATGACATGTCGTAGCCATCAGACCCCCGGTGTCACAACCTCTGTGCTCCCTGCGGTGCGACATTGTCAGCTGGGCGGGTGGGAAAAACAACCTCTGTGAGCTGTCGCTGCCTCCCGAAAGCTATGAACGGTCAAAGCCCCATGAACCCAACCCCAAGCCCGGTGAGCTTTGAACCTCATATGGACCCCCAAAACCCCACGCTGCCGAAACCAGATGGAGCCCTCAATCCGAATGGAAGCCGATGGCACATACCCATAACGAAAAGTTCCTAAATAGTGCTACAAGCATAGTCTAGTATAGTAGCAATCCACCCGTAGTGAAAGTTTCACATATATTTGTAGTATAGTATAGTAGTAGCATACCCGTCATGTTCCTATATACTTGTAGTATACCAGTCATATACCCGTAATGAAGATCAACTTCCTATATACGTGTATAGCAGCAATAAGTATACCCACAATAAAATACCCCAATACTTTTGGTATAGTAGACATCATATACCCGTACTGAAAAGTGCTTATCTGCAAATGTACTATAACATCTCCCCAAGACGAGCAGGATCTCGGTCAGTGTCGGAGAAGGAGGATTTGCGCTCAGAGGCGGTTTCTACGGGCTTTTGCAGGGAATTTACACGGGCATTTTGAGAGGACCTGTTACAGCTTCAAAAAGATTTATTAGAGTTAAGGCTTGTCGTGTACGGTTGAATTGACTTGCAGGGCACAAAGAACAGGCCCCGGCTCAAGTCGCATACTCGCTTCCTACCTATCTTTTGTGCGCGTTTATCTGTTGTCTGTCTGCGTGTTTGTGACTTTGCACAAGCCCTTCAACTAGAAATGCAGAATGCGCCCCCCACCTTTCACAGCCACCATGTCCTTAACCAGATTCCTTGGTAAAAGGCTCTTAACACAAGACTCTCGCCTGTGGTGTCCGAGATGTGAGACGGAGAGTTCAAGTAAAAACTTCAAAGCGGCACTGAACCCGAAATGCTTTTAGCCTGCCTTGTGCGAGTGTGAGCGTCGAAATGCTTTTAGCCTGTGCCCTGCATCGTACCAGCATGCTACCCCAGGTGGTAGGGCTGAAAGCTAGACCTGTGCACTCACACGCCACGCCCGGATGTCCGAGCTGTGAGAGTCGAATGTCCTCGTCTGGAGTGCCCGAGCTGCGAGAGCTAAAACCCCTTGACCTTCTAAAACCGGGCACAAAGGCTTTTGAAGAAGACAACTTGACAATTTTCCAACATCTGCAGGCGGAGTCTGCGCTTTGGTGGGCTCTCGGCTCGGCGGAAAGTTCGAGCCCCCCGAGCAGAAGAGTTAAGGATGTAGTTTGTGATATTCAGATGCACTCAATGTCAAAAGCTATGCGGGAGAAGCGTGGGGGCATTTCGGTAGTTTGGAGCCTTGCGTGGTTCAGCCGGGCATTCTCATAGAAAGCATGCAGGATCTGTCAAAGTTGTCGAGGTTCCGAGGGAGTATGCATCTTTCAAGGTATTAAATTAAGCTGTTGGTTTGGCAGGGATAGAGGTGGTGGTTGTGGGGCTCATGGCCGGGAGTAAGTCGCCTGGCAGTGGAACTGGGTATTAGGAGCTGGAAATCAGTTGCCTTGAGCAGTTGGGATAAGAAATATCTCTCGCCACCATCAGACAACCATGGAGGCTAGAAGTTTCAGGTCGGCGACAGCAGCTACGCGCAAAATGTTGCAGGGTCATGGGTCCGCTACACCTCTCGACCAACTTAGGCGAGCACCTCATTGCCAAGGAGTGCCCCGGCGGAGTTTTGCACGGCTGATGGCTGGTGGCCCGGATGAGTGCTCGCTTTCCGTGACGCCACGCCCCATCAAGATGCGTTTGCATGCCTGCCACGCCAACTCCACCCGGCAGCAGAATTTTGTATCATGCCTACGTGGATAACCGGAAGCACATAGCTCCGTCGTGCTACATGCCGGCCACGAGTTTGCTACAGGAAGAAGGAAGAACAACGCGAGAACACTGCAATGATGATGGCGATGCTATTATGATTGTGATTCTTCTTCTTGTTTTGTCATTGTCCTTGTCAATGTTGTTCTTGCGACCATTATTTCTATAGTCATGAGTCCTACTGTACGTATTCTATCGTATTCTTAGTATTCTTCGTCTTATTTCTATTCGTATTTATTACTACTGTTATTACTAAATGTTTACGTGGTGATTAGTATTGTTATTGGTTTCATTTTATTACAACTATTTGATTACTGGTGTTATTCTTAGTGTTGTGCGTCTTTATTATTGTTATTATTGTTGTTTCTATTGTTCTATTTTATATTATCTTCAATACCAGTACTGTCATGGTTTGTGTTATTGTTATTATTGCTATGGCCATCATTATCATCATTATTGTTGTTACCATCCTGTGTTCTTCTTTCAGCATTATCAATCTCAGTATCATTATAGTTTCTACTAGTAATGTTATTGCTACCTTTGTTTGTATTTGCTGCAGCTACTGCCGCAGCGCTGCAGCTGCTGCTGCGAATGCTGCCGCTACTGCATGATTTCCCCGACAGTGCAGACACGAGATTGCAAGTTTCGCAGAACTCTGCCATTCATGCACAGTCGCCATCGAGGCTTGTCGATGTTGCCGCTCAGAAGGCACGACGACCGCTGTCCAAACCGGCAAGTTTCGAGAGCATGATCCTCGGCCAATTAAGTGCAGCTTAAGCCTATGTCAAGGGCCTATGTCCGCCTATGTCCAATGTGACTTTCAGGCCGCGCTCGAGTTTGAAGGCGGTTGCCGTTGCCTACGACCTTCGTGAGGGGGTGTATTTTGTATGTGCCAAGACTTCGGAACCTTGACCCGAAAACGGTGGCCGTTGCAACCGGGATGCCTGGACTTTGGTGTCGCCATCCATCGGGCCACACACAAGCCCCAAAGCCGAAACCCTCTTCCAACCATGGTCAGGACCGGTGTTGGTTTGACTTGTGACTTGGAGGGCCTCTGTGTGGAAGTGGCGGCAGCACACCATTTACTCAAGCGATGTTGCTTGGCGATAAGGGGAGAAGATAGGGACGTGGAACATAGCACCTTCAACGTTCAACATGCCTCCAGATCCCGAATGATCAGACCCTTGTATTGCCAACGTTGCGGTACTGAAAGGTCTTCGAGAGTTGCAGACCCAGAGCCTGAAGTCTGCAGTGCGATGTGAGGTTCACAGACAATGATTATCCGCACCTTCGCTCCAAGCAAACTCTAAGAGTAAGCGAGGCAAGAGACCTTCCGAGATCCTGTCTGCCTGGGTTGAGGCGGGGTCGTAAGAGCTCGTAGGGTTCGGACGTTGGTGCCATTCGGGACTCCGAGGGATCTGCGGAACTTGCCAGGCGCAGCTTCTGGAGGGCGCCACAGTGGTGGCCGTGGCCGTGGACGATGTCGTCCTCGGTGTCGTAGCCCTGCGCGATGCCGTGGTTGCTTGGCAGCAAGGCTCCAGGTGTTGTTACCGCCTTCGCCTACTTATAACATGCTGGAGCTTCATGTAAGCTGCAAATTCTAAGTCTTTCATGCAGCTTCGAAGTTTGCAGATCCTATGGAGGGTTTGCCTGTGGATCCAGACCAAGGGCGCTAGGTTGCCTTTGTATTCTGAGCTCGGGGTTGACTGCTTATGCTTCCGCTGGCCCCGCTTTCCATGTAAGTCGTTAGAGTCGCGGCTCATCGACAACAAGAAGTGTTGATCGGACGGTGTCCGGGCTTTGTAAAATCAGCAAGTCACCCAACTGCAGTTCCGATTGGGGACACCAGGCCGAATGTTGCCACCCTGAGGGACAATGTCTTAAGCGGTCAGTTTCAGGGCTGAAGCCTCATTAATCACTCGCCCTGTAGCCTTAACCGTGAGCTTTGGTGGCCGTGGTGACTTGGCGGTTTCATGCCAGGTATCTAGCTGAGTCTAGCTGGCTTACCAACGCTTCGTTTTGATAAAACCGAGAGCCCGGCAGCGTTAAATTCTAAACTAAGCTTTCGAACGATTCCCCCACTATACTTTCACAAATGTGGCTTAAGCTGCGGTGCTGGTGCACTGTGTTGTCTCAGTCACCTTAGCCGTGCCGACTTGATGAGAAGAAACCTTGAAGCTTTCTCAACCTTCTTGGCCAGACTGGTTTTCAGATTGGTTTAGATTTTTGAAAGGGGGGCACATGTATTCTGGGGTTCCTAGACTATACCACTGCTGGAGTTCACGACGATAAACCTTAAGCGCCGGTTACCCTGTTCGCCAAGCTGTGACAGTGGAAGCTTTTGTTGCTCTTTCATTCTGAAGTCGAGGCTCCAGGCGCGCGGATGTGTGTTGCACACTTGGAGATGTTGGGAGTGGAGGCCCGAAGCAGAAGGATTCTCTGGTAGCCCACGTGTTTCGTTGACGGTCTGATCGTATTTTGGGATCGTATCTTGGGTTTCTATACATAAGAAATGCGCAGATAAAGAACAGGAAGATAAGCATCGGGTGAATAGACATATGCGTAACCTGCGTGCAGCGTGTCGTTGCTTGGTGCTCTTTGCCTGCTCGATAGTTTGTGTTTTCAGTTTGCTTAAAAGTATAAGCACATAGTACACAACACAAGCGGCTAAATGTATCTTTATGCATATTTGTAGATATGTATGTACGTTGCACACACGTACACAAGTTTGTGCCTCGTAGCATCCCATTGGAGGCCATATGCAGTTGGCTTGGCCAACAGGAAGCGGCACTCCACCCTTCATCTCAACAGCTTACATCCCCATTCCTGGAACTACCTGAAGGGCTGTTCCAAGGTACCGTGGCCCCGTAAAAAGGTTGCTACCCTTGAACTCCGACCGCAGGAGGATCTCCGCATGGCAGTTAGCAGGTGTGCATCTTGTGACGCCCAAGCCCTCCCCGCCGAAACATGTAAAGGAAGTTTTCAAATTCCAGATGCAAGAGACTCCCCGGACAGCGGGATCCAACCAACGCGGGAGTTGACTTGAGTGCTTGCTTTCGGTGGACTTCCGTCCTCTACCTTGCCCTGCTTCAAAATAAGATACAAACGAGAATTACGACGGGAAGCCCTCAACTGCGACTCCGTGAGGTCTGGATGTGCACTGGAGATCACCGGAAGTCCGCCGAGGTGGCACGCATACACCTCTGACATCATACTTGTGATTACATGCGTGTACTTATATAACAAAAAATCTCATGTTAAACATACATATACGTATGTATATACATATAAACTTGCATATAGATGTGCAAAACTATACATATGTAGATATACCTATAGATACACATATACACATACGTACATACATACATGCATACAGAACATTACATTCAATTGCATTGCATGCCTTAGCATACCTTACATGCATACATACATTGCATACATACATACATACATACATGTATACATGTATACATGTGTGTGCATATGCATGTATATAAAACATGCATGTATGCACAAACACACACACACAAACACACACACACACACACACACACACACACACACACACACACACACACACACACACACACACACACACACACACACACACACACACACACACACACACACACACACACACACACACACACACACACACACACACACACACACACACACACACACACACACACACACACACACACACACACACACACACACACACACACACACACACACACACACACACACACACACACACACACACACACACACACACACACACACACACACACACACACACACACACACACACACACACACACACACACACACACACACACACACACACACACACACACATATATATATGCATATCATAATGAACATCTGCACACAGGCACAAACAAGCACTTTTGTGTAAACACATGCAACGCCGGTTTCTCGGCTTTTGGATTCGAAGCTGCGCTCGAACGCTGCTTTTTCGAATGCACGTAATGATAGAGGGGGCAGCGGCCTGCACCTGGGAGCTAGACCGATTCGACACTGCAAGAGTAGCAGAGTCTGGACCTGTGTTTAAGGAAGTCTTGTTGCGCCTTTTTCGTTTTTTTTTTGGATGGTGTTGTCTCGATACCAGCTGGCGAGTCCAAACTCAAGCTCAGTGGACAGTTCTGGGTGTAGGTCTTTAGCATTCACACTCCCGAATGTCAGTTAACAAAGGCGATTATCCAAAGCTTCCCGACCCAAACCTTCCATTCCGAGTTGTTCTGAACTTCCCTGGAAGGTCGTGGCCCGGGAGTGCGGCATCCAGCAGTCACGGGTGGCTGCTCAGAGCAGCGCTGAGCGCAAAATCCCAGCCGACTAATTTTAGTGACATGTCCACAGCCTTGCAGGGAGCTTTCCTGGACCTAACGATGCGGGAGGTAAGGCACCACACATCTGACAGTTTGCCAAGCAACACAAGCACTTGAACATCGGCATGTTAATTCTTCTGTGTCTCGATCCTCAAGAGTCGGTTCTTCGGAGTGTGAAGCTAGTTTTAAGGTTGAGAGTTCATGTTTCTATTTCCCCAACACGACGCCTCTTCAAACAGGCCGACCCCGGCCCGTGACTCAAAAATAAGACGAAAACGGTGCGGTCAGTCGCCAGTGGGGATACTTACCGCCACCACCCACTGCCCGCCGCCACCGCCGCCGCCACCGCCACCGCTAGTACTAATGCCATTACTTCTGCGGCACTACTACGGCGACGACGGCGACTACAACTGGTACTGCTGCTGCTACTACGACTGCTGCTACTGCTACTACTGCTGCTCCTACTACCACTACTACTTCTACTTCTACTTCTACTTCTACTTCTACTTCTACTTCTACTTCTACTACTACTACTACTACTACTGCTACTACTACTACTACTGCTACTACTACTGCTACTACTGCTACTACTGCTACTACTACACCAAAACTGCTACTACTACTGCTACTACTACTGCTGCTCCTGCTGCTACTACTACTACTAGCACTACTACTACTACTACTACTACTACTACTACTCCTACTTCTCCTACTCCTACTGCTACTGCTACTGCTACTGCTACTAGGACAACTCCTACGCCCAGACTGCAACTACGACTACGACCCCTGCGATTACTACTTCACCACATGTGCAAGAGTCAGACAGACAAGCATTGAATGGCCCTCGAAACTGTGAAATTCGGGCTCGCCTACCACCGTCTTCGAAGGATGCCACACATTCAGAGCCAGTAATCAGCAAAATCTTAAACGCATGCGAAGCTACACGAGGCAGCGCAAGCCTGATTTGTAAACATAACGGCAAGCCCTGGCAATGTTGGATGCAAACCAGAACTTGCGACTCAGCCGAACCCTTGCCAGCGCAACCGAGGTTGCCCAAGCATTGCCAGCAGACAAAGTCCGGGTCGTGAAGTACTTGCAGGGCGGCGACACTGACCTCCCAGGACGCGCTGGGCTGAAGTGGGCACATCCTGAAATGAAACCGCAGTCCACGAGCTGCAACGGCAGAGAGAGAGAGAGAGAGTGATGTTGTTGCTTCGTTGTTTCACTCTCCTTTTCGTGGGTGTAAACGTAGATTCAACTCCAAAATGGGGGTGCACCGGAGCATAGCAGGAGGGGAAAGAAACCCTCTCCTCAGGCCCTTGCAGAGAAAGAAGCTGCTGAGAAGCCACCCACCCTTCTACAATATTCGTTGCACAAGCGCAGTGGACTGGGTTGCAGAGTGGATTCTGTACGTTATGTTCGTCGTCAGCGCCAGAACCTTGGCGTCATGTACGCATTGGTGGCAGCAGTAGCATTCGAGCGCTTGAGCCGCACAGACATCCACATAAAGTGGGCAAGCTGCAGCTTCGATGCGGATTCTTTGTTTTCCTTACGCAAGGCAAGCAGGCGTCGCCTCAGCGAAGTGTGGCCACGGTGGCCATGGTCGGGGATGGTGCCTGGACAGCGGACTGTTGTGCCAGCGTCAATGGTTGTTGGTCTTTCTTGCCAGGATTCGCCCGAATGATGCATGTGATGAGCAATTTGCCCCAGAGTTTCTGGATGTACCCCTGCTACAGGATTTGGCTGGTGAACACAGGTTCTCGCGATGGCCTGGAGTGTTCAGATCGAGTCACCTGAAAAGCACCTCGACCCGGTAGATTCGATCTCAGGCATCAACGATGCCCCGGCCCTGGCTGCAGCTGATTTGGGTGTTGCCATCGGCGCCGGGCAGAATGCACCTTATCCTAATGTAAGTTTCAGCACCTTATAATATTATAGTACTGTTGCCCAAGCATAAAGAGTGCCAAGAGATGTCGGGAGGCGATGAATTGTCGTCATGGGGCGCCTTGAGCACTCATGGGACACCAAACCCGAGAGAAAACCTACCCTCCTTCCGGCATGATTACTTCTACGATGAAGCTATGGCATGGTCTTACAAGCTTGAGCTTGACGGGAGAGAGACAATATATACTTACGACAGCGCATGCGAGATCTTCTGGCATGTTTGACCGTCGTTACAATCCGGCCCGAGTGTGGCCAAAAGCCGTGGCGAAGTGTCCAAACTGAGGTGACAGTGGATGCGGCGGACATTGTGCTGGTGCGCAGCGAGCTCTCCGACCTGCTGTCTTTCTTGGCACTGTCCAAGGTGGGTGCTTCAGGGTTTGAGGTATAGTACTCGTAGCTTTCAGAGTTTCCAGTATGGGTTTCGAGGTCGACTGAGAGTGCTCGAACTGATTCGGCTGAACACAAACATCCCTCCGGCTAGCCCGAGTGAGAGAGATGCAAGAGTTCCGGGTTCGTGGCTTTGAGCCATGAACTCGTGCAGGAGACGCTCAACACCATTTGGTTCAACTTCATGCTGCTGGAATGAAATCAGCCGGAAGTGTGGGTTCCGATCTGCATCCTCGCTTGAAGCACGTAGACCAAACCGGGGATGTGGAAAGCACGGAACGTCTAGCTGTGTCTAGCTTACATTCCGTATCGGTGCTCCTCCGTAGGCCTGCACGTTCTTTGACAAGACCAGGGGCCCTTCCAGACTCCGTGCTGCGCGGTCCTCTTCCTCCGGTCTGAGCGGCCAATCGAAAGCTTCATTATACTCTACTTAAAATAAGGAACCCCCAAAATGGTATAGGTAGTTATTAAGACCCCTATACGTATTAGCCAACATGCCAAAGGTGGGCCTTCCTGTTCAACATCTGTGCCCTTCCCGTAGCTTCCGGGATCTTCTGGCGCCAGCATGTGAGTCTTGGCTGCCCTGCCCGGAGTTTTCATCAGGTTTCGGATTTCAGAGTGTTGGGACCGCCTGACGATCCGTTTATGGACACTTCTAAGTTGTGCTTACATAGGAAGTCTTGCCTGTGAGAGGAAGCAGCACGAATATCCAAAACTTCCTGGACCTGCGGAGTCCTCATTCGAGCCGGCACTGGCGGGGTCGTATCCCGAAACCCTTAAACCTGACCTCATGAAGCCGTGCCTGCGTTGTGCGAGTTTGCGACTCGAAGCCCTCAAAACACAGACATCCCCACGAAAAGCAGCACTTGCCCAGGGTCATGACCCCGCAGATCGCCTGCGTCCTCATGTTGGGCTCCTCGCTTTTCGTCGTGTCTCGGCCCGATAGGGTACAAGCTTTAGGGTACACATGGGTGCGGGGTTCGGGCTAGGTATGTCTGCTTGTATGTCGGTAGGCAGGTAGGTTTATGCATCTCCGAAATCAGTATTGTACTCGGGATGCTAGAAATTGAAATTCATGCTCAAGGATTTTAAATCTTAAGCCTGCACCTCGCTGCACCTGCCGAGAATCAGCATTCGGCTTCAGGTGTCTCAACCAGGGTTGCAGATCTTTCAGGCGAGTGCAGTTTTGTTCCATGCCCGACCGGTTAGACACCCCGGGAACCTGCTCCGGACAGAGGAAGCTAGATTCATAGCACTAATAGACTTCGCGAAAGCCGTAGTGTTAGCAGTGACAGTAGTTGTGGGAATGATTGGATTGACCGCGTTGCGAGGAATGATGGGAATACTGCAGACACGAGATTAAGATGCAGGGCTTGAGTGACGTTGTAAGTCTTATGGTTTGGAGGCGTGGGGATCAGGACTTGTGAATAGGGTTAGGGGCCAGATGTAACTGCCACATTTTCATCTGCTTCTATCAGAGCACAATCGCTACATGCGACATGCGGCAGCTACCGTAGCGTTCCCTCGGCCACCCAAGGTACTGAGCTCCCTCCTCCTAAAGCGCTTCTCGCCTCCGGCGCTCTCTGACATAGCACTGCCCTAGCTGCAGCCGCCCCCGAGAGGGGGTTTCAACTTCGGGGCTGAGCTTGGTGTTTGAGGGGTCTTGTAATGCTGTAACTGCATGAACAAAACCTGATGAGAGCTTGTGACATGTGAGATTTTTGGATTTCTCCGTTAGATTTGGGGCTGCAGGAGAGCTGTGCCGACGTCTGGCGGGCAACCGAAGAGAGCCATTTTGAGAGACTTTAGAGTGGTGGGGTTTGACGCTAGCGTCCTTGAGCATCATTCGACAAAGGCTGCAGGAGGGCTGCGCGCAGTGCTGCATCTCCTTTCTGCTGCCGCGGTGTCCGTACAGGGCTGCATCTGGCATTCCAGGATGGAAGAGGCCCCTGCTCTGAACCGAACATTTTCCTCGAAGCCTTTCTTGGGGCTGGATTGTAGCTTGAAACAAGGTTGAACTCCCACCGACTCGCAAAGTCACTCGACAAGTCCACCAAGTCCAAGTGGTGCGAGAGACGCGAACCCCAACCCCCCCCGCCCCCAAGTTGGATCCCGTGGCCCTGAAAACCCAAGCTCCTCACCTGGCCTCGAAGCCATGAAAATGCAATCTGGAAGTTGGGCGGCTGGTTGTCAGATCGATGCGAGATACGGTCGTCGCTGGCAGCTACAGATCCAAGAGATGGCGACGGGATTGGGGCTCAGTTTTGGGGATGGGTTTATTCTTTCCAGGCCGATCGAGGTGTCATGCTCCGGCAGCACATGATCCTTTTGCAACAATGCAAAACATGACACTGACTACACCAGCAAGTGATGTAATGATATATCTTGCCAGAAGCTGAACAACCCCCAACTCCACACACCCACGCGCGCGCACGCGCACGCGCGCACACGCACAGACATGCACACACGTATGCATGTATGCATGTATGTACGTATGTATGTATGTATGTATGTATGTATCATACAATGTCTAAGCCTGCGGAATGAATGAATGTATGTATGTACGACTTCATACATGTGTATACATGTCGGAAAAACTATATGCGCACAATTGCACACATATATTCATATATCCATGCATCCATACATCCGTTCATACATCCATACAGCCATACATCCATACGTGCATCCATTGCATACGTGCATGCAGCACACATGCATACAGGCATACATGCACACATGCATACGGCATGCATGCATGCACACACACACACATAATATGTACATACAGTTACATACATATCTCTCTTCAGTTATGTGTCTGTCTATATCTACCTCTCCATCCGGCCATCCATCCATCCATCCATTTATCTATCTATCCCGATATCTGAGTACACACGTCTGCGAATACGCCGAAATGTTGGCATAAGGTAAAACGGAAGTATTTGTTTTGCTGCGGGCGCAAGATTTCCGAAACGCCTCTGTTCGTCCCCGCACCCCCTGAACATCCACACAAGTTCACTCTTGAGACCGCTGCATGTTATGGATGCCCAGATGTATCTGTCCATATCTTTGCGTCCATTTGTGCATAACCGCATGCCTGCATACGTACATATGTGGGTACATGCATCCGCAAACGCAAAATGTATGTACAAGTAATCACATACAGGTAGGCATGTGCACCCAGACAGAAGGTATCTGTCTCCCTATCGACCAGACTCACGCACACACGTATATAATATGTATGTGTTTACATGCATACATATGTAAGCATGAGCATTCTTATGCACAGCTGAATGCACGCGCATACGTGCTTGTGTTTCTTCGCATGTCGTCTGTAGGTTCTCAAGAATTTCGGGTTATCATGCCACTGCACTTGACTTCCCGCACCTATGCGATCCAAGCCGTCTTTGGATATGCATGCCATGGGGTGCTGAAGTGGTCCGGGGCTGTGACAGCAAGCCCCGGAAATTTCTGGGCTTGGACCACGTCAAGCGCCCCATGTACAGATGCATAGACAGAGCCTCGAGGTTGAGACCGTGGCCTCTGAGTGGCTGAGCAACTCGCTTCTGACAGCCACACGATGTATCATAATGCCAGTGTTTTCTGGCCGCAGTCGAGCTGGCATAGCCACGCTGCACCGAAGCGATGGAAAGTAGCTCCAGCCAAGCTTCTGTTTTCAAGCCCGGACGGGCAGTTTCTGCAAACAAGGCACCCCTTGTCGACACTAAGCCCCAAGAAAGGGACGCCACATGTCAAGAAACTCCCATACCAGGCCGAGAGAGGGCATTGCAGAAGGTCAGTTCACAAGATGACTGCCCAGTGTCGCAGGTAGTTTGCGGAAAAGACAACCCATGCGCAAAGGCAGTGTGCAAGGGACGTAGTTTCTGAAGCATAAAGTGCAGCCAGAGACTGTTGTACTTAGAAAAGAGAGCTGGGCTCATCTGCGGTACTAAAGCAGCACTACATTTACATCCCAGAAATCCAGGCGAGTATAAGCACAGAGTGGGGAACAGCATCCATCTACGAGCAGCGCGCCGAAGGACAGCATGCAGTAACCTGCTCACAAGAGTACGACTCGCCCACGACCCCATGCCGGAAGGAATACACGCTGGTACAGGAAGTACCCGGCCTTGCCAAAGCAAACGTCCTGACGGTTTGTGCAGGGCCTGAAACCCGAGAAATCGTATTCCCTCACAGTCCCTACATACTTATAGTATAATATGCGACGGAACCCAACGCTACTTAGTAAGGCCCCTTTATTGAAAGGTGCTTCGGCTGACTGTCAACAGTGGTGGATGCGACTCGCTTGCCATTGGTCCTTCGGGCGGTGAGTTGAGCATGACGAGGGTTTGGCATCCTCATGCATCCCGTGTCCATCCTTGGCATGAGACCTTGCCTCGTTCTACTGCAAGATATGCTTGAGCCCAGGACCCAGCACTCCATCGCTAAGTGCCCAGCCCAAGTTCAAAGCCCAGAAACTCCTTCGAAGGCCACAGATACATTTCAATCGTCTCGCTCCGAGTGCAAGCTCGGGGTGGAAGACAGAGTTAAACAGACCATCAGCCATCAAAATATTTCTGCGATACCAGAGGCGTAGCAGGTCTCATTGCAGGATATAGGAGGTATGGCATGCTCAATTCATCGGAAATTGAGTTTTCATGAAGCAAGGAGTTTGTATCTCGGTTTGATGGCTTAGAATAAACAATATGTACAGGTATGGACGTCACGTATCTACGTAAAAATGTGTAGCTGTGTGTGTGTGTGTGTGTCGGTATGTACATACACACTCAATGCCAAGTGCTCATATGTGTATACGCATATATATATATATATGCATGCACATATGTATACATAAATAGATAAACGTTTCTACATATATATATATATAGACATGCACATACACGTACACATACACATCACATACACATACACATGCATACATACATGCGTTCACATACATTCGCGGCACTGCGGGCAACCGAGACTGACGGCCGTCGGGTTCAAGGTTTACAGTGGAGAAATGAGTGCTGCATTGCTTCGCGGCGACAGCTGTTCCGGGCGAGAAAAGCCTGCTGCAAAAAGGGTAGAGAAATGTCGTTCAAAGCGGCGAGCAATGCTGACAGCCGACGACAATTTCAATTTGATGTGCCTTTGTGCTGATGCTTATCAATGGCCATGCTCTGCGCAGTTTCTGTGCTGCATCCATGGCGATGCTGAGGCAGGCGGGTCAGTTCTGAAGAGCTACGGTGCGGTTCGTATCAAGACGACTTGGCAAGTCGCCTGGGAGTGTAAAGAGTTGGCCATGGCTGCATGGCAGGCTGCTGGCCACCCAAGTTCGACGGAGGAGTTCGAAGGGCCTGGCTCCGTGAAGAATCGAGCGGAGCTGTTCCATGGCATCTATGACGTAAATGCTGGCGGAGAAACACGCTGCCGCGGCCATCACACACGGTGGGCAGCCATAAATGTTCCTGGTGCCGCGCTTGGCCTCCTGCTGGAAGGAGGTGATTGTCGAGGCATTTCCTGACTTGAGGGCAAAACTCCGCGACCATAGCGTGACACGCCAGCGAGTCGTGGGTGTCAAGCCCAGTCGCTATTGCAGACAGCAGAAGCAGATTGCTTCATCCTAAAACCTCTATTAGCATGGGTGACTCCCTCTCTGCATGTCGGTGGTTGGGAGACACTTGCTACGGTGTACTGTAAGACCCTTGCAGAAGCAATGGTCGAGGTCATTGCGGAAGCAAGCCGAGGTTCGTGCGCAGAATCTGGCACGGAGGATTTGTGGATCTGAGCGCAGCCTGTGCTTGATCTGCCAACTAGACGGCAGTGTGCGGGCTCACAGTCAAGGCATGCATCGCGGCTGCCTGGTTGAAAAGGGTAGCATGATGTTACCAGGCAAATAGGCGATGATAGCAATGGCCTTTTCAATCCGTTGTGCAGCCGGGACCCTCGCGCCTGCCGATCTCCGCATACTTCTGCTTGCTGGTGTTTGCTCATTGGAAAAAGGTTCACCCTGCCCCGCTTCACATGGAGGCATGTCTGGCCTCGCACAAACATGGATCTGAAGTGCCAAGCAACTTACGACCATCCGCCTCTTCTTCACTCTGCCATAAAGGGACATTTACCGCACCAAGACGTATCCGCAATGACGTGACGGAGCGATCCTGAAGTTTAGAAACGCTTCTTCTCATACCCAAACAACCGTCAGCCGCAAGCCCTCTACGCCGACGCCGCCCCACATCCTCCCCTCTTGCACTTCCGTTTCTGTTGGGCCCAGGCTCGGGGTACTCCTACGACTTCCGCGCCTCGACTGCTGATCCGTCAGTCCATTCTTGGCTGTGCGTGGCGATTCTAAGTTGGGGCTTGTTTTGTGACGTGGAGGTTTTGGGTGGTTGCTGATAGCTTCATCTAGGAATCTAGGGGGCCGTCATCGGTGCAAGCGAAGAGAGGTGACAAGCTTTGACAGTTTCTCCTGCTGAACCTCCACCCCGATGCATCTTACCTTAGTTGTGACTGTCCACAAGTCGAGACACAGGTCTCCGCTTCGCACCAAGAACCTCACGTGGCATGCAAGTGTGAGCTCCGAAACCCTGTAAGAACCTACAGCCCTCTATCCTTAGACTGGCAGTATGCGGAACAGTACCCGACTCGCTGCAAGGCTTGGAGCCAGGCCCAGACATGCAGGATTTCAGGGCTTTCGGCGTAGAGTAGTCGAGTCTACTGAAGTGAAGAAAGAGTAGAGTAGAGTGCCGTTGAGCATAGCAGAGCATGACAGAGCAAAGAGGAGCAGAGAAGAGGATATATAGTAGAGTGCTAAGTGACCTTTCTTTCATTTCCTGGGGCTACCTCTCCCCTTTTGTATAGTGATGCTGAGCTTTGCCATTTTCCCATTGTCCTCCGGCTGCGAACTGAGAGACCAACTCGCATGGCTTGTCCGTGTTGTGAGAGAGCGTATAGTAGAGCATAGAGTATACTAGAGTTTGATAGAACCCAGCAGAGGAAAGTAGAATATGGTGGCGGGCAGTAGGTCTCCGGATGTCAGGTTTGGCATTTGCGAAGGTCGCAGTTGTAGATGCTTGGGGTGGAGGGCCCAGTGCTGAGGTTTGTTCCGAGATTCGAGATTGGATCCCCAGTTCCCCACACCGAGAGACTCATATAGAAGACATGCGGGTGGAACTGCATGGATGTCTGTCTGTGTGTAAGATGGTGTAAGAACGCTTGTTTGTTTCTGCGCACACCCACACCCGCACCCACACCCACACCCACACCCGCACCCGCACCCACACCCACACCCACACCCACACCCACACCCACACCCACACCCACACCCACACCCACACCCACACCCACACCCACCCACACCCGCACCCCCGCGGGCGCACGATGCAAACATGCCCGACCCAACACAAAGCTTTTCACACCATTACTATACACATGAATTCACCGATGCCGCATGCACATGTGCACATTTGTGTTGGTCCAGGCCAGTGTATGTACATGGCCGCATATTTGATTTTGGGTGTGCGAACACATCAACATTTTCATGTACTTCTGTATCTACAGGCAAGTGTATCTCCATGTAGCCACCTGTGTCTGAACATCTGCGAGTACATGTCCGCAAAATACCATGTGCATACACTTGTGTAGAAAGCTTTAATGTCTCCGAAAGTATACCCACTTAGACCCAGATGTCCCTTGACAGCCCATGTGTTCACGTCCAGATGTGCTCATGCATGCATTCTCTTGTGCACTGGTTCAAGCATGGAATATGTCTGTGTGCGTGGCTGCAGGTATGTGCACACATAGTTTTGCAATTCTTTCTGTGCGCGCGCACATGCGCACGCGCGCGTGTGTGTGTGTGTGTGCGCGTGTTCGGGCGCGGATGCGTGTCTGGACACAGATGCATTCAATCGCATTCATGCATGAGCGCACTTCTTTACCTGGTTGTATATGTATAGATGTATGTACATATATGTCTATGCTGTTTTATGCTTGTACTCATGAGTGTATTTGGTTATGTGCAAGTGTATATGTGTGCGCATGGGCATGCATATGCAGTGGACATAGGTGCACATATGTATGTAACAAATATGTACGTACTTATGCATGCGTGTATGTATGTATCTATGTAACATGTGTATATGTGTCTGCGTGTGTCCCAAGCAGGCACGCTCATCGACCATATGCGCGGAGGCATCTGCGCACCCCTATACACATCTCGACTCCTCAGAAACGCATGGTCGCATGGTAATACTTAGATACGGACGGGCAGATATATGACTGGACAGGTAGAGAGTTCGCAGAGTGGTCCACGATAGAGCGAGACCAACTGGGGCCAGGTGACATGCAGCCGGCCAGCGATGACATTGTAATCAGCCAGGCCTTGACTGCAATGCTCAGCTACGACATGAACGCATGCCATGCCAGCCAACACTCCAGTGCAAGGACCTAAGGAACCTGTCACGGACGTATACACCGGCGGACAAAGCGGAAGTACATACACTGTAACACAATGTTACACACCTAGGAATCGAACTTCACAGGCATGTTTGCCTGTGAATTTGTATCTATTCGTTTATGACGAAGAAGGCACAAACATGCGAGGACTACGGTAGGGCCTTTCCACAAAGTTCTCTCCACCCGAAGGATGGAACCCTCGATTGTTTCAGACCATGCGATGTACTCTACCTGAAGCAGCCGTCTCCGTCCCGGCTGCTGTACCCTGCATCTTGTGGTTTGAGGCACCCTGCGCATCCCTTCGCAGCATCTCCCAGTATGAGTACAGCACTGCAGACGGGCACTGGTATGCCACACAGCAAGGCAGTAATGCAGTGCGGGTTCACCCGATCAGCGTACAGCCTACCGACAATGCCCTGTCACCGTAGCCTGCGAGGGTCAGCTAGAGGCAGAGTTCCGGGCCACGCGAGGAGTTCAGGGTGTCTTTGGCTGATGATGGTGGAGAGCTTTCGGAGTTCTTAGTGCTATTCGTATTAGAGTTTCATTGCTGCCTTCATTTTCAGTACGACTACAGCCGTTATTAGTTTTAACTTGTGTATAGGGTTGTGGCGTCCGTTCAGTCGATTTAACCTCTCGGGCTTTGATTTGGATCGCCTTTGCCGCCAGAACGGGGCTCGGCTCATCGTGGATGAGCTGTCCATGACCTTCCTCGAGGAGTGCGAGATCGACTACACGGAGGCATCTGGGGTTTTGCGAGAGATTTCAGTGCCTTGCTTTGAAGAAGACTTAATACTTACCTATGCGTCTGGGAATCTGGGGTGTTTACTGGGGGGCCTTGTGTTCTCATGCCCAAGTCTGAAGAAAGTCGCTACGGCATGACCAAAAGGCCTTGCCCTGTCTAGGGAATGATCACCCTGGCACTTGATGTTCAAGCTGCTAGACTCGAAGGGTGAGGGTGAAACTCCACAAAGTATGAACCATGGAGCGCACCCTTGCGGTGTCGGGTCGGGTTTCGAGCATGATTGGTTTCCACTGAGCTTGGGCACTGACTGACTAACTTCAAGACACGTGCATGAGATTCTTGATCCTTAGGGGAAGCTACACTGGAACGAAAGCACATGGTTTCGTTTTCTGCACAACGAGAAAACGGGAGAGTTCAGGGTCAAACCGAAAACCCATCAGAACCGGCACAGGCGCTCTGGGAACTTTTGCCTTTCCGAAGTTGATGGTTGCTGTTGGGTAGTGCCGCCAAAGTATACCGAAGCCTGAACCATTCAGCTGGTTCTGTTTGAGGGGCTAGTTCCAAATTCCAGGCCATCTTCGTGGAGGAATCGATATTCACGAAACTGTGAACCGAAGAATAGCTACAATTTAGCACCGCCCACCATTTCTGCTGTTCTGCTTTGCAAGCATGTGTGCTGGGTCTCCACGGCACACGCCTGAAGCCTCAAAGCGTTTCAATCAGTCCTGAACTAACACCCAACCCTACAACCTGCTGAAGCCACCCTCGGCCGAACAGGAGATGATCCGAGCCTCCTTCTCTGTGGTGAAAAACAAGCTTGCAGATTCGAAATGTGGCTGCGGCAGCTCGTTCAGCCACCTGCCCTTAGACGGCCGTGTCGTCGCTATTGCTGCCATTGACCTGCTATCGTGTCTATGGCCGTTGCTGATGTTGTTTGTTGGTGCGATGGGTGCTACTGCGTTTGTGTTGTTCTCCTCAGCCGTTGTTATTGGAGGGGGTCCGAGGTTATGCTGGGTGCTTTCAGGATTCCCAATGATTCTCGCATCTCCGCTCAGTCAAGATTTAGCAAGTCGGGGGTGGTTTGGAAGTCATTGCTTGGAGGGTTTCTATGCGGGGGTTTCATCTCCTTTTTTGCATGCTCTGTGGAATTGACCGTGCGAAGTTTCAGGTTTTTTGCGGCTAGCATAGTTTGGTACAATATCCTGAAGAGCAAGACTGGCCCTCCACATCGTCTGTATATCATGTTGACAGAATTATGGCTTCAGAAGCCTTGATTCGACTTTGTGCGTGGGACGGGAGGTACTGTGGGCTTAGGGCATCCCTGTGCCTTCTCATGAATCCGATTCGTCGGGAATACGATGTTCTGTTGCTGATTCTCCAGTCGTAGGGTCCCAACCGTGGGGAGGTGGAAGCAGGCACCAGGCTGCGACCCGGCAAAAACTCACATAACCGAAACCCCAGGCGTTGCTTCCTTCTGAGCGGACCTCGCTACTTACGCCGGGTTCTTTAAATCACGGCCTGTGGATCTGGAGTCCCTCTGCCTTCCATCAATCAATATCCCAGCATTCGGGGCCGCTTAGGTGTGCTCTGGTGCAAGTATGCACGCATGGGTAAGTGTGTGGGTTTGTCTCTGCTCTCCATACTCTGGACATGGACCCATGCAAATAAAGGTATGGCCGAAGTCAGAGTCAGGAGTACACCCACCTGCTGAGCAGTAGCAAACGAGTGGCACTGTACGATAGATGCTTGTCTACATGTATGTGTATGCAGGTGTGTAAGTAAGTCCTGATCCAAGATTTCGGTTCTGACAGACCAGAAGGCACTGGATTTCCGAGCCACCTTCGTCCCCGACTTTGGCCCACAATGCAGCTTCCCTTTTGAGACAGGAAGTGTTGGTATCTTCCTATGGGGTAGAAGAGTGGTGCCAGGCGCACCCCTCGGCAGTCGTTCTTCTGATTTTTTGGGGTGAGACTATACAGGGTTCGGAGACGGTGCCATTTTAGAGGCCTGCTTCATCGAGCTTCGAAGGTTAAGGGTCAATCCTGCACGTGAGTGCAAAGAGCCAGAACGCGTCTTGTACAGATTGCTGCATTGTCATCGGGCACCGCAGCCCCTCGTAGCGAGGCGCTTTGAACAAGCGTGCTGTAGCAAGACTTGCAGATGTTTTGATCAGAAATTGGGTTTGCTGACCGTTTTCCTCACCCATTTGGCTGCCAACACACATTCAGAACGGAGGTGTTTCGTGCACGGAAGATGGGCGGGGAAGCTATTAGGTCACTTTCCGATGCTTTTGGCAGTTTGACAGCACGGAATGCAAGGCTCCAAGGACACTTGGCTGGCACTTGCTTCTCCTCCCACCCACAAGGAAGGCCCACCCGGCCTCCCAATTTGCGTGCAGGACACAAGCAAAGCGCGTGTCGTTTCCGATCCTAGACGCATGCGGCCCAGGATTGCCATCCCGGCAACAGCATCCTCAGCCCGCCACTCAAGCCTAAACTCTGCGAAGCAGTGGCCGCTCCCACTTCATTTCACTGAGGTGGGCCAGGGCCCCCTCAAGCTGCAAGCGCCAGGTATTTTCGGGTGTTTTGGGAAGGACTTGAGGCTTTCGGGCAGCGTTCGGGATTGCACCTCGACAAATACCTTCCCAGCAGCAGACCGTACAGCTCAGCCCGCGCTGCAAAAAGAGCTTCCTACTGGGAGAAAGTGGTGGGGAGAAGGTAGGGCAAGTCGCCGTAGAATGCTATGGCGAGTATAGCCACGTATTGAAGCAGCACAGTGACCGATTGGAGTAGGTAGGAGTTTAGGAGTTCAAGAACGGTCTCGCACTTACGAGATAGTCCACGGTACGACATGACGATCGGTGCCCTCGGTAGGAACTGGGAATATCCCCAAAAGCCGAGACCCTCCTGTAAACCAGCAATAAAGTAGCCGTCCTGCCATGTGTAAGGGCCCTCGATTTTAAAGGGGGTCCCCGGATGTACGGAAGACCGGAGACCTGCCCTAGACCTTGCCTGGCTTCAACGCCGAAGCTCCTAGTGCAGCTTCTGTAGCCTCAAGGCAGCCCCAGGGGTTTTCTGTGCGAGTTTCGACCATGAAGTCCGTGCTTCTGCTCTCCTTGTTCGCGGCCGTCGGCGCCATCGAACTCACGAAGGATTTCGTTGGTCTTCATGAGCTAAGAGTGCGACTGCGCGGCTTGCAGGCTTAACGATTTCGGGTGCAGGGTTGCTGCCTGAAATGCCCGAAAATTTTCTGTCAGGGACCTAGTGTAAACCAGTGTAAACTTCCACGGCATCTGAGCCATGTGTGTGTGTGTGTGTGTGTGTGTGTGTGTTTGTGTGCGTGTGCACGCACACACTGGTGTGTGTATGCCTGTATGCACACACACACACACTATATATATATATATATATATATATATATATATATATATGTACAGACACATGCGACACATGTGCATGTACGTGTACATATGACAGGCGCACACCACACACATATATCTCTGTATGTATGCATGTATGTATTCGATGCATCTGCGAGTATTATGGGTCCCACTTGTGAGCCATCTGTGTCCAGGAGTCTTGGGATGAGAAGACGGCCGGCAAGAGCGCATCTTGTCCGACACCATTGTCTCAGCCTGGGCATAGGAAGTCCTGTGGTCTAGCATGTGAGATTGTGGGCCCCGGAGCCAACCTAATTGTTGCTGCATGTTCCAGCCGAAGCAGCAGATTGAGGTCTTCGTGAAGTTCTTCGCGCCCTGGTGTGGTCACTGCAAGGCATTCGGTGTTTCTGGTAAGCCCCCAAAGAACACCCCACCCCTCGACGGGAGCCGTTGGTCTTGAGTATTTCCGATATGCACCTTCACACGACAGCCAGAGAGGGGTCTTTGCGTGTACTCCCATAGAGATCAGGTTTGGGAGTGATCAGTGAAAGTACGGCATTGCTTTGAAGGGTTTGCCGCATTCTGATGATGACTATCCCTCAGAGCAGGCCAAACCTTCGTGTCCATGTCTTTGCTGTGCATGGTGTGGTGTAGAGACTATCAGAGCCGAGTGTGCCTGGTAGTAGAGTAGAGTAGGTAACCTTTAATTTTTTTTGGGTAGTATAGTCCCTATATAAACCCTATAACCAAGAAGGTTAAGCTGTGGTTCCCCATGATACCCGACAAGCAGGTGTGCTAGTCCGGGCCTGGCGCAGCAGAAACTAATCAGAGGTTCGAGAAACCTTAGAGGAGATGAGAAGATTCAAGGCCCAGGAATAATGCTTGGGGTTTGATTGTGTGGTTTGTATTGATATCTACTCATTTGACCTTGGGTGTTGCTCATTTGCATTTACTCGCAGAGTTTCGCCGGGTCTGGGTTGTCGTTGGGATGATTCCGGGTTCTGCTCCCGGAATCGTGCAATGCTCCCGAATCCTTGTTCATCCCACAACGAAACCGGCGACTAGCGATCTTTCAGGCCATGAAGAAGGACTGGGACAAGCTCATGAAGGAATATGCCAGCCATGAGTCGATCTTGGTTGCAGATGTCGCCGCCCGGCGGCACGCGAAGCGCAGCTGTACTAGCTCGAGTTTACACTGTCGAGCCGAGGCACTATCGCACGACCGTGATAGGAGGAGATAGCATCGTAAGTGCGCTTGCCGAGGATTGCATCGGTGAAGGCAAGGCCATGTGCACCGCCCTCAGCTTCTCCTCCCAACCCGCAGCACAAGATCCGAGCCGGGCGTCAGCTGCATGAGGATTGCACTGGAAGCCCCGAAGCCTTTCAGAAGCCGTCGAGATGCCACAAGCACTCGAAGCCCCAATCCCCTCCATCTTGGTTTGAAGCCTGCGACCATCGACATCAAACACACAACTCCGAAACGTGACCTTGAACGCTCGAGCCGCTTTTTGCGAGGCGACGAAGTGGGCGTGGAGGGCTTCCCAACCATCAAGTACGGTGACCCCGCCAACCTAGAGGCTTCTTCGTCGCTCCGGTGGTTTCGAGAGGTGTGAGAGGTTTTGCGAAGCTCACTTGTCGGGCTGAGTGGGCTTCTGCACGAGTTTTGGGGGTCTTGCGGTGGAGGATCAGTTGAGGGTGTTGAGGGTTTCTCCTCCGAGATCTCTGGCTGGATGAGATCATTAGGAGTTGAAGTGGCGGTAGGATTACTTGCCAGGCGTGTCCTGAGACTTCGCATGGAACGCATCCAGAGGTCATCTCAATGGAAGGGTAACCCCAGAGCCTCAAAACTAAAGGAAGGTCATTCCTTCGCCCTCAAAGGCAAAGGCCCCAGTCTGGGAGCTTGAAACCGTGAAACTAAACTGCCACTGTCCGAATCTTGCCTCCCACTCAGGCCTTTGAAGGCGTGAGATGAGGGAATTTCCAGAGTCATATACCCTACTATTTAATATAGTACTCTGTAATATGATGTACTCTAATAATTTCTTGATTCTTAAACTTAGTATTTGTCAATATAATCTACTCTGTTTTGATACCCTTAGCCCAAAACCAGGACTACGAAGGTGGCCGCGAGCTCTCGGAGCTGCAGAAGTTCGCGAAGGACAACCTTGGCCCAAGGCCTCTTTCCTAGGGGTTCCTTATTGATAAGGCCTCTTTAAACGGGGTTCCTTCTTATGATTATAGTAGTACAATCATTGATAGCGTTAACATGCCCCCCGACCCTATCATAGGGGTTCCTTGTTATGGTCTTTGTATGAAAACAACCCCCAAACCCTTTTGAAAGGGTTCCTTGATATGATGAGAGTAAAACATACCACCAACCCCGATTCTAGAGGTTCCCTGTTGTGACTAGGGTGTAAAGAGCACTAGTTTCGTAGGGACCCCTTCTTATGATTATAGTAGTATAAGGATAATGATTTATATACCCCCAAACTCTATCATAGCTTGTTGTCAAGGGCCCTTTAACAAAGGGGCTCCTTGTTCTGGTTAGAGTATAAATATACCCCCAAACCACATTCATCGGGGTTCCTTATTGTTATGGTTAGAGTACAGTACCAATAGACCCCCCAAACCCTATGCATAGGGTATCCATATGTATCAGTATACCCCAAAACCCTATTCATAAGAGTTCCTTGTTATGATTAGAGTAACAATTGTACCCCAAACCCTATTCATAGAGGTTCCTTGTTAGGATTCTTTTATCAAAAACCCCCAAACCCTATACTGGGGTTCCTTGGTTACTCCTAAACGCTATTCTATTTATTCAGGCCCAATAGTTCGGTTTGGGGCTTTCGGGGTTTAGGCTGAGGGTTTAGCTCCTAGACCTGTGCCGGTTTTGCTGGGTTACTGGCGTAGGGTTGAGTCAGACGTGGAGACCGCAGAAACAGCAACAGTGAGAGCGCTAGCTGGCTACATGGTAACAGGTATTGAGTTTGTCGAATCCAAAGTGCAGGTAGGGCCTTTGAATTCAGCACCTGGCCCTGGAAGGTAGTGCTACAAGGTAGCCCGTACCGATCTAGGGTCACGATAAAAGGATGTAGGACTTACCTTCAACGTGGTGAAGGAATGCTAGGGCTGCTAGGGTGTCCTGGTGGAACTCAACAGCTAGCACTTCAGAATCCATCAGGTGTGGCCCGGCAAACCTGGACCTCTGTGATGCCGAATCTCGTCCTGGCAAATGGATGCACAGCAGGTTTTTGGGTTTATGACGTACGTTCTTGTTCAAGACACAAGTTCTTTTGCCCTTGCTGTCGTAAGAATTCTGAAGCAGCGCGCGGGTCTATCTTGAGGCTGGGACCCTGAAGGTTAAAGTTGTCAGGTTCGATCGTCGCAGTGGGCCCGATTGCTGACCCACACTTGCAGCCACGTGGACAGTCGTCAATGATCCAGCTGTGTGAAAATCTCTCAAAATAGCCATGCACCCAAACCACCCGCCGGCAAATCACCCGGAGGTTCTGTTCGAAGGTTCCGGTTTTAGCCCAAGAGAGGACAAGTCTTGTATGATCCGGAAGAAATCCGGAAGCTCCGAGCCCGAACCCAGATGCAAACATGCACTGAGACCTTTGCATCCGCAAAGCCAAGGACAAGAAGAAGCAGATAGAGGAGTTTTTGGCAATGTCCGGGGCTGCCTTGAAGAAGGACATGTGTGGATCATCTATCTGTCGGTACTGGCGAGTTGGGATTCTGCGTCCCCAGGGCGGAGTAGTGCTGCTCTTCACCCGCCTCATGACCCGTTTCTGCTCTGTCTGTCGCTTTCGCAGTAACATGTGGGAGTAGCGCCCGGCCACTAATTCCCTGCCAAGCCTCGGAAGCTATCTGTGATATACGGGAAGATGGCAGGAGATCGAGTCGAAAGACGAGGAGAGCATCCGAAATCGGCAGACAGAATTGGTATCTTGGGGAAAGGGGTGGGCCTCAGGAGTAAGGGAAGGGTTTCAGAGTTAGGGTTTGGGGATTTCGAGGTGTGAGACGAAGGGTCGAGGCTAGTGCCTTTTGCCTTTTGTGTGGGATATCGGCTGCGTCGGCGACCCCCTGCCTAGCAGCCTAGCAGTCGGGGCCGGGGTGAGGCTCCAGGCTGCCAGGCCACCTCAATCTTTGCTGGCAGTTTTAACAGGCAGCATCTGCTTCGGTCCTAGGCGGGGCAAGTGTCCTGGCCAGTCCATCTGCCACATGAGGTTGACAACTCCTTAGTAAGAACCCGGCATATTTCCGGGGGCGCCTTGTCTAAAACATCATCCTCCCACTGTCCTCTCGTCCTCTCCTGCTGCTTCTCCTCCTGCTGCTGCTACCCCCACTTCTACTAGTGCTGTTGCTGCTGCTACAACCGCCATCAGCACCACCACCACCACTCCTGCTTCTTTACTCCTTCACTCTTAATCCTGCGCCTCCCCCGACTCCTGCTCCTAATGCTACTGCTACTGCTACTTCTACCCCTGCCCCTACCCCGACCCCTACCCCCAACTCCTACTCCTCTCCAATTACTACCACTGCTACAACAACAACAACTGCTACTACTGCTGCTACTGCTCCTGCTACTAGCTACAGCGATGCCACCGTGGATGTAGGCCCTTGAATGGCGAGTAGGTGCAATTCTCCAGGAGATCGCAGCTGCCAGCAAGGAGCACGAAACCTTCGTTGAGTCGCTGCAGAAGCAATACGAGGCAGCAAGCTGTAACGTAGCCACATCTACGGCTCGATTGAAGGTTTAGCTCGGGCTTACGGCTGGCAAACATGAGTTCGGGCAGGGGTTTGATGAGGATGTGTGCTGCATACGAGCTAGTATGTACGGGGTTTCGTCATTCCGGAAGAACATCGAGGCTCCTTGTCCCAGATCACAGAACCTATTCCACAACATCTGAACCCGATAGTTGCTCAGTCCGAGCCATGGGAGGATTTCGCTCCCCAACTTGATCACATACAGGGCTCTCAAAACTAAAGCCTTAAACCGCGCTGTTAGTTGCTTCAGTGATGAGTAGGATCCTGGGTGGGATGCAGTCCGAAAGCTTAAGTGTTGGATAGTATACTTGTTGCTTGACGTCATGACTTCTCCCATGAGTAGCGTCTCAGCTGGCAGACTCCGAACCCATATGCCTCGCCTGGATTGTCCGAGTGTGAGCCCCGACCACTCCGCAAGCTCTGAAGCAAACAGTGCTTGGTCCAAAACAACCTTGACTCCGAGAAAGCTCGGAACTCTGAAACCGCATGGATTCCACTTGCGCACCCCGGCGCTCAGGAGTCCGAGAAGAAGCTGACGGAGGCCAAACAGCGCATCAAGGACCAAGCTTCAACAACGCACAGGTCGTAGCCAAGACTCGGGGAATCCGCAAGTCGTTGCCATCAAAGGCTTTGAGAAGCTGAGCTTGCTGTGGTCGTACTCTGCTCTATGTTCGTGTGTGGGTGTAAGTCTACCTCCCACAACAGTTGAGTGCAAGCTGCAGCCCATTGGAAACAGGGGACCAGAAAGCTCTGTTACCCGGCCTGACACGTGAAAGACACATTGTAACTTCAATGCGCACCAGAAGCCCTGACAGCCCCCTGAGCTGCGTTAAGTGAATGGAAAACCAGGAAGAGACCGGAGAAAATCTTGCCAATGCCCCTGAAAGCGGAAGGATAGCGGGTTGGGCCTCATGAAAGCCGTGAAGGCATACCGGAAATCGGCACGGGACCTCGGTTCGTCCGTTTCGGATGTTGTAGCAGGGAGTGAGGTGTCGCTTGATGTTTAGTTTGGCTGAATCGTGCTGCAACGCTGTCTTATAGGTTCTGATTTGCATGTGGGTTGTGAGGGGCGCCTAGATGCATAAGGCAGATGAATCGAAGGCCAAGTGGTTAGAGCACTCGGAGACATTGAATTTTTCCATGGATGGACATCTTCGAGAAAAGCACCCTTATTCTTCCAATTCCAAGCATTGGAGGGCTGCTTCGAGGCAGCCGCAATGGGGCCCTTGGCATTGTGTTTGAGTCTGTTTGAGTGAAAAGAGCCACCGATCCGTTTCAGGAAGCTGTGGGGGTGTCCGATTCTGTCCAGCGGGTGCGATTTGAGTGCTCCTTAGAGTCCCCATCCTCTTGATTTTTCGTGGCTGTTGAAGTCTCCAATCGTTGTCTCATCACATTGTCAGGATGCTGGCATCTGCCGTTTCTGAAGCTGAAGTTCCTGTTGCGATCCGTGTTTCTGGCATCGTCGCTGGAAATGTGCCAGTTGCACAGCCAGGAGAAAGAATGGCGTTTATGATGTCACTCTTTGTTGAGAATGTTCGGATTCCAATGAGTATTGAAGCCGGCCGTGCTCGTGTGGGCAACTCTGTAATGCTGCTTCAGGCTCTACATGGTGATTTTTGCGAAGTTCGGAGCATTTGTCTGTGGGTCTTCATGGGTCGGTCCTGCGCGCCGAGCCCGCTTTTCATGACTTGCCGGATCGTCGGAGTTCTGTGTGCGAGCCGAAAGCCCAAGGCCCCAACTCCCTAAAGCCCCAGGTAAATCCCAGATCCCAGTTTTAATCCTTCAGCTCGCAGCCTGCCCTCCCCGAGCTCTTCCTCTCAGGTCAAGAAGGAGGAGCTCTGAGGGACTCCGGCTGTAGAGTTGTAATCCACTTCACAGGTCTTCGGGCTTGGGGTTCGGGCATTCCTCGTCTTCCGCTTCTGGACCTGACGGCGAAATAGTGTTGTGGGTCTGCTGGGTCCGACCAGGACTCTCGCGTCTCACAGCCCGCTGATGGGAGTTTTGGTCTTTTGGATTTCGGACTTCCGGGGATTCTTGGGGCTTTGAGCCTTCGAGGAAGGTCTGTGGTGGTAAATTCAGTTTTGGCATTTTGCGATGTCCAGTGCGAAAGGGCACTGCTTAGCTAGTCGATTCGCAACAGCTACTGCTTCAGCGCGAAGCAAAGTACCTGCCGCCCTGCATCTCGCATTGCAGGGTTGGCATCCCCGCGTGCGGGAAAAACGCGCTCTTGCCAGGCACCGGTGGCAGCGTTGAGGCTTGCGTCATCTGATTGCCTAGAAGATGTGTCCCGGTCGAAGCATAGACCCTGAGTCCACATGCGCCCAGGACTTATCGTTTTGCGCATGCGGACATGCTGTAGATGTGTTTTGGGCCACACCTCAGACAGACCCGGTTTTCCGGAGGGACACATGGAGAGAGGGGGAGAGCGGCGGCGAAACAGCACCTTGAACTTCAACCACAAAACCCAATCGAACCGTGAACACCTTATATTGTCCGAGTGTGAGCGCCGAAACACCACATAAGCTCCACCCACACACCTGGACCAACCGTAGATTTTGCGGCATGTTGGGGCCAAGGAAGACGGAGCAAGAAGACTTCGCCCGGATCCTTGGAGACACGCAGGAGGCTCCCTGTGGCTGGGTAGAGAAGGGATTGATGGAAGTAGCCGCCGTTGACAAGAGACCCTTGTTTACCAACACCCCCTACCCGGCAGACACTGCCCCCGGCACTCAGCTACAGGTCCTCAAACCACTTTGGCGGAAACTGGCATCCGCCGGCATCTTGTATAGATGCTTCAAAGACTATTGCGCAAGGTGGTTGACGAGGATTTCCCGATTTCCCTGTTAATTTGGGGTTACGCGCTCTGTCATGCAAAGCCTGGCTCAAGCAGCTGTCGGTTCAGAGCAGCGATTCATTCAATGACGGCCGGGAATTGATCCCAAGGCGTCACCGGCGCCGAAGCCGAAAGCGCGACTGGTGAGACATCTGCCGCCACCAAAAGGACGAGCACCACCGACTGACCAACTTCTGGCATCGAGGACATCGCTAGGAAACGATAGCTAGTACTACTACGACGACGACTACTACTGCTACTACTACTGTCCTGCTTCTTTCTGCTTTTCCACCCGCTGCTACTGGTCCCAACAATTCATTGTATTCGTGGCTTGCCGGGCTTGGACGCTCGCTTGGGAGGTCTCGTACATGGAGGCGGAGCCAGCAACTTTGTCGGAGATCTGCGTGCTGCTTCGATTATGGCGGCCTGGGGCCGGGGCCACGGCTCTTCCCAAGGAAGCCCTGTCCTCGGTGAATGAGTACCTGAGACCTCCAGAGCTGCTTCTCCAACTCGCCAACGGAATTGTCGCAGTGTCTTTGGAGACTGGCCAGGCGCTGAGGTTCTTCGATACATCCAAGTTCGGCAACGCGGACTGCATCTTGGGCCCTGCGGCCATTTATGACTTCGCCCTGTGCGGTGAGGTGCAGTCTCACCCCACAGCCTCGGGCTTTGAGCTTCGAGTCCAGAGCAACCAAATCAGCTGCCTCCAGTGTGGGAGACCGCAGGTGTGGCAGTCCTTCAATGCAAAGTCCTGCGCAACAGCGTACACCGTGAGACCTGGCTCTGCATCTTTGGGCTGCATAGCCGAGCGGGCGAAGGACGTCCTACACGTTCATCTGGGATCAGCTGTCGTTTCTGATGCACATAACTGGCTGGCTACAGCAGTTTGGAGAAGCAGACAAGAGTTGGAGATCACCGTTTGGGACAGCGCCACAGGCAATGCGCGTGGCAGATTTACATGCGATGGCTGGTACCAACATACGTTTTCAGGGAGGGCCTTTTCGATGTTTGCCTGGGGACGCATCCTCATCGCCTGCGGCACAAAGGCCGGAGCCGGTGGACATGTATATGCAGCCGTCAATGTGTACGAGATCACGGATTCCGAGCTGCATAAAACATGTTGCAACATGTGTTCAGTCGCGCACATTGCGCATCCCCTAAACCGTTTCCACTCGGCAGCGTACAGTTATGTTCACACTCAGGAGACTGTTGTGAGACAGCTGCGGGATGATCCTTTCTGCCACAGCAACGAGTTCGTAGGCTTTAGCTTCATGTCCCCCAATCTCAGGGGCATCACAGTATCGCTGGACTTGCATGGGCCTCGCATCGTGACCTCCAGCTTCGGATCAAAAGGGTTGACGGAGCTTGAGGAGATGTTCAAGCCGACGGTTTCCGCTCCCTTTGATTTGTCAGGTTTGATCGGCGCCAGCTTGGAAGGAGAGTTTCTTGTTTCTTGGCGGATGCACGGCGGCCAAGGGCCAGAGGAGGAATGGTTGATTGTGGAGGCTTGGCACGTGGCAGACGTGGCACTTCGTGCGGATCTGGCACGGGCTCCATGTCGGGCCTGGAGCGCCACGCTCCGCGAGGAGCTGCTCTTCGTGGCCACGAGGCCGAGGACCTGCCGAGCCCTCGAAGCCCTGCTGCCGAGCCCATCGAGCCCGCCGGGCCAGGGCCTCTCAGAGCACTGGCAGAAGTGGCCAAGTCGGAGGGAGGCTGAGCGCTCTACTTCCGCTGGAGAAATTGAGGGACTCGCTTCATTTGCATTCCCATGTAGGAGTCTTCATACTATGTAGTGGATGCCAGAGCTACTGTAGACAGGAGTTGGCACTATTATTCTAGACGCCTCGAATGGCCGAGTACAGTAGGAGAGCTGAAACTCGTCAGTTTCGACGTGGGACTGTGATTCATCGGTTCAGTTGGCCTTGAAGACGCATATGTCTGTCCTTCTGCGGTCGAGGAAGGCAAGAGTCTTCGGCAAGAGGGTTCCGGTCAGTCGGCACTAGAAGTTTGTTTTCCAAAAGTCTCGTGCGTGAGGGCTTCATGTACAACCATCGCAGATGCTGCACTTGTTGCTGTGTGCCGAACACAAACCAGGGAGTGTGAGGTTTGGCAACCGACCCCTTCCTTTGGGTGCGGGGTTGCAACTTCATTGTCAGTCTTCTTGTGGTTACACTGCCGATGGGCAGTGAGAGCCGGGTCTGTAGTGCAGGACCCCCCGCGAGTCCACCATTCCCATGCGTTAAACGCCGAAGCCCCCACACGCGAGCACGCGCACACACCCCTCGAAGTGGATCATGCTTGGAATCTTGGCTTGTTAAAGCCTGCATCTAGCCTTTCTCTGCTGTTACAGACTGGACTCGTGCGAAGCTAGCCGTCTATGGGCGCAGCCATTGGGCCCCCTTGCTTGCAGGATCTCCGATCACAGATGGCCCGTGCCTCAGAGTGTATCTGCTGAGCATATTATCGATTATGCAGCAGGCTAATAGTGTGAACGCCACCGTATCGCTCGAAATGACGGCTCAGGAAGCGGCTCCAATCAATCAATCAACCAAGCAACCAAGCAATCAGTCAACTAGTCAATGAATACATCAATCACGCAAGCCAATGCAAAGACGGCTTTCTAGGCAGGACCGCTCGGGAGCCGATTCCCGAGGCAAGTTCGTATTCGAAGGTCGACTGGCAAACCGGGGACCGGCTCGATGTTGCAATTGCCCATGGCTTTCACCTTCAGTCGGGCACGGGTCGGAGCTCAGAATGTATAACACTGATAACATGCGCCGCACCTTGTTCGCGCGCGAAGCGTCCCGGTCCACCTTTGCCGGTGCGGGCGCCTCGGGCCATTCATCATTCATCCTTCGTCAGTGCCATTGACTCTGCACGCAAGCAGCCGACAGAGTTGCCATACGGATTTGGGGAACCCGTATAAAGATCACGGCCTAAGATAGACATGCTGGTTTCTTTGGTGCTCACGGTCATCAACCCACGAGGAGGACATGCGAAAGGACCTGTTCAATGAGAAGGCCCAGCCGACTAAGAGGGTCTCGGAAGGCTTCATTCGAGGGATGCACAGGCTGCAACTAGAGTCAGAGTTTGGAGATGTGGCCGTCGGGGTCCTTATTTCTGCAAACTCCCTACCAACATTAGTGGATGGAATGGGATGTCATTAGCCGAGCATTGGTGACTGGAACGGTTTGTTGGAGTTGTAACCGGTTAGACCTTCCACTATTGGAGCGAATTGCGTGTGCAATTCCTCCGAAGGTCGCTTGAAGTCTTGGCTTGGCTTGGCCTGAGATGCATGGTGCAGATGGTGGTGGTGGTCTTGATTATGATGAGCGAAAAATCTTTAGTAGATAGAACTTCGATATGCGAATGCGTTTCAGCAGTGCATGCGAAAAACAGCCTGTACATGTCTGCGTGTGGTAAGGTTTACGGAGCCCTTCCTTCAAAATCTCCTCCAGACTTTCAGCAGTCTTTCCAACACTAGGCTCCCTCAAGGTCTTAAGGGCATAACTTATAACCTTTAATCCGCAAGTCGTTGCCCGATAGGATCGATTGCTCTCGTAGTGGCGGCGTCGGTCTCCGTTCCTGCTGTTTCGGCACCAGACTCCGTTCCGCTGTGCCGTTTCTTTGCTGCACACACCATGTGATGATGTAGAACCAGAACTTGGAGACAGCGATGACGATCGCGATGGAACTGATAGAAGCAAGAGTGTGATGATGATGAGGATGATGCTGATGCTGATGTCGTCCATCACCATCCTGAGGATAATTTGCGATTGTTGGTGCTGGCGGTGGTAACGATTTTCGCGATACCACCTGACCGATCTGCCTCGTGTGATAGTTTTTCTTCTCGTGCTATGCCCTTCCATTCAGCCTGTCAGCATGTTTTGAAATCTCCTTCTGTTCCTAGCACTTGGACTCATCCATGCCTGGTCTCGACTCCCCAGTATGCTTCCCAGGAGAAAGTTGCCCATGTCTACACATGCAGAAAACCATGTTGCAGCTGGGCCTGCACCAGACTCCTCTGCTGCAAGACGCATGCCCTCCAATGGTCAGCTCCTGGCCATGACCCTTGCCGATTGAAGCTTGAACTTACGTTGTCGCACGACTTCCGATCGCAGGACCTGAGGCTACAGGATGTCGGGAGCCTTGATGCAGGGAAATTGGGAAGGGGGCAAGGACAATCTCCGGAATGCATTCAGCAGTGGTTGTCCGTGGTACCAGTTCTTGACAGACAAGGACGGCAAACCGCAAAAGCCAAAGCCCTACAAGCCTCAAGTGGTGCCGTGTCGGCACCGGCAGCCCTCCTGCACGATCCCCCGTTTTTTTTTGGCTCAGGGCTTCGGGGACCATCCATGGAGTAGCTGTTTGTCAAATCAAAAGGCAGATGCTGGAATTCTCGGCCCACCTTGTGGCACAGTAGTCCGGCTAGTGACCACACCACAGTCCTGAAGCTACAAACCCCCTAGCCGGAGCGAAGTTCTCTCGTCGCGATTCTGCGAGCACCTTCGAGACCTTCCTTGCGGCAAAGGTGGCATTCAGGATGTGATTTGTAATTCCTAAGCTAGTCAGCGTGCACGGCGCCTCAGTAAATCATCCTGAAGTCTGCACGAGGGTTTTGGGGTCGCAGCATCACCGGTGCCTTTGGAATGTGGCCGATGAGACGGGAATAAGAGCACCAAAGCTCTAGTTCGAGCTCTGAGACATACTCTTGCATGAGCAGGCATGGCGCATGCAGACAGCAGTGACGACGAGGACCTCCAGGGATGAGTTGGTAAGCCCTTAAAGACCTAAAGGTGTCGTCGTCGATGTTGCCTGGTTTGTCCGAGTGCGAGTGTCAGGTTCTGTCTTTGCGGATTGTTTGTGTTTGTGCCGATTTCTTCGTGGAGCCGAGATCGCGGCTTCGTGAGTGCTGGTGATTCTCTCTTGCTCACTTCAGTGTCCCCGCCCTCCTCGCCAGCACAGACTTGGTCGTCCTGAATTTGCGCTCGAACGCCGCGTCACATTCGGAAGTACTGTAGGGCCCTGCTCGATTGACAAGCGTGGTTTGATGCTCGCATCAAACTCAACAGAAACGTTAGTGCCAATGCTAGCAACAGCATCACAAACAGAGATACAGCCGCTGCCACCGTCACTGACTGCTCCTGAATCAGCATTAGCCACAACATCCTGCTTCTCCTCGCCCTGCTCCTGCTGCTGGTTTTGCCTTGTCGCTCTCCTTTGTACCATCGTCACGATGATTGAAATTATGATCCCCATGGCAATCCATGCCCAGCGTTCACTGCTGTCATCTCCATCTTCTTTCTCATCCGCGGAACGCACATCACTTCACTCTTCGAACTCACGGAAAACATCACAACGAATCGCGAAGCATCTGCAAGGAGGCCTCTGACTCCAACCCCGTGGTCCTCGAGAGTGCGGCGTTGGCCTCAGCTCACCTGCGGCTCCACGGTCTTGCACGCATGAGGGCCACCTGATCGTAGCTTGGCGAGACGGTATCCCGGTCACCCCGCGTTGCCAGAGAAAGGCCTCCTGGCCACAAGCAGTGATTCGAACGACTTCCAAAGTTCCTCTGCGGAAGATAATTTTCGAAAGCTTTCAACACCGCATACTGCAACTATACGGGACACAGACCGACTTACGAAGCTACACCCTAGAGGCGAAAATCTTGGGCGAGTGTGCGAGCCGAAAGCCGAAAGTCTAAACTTCACGCACCTCGACTCCAAACCCCATGACATCGGATTTCTCCCGGCACCGCGAAGGTTGGGATTCGGAACCTGTCCCTGGAGAGAGAGACTGCCGGGGCCCGTGAGCCTGTGATGGCTCCGGAGCTTCTAGGTCCGATCCAATTAGCCGGTTTTCCAACATGGCGCAGAGGTGCCCCGACGTTGCACTCCGAGTAGCCTGTGGCCGAAGAGCAGCCGCGAAGCACACCGAGGCTCGCTCGCTGCTGCAGCAGGCCTCGGGACTGGTGAAGGGCGGACGGTTAAGTTCTTGACGCCTTGAAAAGCACTGTTCCCCGAGCTCAGCCCGACTCCCTGCCAGAAGAGTCCGAAATGCAAGCTAGGGTCTCTATTGCCTCATGGCCCAATGAAACTATGATGCAACTGTTCATGAATCCTAAATGCTGCTGTCACCAAGCGACAGCAGACAGAGGGCCACTGACGGCCTGAGGCGCGCGAAGCAACGGCCGCCGCACAGAAGCAGGCCTTCGCTTGCCTGAACCTTGGGTCTAGGCCCTAGGTACCGTTTCAAGGCTTGAGGGGTGGAGAATACCACAAACTGTGGCCCTGGGAACCAGTCAAAGGCAGCAAAGCAACAGAGCTGCCGCCTCGCCCACGGATTCCAGCAACGGTCAGCGTATGCTCTTTGGTTACGTGGCTTCCACTCTGAGAGGTCGTGTTGCTCAGCCTTAAACCAAAGCCCAAACCGAGAAGCCTGAAGCCCCACTTTTACGTTCTACGCTCGGCGCCCAAAACTGCAAATTCCGAGCTTCCATGCGAATGGGCGCAGGTGGACAGCGGTCCGGAGGACCGGGCTTGCTGCACGAAGCCACAGCAGTAAGAGTGTAAGATGCGATGCAAGTATGGTAGGAGTTGGCATCGGCTGAAGCAGTATAAAGAGTCATGGTGCTCATGATTACATGCGGTCAACGTTGCTCTTTTTCCTACATCTTCGGTTTCCGAAATGAAGCCTATCGTCGTGGAAAGACGGACGGCAAATCGGCCATCACCATCACCAGCACCACCAGCCCCAGCCGCAGCTTCATCATCATACTCTTACTCCCCAGAGTCGTCGGAGCGAGTATAAAGTTGGTCACTGCTGCGACTATCGCGACAATTTGAGCCAGGCGAGGCGAGCAGCAGTCACCACAATCTTCAGATCATCCTCATAGTCATAACATAGTTATAGTAGTAAGTTTTGGCTTTATACCTGCCATCATCTATACGTCACCCTCATAGTAGCAAGTCGCTGCCACGACAGTAGTGATCGAAGTGTTCGGACATGCACAGAGGTTGTGTCAGTGGGAGAGCCATTTTCGCCCTCTTTTGTGCAGCCACCTTCATTAGATGCCGACTCATCGACATGCAATCAACGAAACGGCTGTCGAAAGCGTCGTTTGATGATCTTTTTGGATCTGTATTTGCTTGTCGTGTATCGTTATGTGGTAGAACAAAGATACGCTGAACAACGCCGTGCGCTCATGCCTGGCAGTATTCTCAAAACTCACTAATGTGATATGCCAGGCTCCAGTGCGAGGTTTCATGCCGGCATGAAGTCGAGGCGTACAGACCAGCTAGCAGTTTAACATTTGGGATTCTAGAGGTGGGGCTTGGTAAGACGGTGGGCCTTCCGATTTGGTATCAGCCTCGCAGTTCTCATGGCGCATGGACCGAAGAATCGCGCAGACGGCTGTCATTGTTCGGATGCACAGTTCGGCGACTCAGGTTCATGGCTTAGGCCCTGGGCTTTTGATGAGAGTAGATGGCAGCTGGTTCCGAGTTCTGCAGGCGGCGTTGCTGCAACGCCTTCAAATAAAGCAGATGGCGCTCAGCACCCTGGCAGCGCCTGTTGTCAGTGTTGCTCTGATGGCGGCTTGCGGCTTGTTGTCATTACTATTCGTGCCGACATTCACAACCATCACCATGGTGTCATTGTCCTCATCGTCGCCTGCAGCTACTATTTTGGTCTTCATCCTCCTTCGCCGGTCTTACCAGCAGCAGCCGCAACACCACCTACCAGTACTACTTTTCTTCACCAGCATCCCCACCATGATAATTCTGATCACCATAATCACCGTCACAACGTCGTGCTCCTCCTCCTCATCTTCATCATCAGAACTATGTCATAACTATGTCTTGCGGGAAAGGGGTGTCGGCACTGAGACTACCGTCTGGCCCTGATGGCAACGATATTGTTCTGGCTTGGTATCGTCCCTGCTCGTGTGAAACGTGTGAGGTTGGAACCATGAGATGTGATGGCTGTGACAGAGAGGGAAGGAATGCCGAATACCGAAGTGATCAGGGCTAGGCCCTGTCTAGGCTGTGAGCAAGTATATCGTCTTGGGCACGAACACAGGGGTTTCTCTTACTTGCATGTGGCCCACAGCACTGGAGCCCATAATCATACGCACATGCAAGAACCGGATCAAAGCCACTGTCATGTTATTATTGCCGCTCTTATTCCGTGTTCCGGCTCGGGCATGCCGTGACCTTGCTGAAAGTCTGCCTTGCGCCATTCACAGGTTGAACTCCAAGCCCTGCCTGGGTGTACATTCCGCCCATATCCGTGCACTCTGTCGACTGAAGGTTCAGAGCTCAAGCAGCGGGAGCAGGACCTACAGGCAACCATAACAGGTCAGTTTCGAGTGATCCGGTCTGTGGAAGGTGCTTCCTCCGTCTTTAGTTTTGGTGCTTGAGCTGACGGCAGTACAAGTACAACAAATGAAGAATTTGGCCAAGTCAATAGATTCAATAGATACACCAGCAGTTGTCGTGATGCCAACCGCAGGAAGCAGAGAGGGAAAGTACTTGTTGAATGAAGTCACTCACAATCATCGAATCTCAATAGGGCTTGTCGTAGTGCTGGCGGTGGTGGTGGTGGTGGTGGTGGTGGTGGTGGTGCAACAGTGCGCTGCTCGATTTGTGGTAGTTCCGAAGCGTCTTGTTGCCGCTGAAGAGCTTAAAAGAGTCTGGTGGGCAGCCGAACTCTGCTCAGTCATTGAAGGAAGCCTACCTTCCCTTCAAAGCTCTACCCCGAAGGACGAGCCCGCAGCTTATGTGAAGCACTTTCCGCTCTCTGACGTTCAGTTCAGGGCAGCAACGGTGTCGAAGAGGAATCATGAAGGAACTTTCGCTCTCAACGTGCAGTGTTTCCTGCCTTGCCCTCTACTGGAGCCCCGAAATGACAGGCTGCCAAGCGAAGGGAACGAGCAAGCGGAGGCAGAGGGTTCCTGTCCGGAAGCTCTAAGAAAGCGTCTGGAGTTTGGGGCCGCCTCTTGAAGCTGCGAAAGCTTTGAAGCTTTGAAGGAGTCTTCAGCGGTGGCGGCCTCGCGGTGGGTCGAAAAGTCCGGGTTAAGCCGCTCTGCTGCTCTGGGGGCTGGGGTCATTTCCTTCGGGAGTTGGGGCAGGTTAAGGGCTGGAAGTACGTGGTCTTGAAGGTAGCCCTTGTAGTAGAAGTTGTAGGGATTGATGGAACTTTCGAAACGCCGGACAGTGCAGTTCGGAGTGTTCAGGTATGTAAGGGAAAACGATGATGATGATGATGGTGATGATGGCCAGCGGGATTGTTATAGCTTCTTCGCGCGGCTTTCACACGAACAGCAGCTTGAAGCCCAAAAGCCCAAGCAGAAGCAGAAGCAATATCAGTGTGCCAATTCAGGTACAGCCTGACTGTAGCCGTAGACGGAAACGTGTCCGTGTCCGAGGCAAGCTGACCGTTTTGGCCGAGCTTTTCCTGCAGGAGGGATAGAGGACTGGGTCTGGGTGTGCCTCTTGCATCCTTAAGGCCTAGGCCCGATCTAGAGCTGGACTTTCTTGCATTGCTATGCCCTCCCTGCGTCCGAGATGCAAACGAAGGCCCTGAGAGATTTGGCTTAAGGTCCACATTCAGCATGCGGCTTGTGGCTTCAGTCTTTTCGTCTGCCATGATGCTGTCTTGGAAGCACTGGGCTCCCCTGTTCCTGGTCGGTGCGGTAGCTCGGAACCGCACAGAGTCCTGCGAGGACATGGACAAAGAAGCCATGTCCTGCCTACAGACCCGACAGGGACAAAAAGTCATGAGTTCAAGCAGTGCTTGTGATTGCGTGTACACCATCCAGTCTGGGGATACCTGCTGGGCAATTTCCAAAGACTATTTCGGGGTGGAGTACCCGGATATCCAGGTGATGAGCACCGGGGAGACTTGCCCGGATGCCGCCTTATATGTCGGCGACCAAGTATGCGTTACCGGCCCCACCAAAGGCAAGGAGAAGTGCGAGGGTGGAAGTCCCGACTGCGTCTACATTGTGCAGTCCGGGGACTCGTGTTGGGCCATGTCAAAGGAGATCTTTGATGTGCCTTATGAGTCGATTACGAACATGCAGACCGGCGAAAAATGCCCGGACTGCGCTGTGAATGTGGGTGATCAGATGCAGATCGACAACCCACAAAAGGGCCAAGACAAGTGCGAAGGCCCAACCCCCACATTTCCGCCAAGCCCGGGACGTTGTGAGTGGCCGGAGAACTTCCAGACGGAGCTGTACTGGATGCCCTACACCGAGAAGGATGCGCTTCCCTCTGCCGATATCCTGAAGCGCGTGACCAAGGTGATCATGGCCTTCGTTGGGACCTATGCGTACACCAAGGAGTCGCAGTGGCAGGAGTACAAGTGCGAGTCCAGCTGCACCTTCCCGAAAGTCTGGCCCTTGGTCAGCAAGGGCCAGGAGTGGGCAACGCAGATGAAAGCCATGAACTCCAACCTCGAAGTGACGATCTCCTTCGGTGGCTGGAACCAGGGCCCTGGAGACCAGAACCTGGACTGCTACGAATTCTCCGGCTGCTATGCCGATGTTAACGGCCTAGCGGACGAGCTGGCGCAACTCAACGGTGGATCCATCGATGGCATTGACCTGGATTACGAAATGTCTGAAGACCTTTCGTCTGGCACAGGTGTCACCTTCCTCGGCTTGCTGAGCAAAGCGCTGCAAGATCGCGGCGTTCATGTCTCTCAGGCGCCCCAGCCGCCGTACTTCGACACTTCCGGCCCAGGCGGCGGCTCCTACACGAAGCTCTTGCAGGAGTACCCCGGGTGCAAGAAGGACGTCATGGCGATCCAGTATTACAATAACCCGAATTTTGCCATCGGCCTAGACGATGACAACATCGCGATAAATTACTGGGGTGCAGTGGATGACATGGGCGGCGACGCCTCCAAGGTGCTCTTGGGCCTCTGCTTCGTCGACTGCAATGATGGCTTCAGGGCCTACGACCCCAGCTTCCCAGCGAAGAGCCAGACCTTGGCACCCAACTTGCTCAAAAACGTAATGTCCAAGGGCATTGGCTTCGGTGGCATCATGATCTGGGCGAACCCTCAGTCGAAGAAGAGCAGCAAGTGCAAGGATGCTAGTGGGAAGGATGACGGCTGCTTTCCCCAGATGCCGGCATGGCTGGACACCATCTGCTACTCCGTGGGAGGCACGCCAGCTCCCACACCACCACCGCCGCCCGTGCCGGAGGATGGATACAACGGGCAGTTCATGATCCCAGCACAGTGGGGCTCATCGTCCTGGAAATACAAAGGCCCCAAGGGGCCAATTGGCATCTGCTTCGGTGGTGCCAGCGTCATCCAGATAAACACCGACGCCGGATGTGCCCCAGGTGGTGATACGTACCAAGTGACTGTGGACATGTTGACGAAGGGCGGGCAGAAGTTCTACGATTTCGGAGGGGGCGACCCTGACAAAAAGCAGTGGTACACCGAAGATCTCCTGGCCAAGCTGAATGACTACATGGACACGCTCGTCGGAAGCTATGAGGGCATCTTCTATGACATCGAAACCTTCCCGAAGGACTTTAACCCAACAACCATGAAGAGTGCCCTGGACCTCTCCTTCTCCATGGCCAAGTCCAAAGGATTCAACATTATCGCTAGTACTTCGTACACATCACCTTACACGCCCTCAGGCTATCCAAGCGACTACCAGCAGCGCGCCGACGAGGTGTGGAAGCATGTCATGGCGAATCCGGACATCGACATCTTTGCGCCGCAGTTCTACAGCAACGGCAAGACGGCTGACATCCGAGAGACCAGCGGTAGCTCCGTGAAGTTCACGACGTGGACCAGCACCATCCAGGATTCCTCCGGAAGGATCCGCCCCATTTTGAAGGCGTACTCCTGGCAATACTACGAGAACCAGGTGGCTCAGATGGAGCAGAAGTGCAAGAGCATACCCGATGAGTTTTGCCAAGGTGGCTATCTCCTCTGGGGTGGCCCTTGAAAGCTGAGGCTTTCACGGCCTCAGTGGCCTTTCCCCAAGGGACTCCGGTTAAAGGGGACGTGTTTGGCGAATACCGGGGCCAAAGAAGCAGTGCAGCCCCAAATCCGCCGATCCATTGAAGGCTTCGAAGCTGAGATCCTACTAACCGTACCAACCCTTCAACAGCCGAACCCAAACCCAAGCAAGCAATCCTGAAGTCGCAGATGGATCGGGAAAGTGCACGACCGCAAAACATGGGAGTTCCCGGAAGCTCCGAGGCATCATTGACACATAGGACCTTCGAACTCCGGAAATTGTACAATTAGGTACCTTCTATACGTAGTCTCGTACTAGTCGTCGTAGTCGTAGTCGTCGCAGTTCTACTAGTATACTAGTAGTCCCACTTCTCTGCGGCCTCGATTCTCCGGAAATCCCCAGACGTTTCAATGTAGCTAGTCATTGCATGTTCTTTCCCCTTCGGTTCTGCCTTATGTGGACGTTTCTTGAAGCATGGCACAGAAAATTCACAACTTCACGACACGGATCCAAGAGTTGGGTTTACGAGAAGCTTCCACTTGCCTCTTTGCCGCTCTACCGCGATCATCCCTTACGGGGATACGGGGTCTTTGCAGAGTGGCCGACAACGGAGATTTTGCTTGGTGTCAGAGCTCTAAAAGAGGCTCTTGATCTTGCGTGGTGCTGGGATTCCTTAGTTGACGCAAGACTTCGTGATATCACTCCCGCAACACACCCCCTGGCCGTGTTCCTATGGCCTTTGAATGATGTAGACAGACTGTCCTTGGCTGCACCGAAGCCGTCGATCCCTGGAGGGCGAGATCGTCCAGATCGGCCGGTCTTCTCTACCCACACGGCGAAAGGAGGCCGGCAGCTGCAGCAAGCTACAATATGCCCCAAACCCTATTCTAATTATTTAGGCCCCTATAGTACACAGCCGAGGACCACGAGCTCTTGATCAAAACGCTCTTGCCTCAGGCAGAGAGATGGAGCGACGATTGTGCGATCGGAGAAGCGAGGCACATAGGAAAACATAGGCATTGAAGATCAAACAAAAGGTGGAGTAGTTTCCAGCACACATTGTGCAGCTGTTCCTCAAGATGTTTTTGCTGCCTCAGCGCTCTGTTGACCCTAATGTTGATCTTGGATCATTAGACGCGGCGTTTTTGTGGCCGACGTGGAGTGGACTTCCCAGGCTCCGCGCCCAGGTTCAGGGCCCTTAGCCTTAGACCAGACCCTGACAGATTCTGCTCCAAGTTTGAGCGGACCAATTGTCGGTTTTCCGTTGAGGCACCTGTAAGGCTTGTTCCAAGATGCCACCACCATAGCTGACTCTCCGAACTTCAGTCGAGATGCGATGACTTGGGCTTCACTAAATGGTAGGAAACCAAGCGCTCAGAGTGGCATCCGGTCCCTTCAAAGTCTAAGACAAAACAGCGAATCCATCGCGGAAACTCCACTCAAGCTAGGAATGCAGACCTGTGCAGCAAAGGCCCTTTGGCTCTCGCCTTTGGGTGCAGAAATCCTGCGTGGAGCTGCTTCCACCAGGCCCAGGTGCTTCAAGGGTCCTACGAGGTTTGCGGGTTGTTCGGCTTCTATTTGGCAGGACTTTTCCACGGAAAGCTTATCAGCGTGCAGGGATCTGACAAGGTCTTGCAGCACGTTCTTGCTGTTGCAATTCCAGAAATGACATTACATGCTGGTAAGGCAATGCTGTAAACGGATTTCCCGGGTTGTGGGCAAACGGAATGCTGCAATCTTGCTAGATTTAGAAATTCTGGTCAACCGCTTGATTTGATTTGGCACTTCGATTCCAACTAAGTTTGCCTCAGACGCACTTCTTTCTGTCGGTTCCTAAAAGCCGAATGTAGCGATATTCCTTGTTTGCAAACAAGTCATAGCTCGCTGCTTGATCCAAATCTTGCTCCAATTATTGGACCTGCAATCTGCTGGTCTTTGTTGATTCGGCCATGACAAGACTTGACGTTGCCGTAGGAGCCAGCCTAGAGTTATATAAGTTTTGCGTCGGTCGGTATCAGATATCCAAACTCCACACCTTGAGCCGGATCCGGGGTCGAGCCGCAGCCAAGGGATCAATGTCTCGCGAATCTTCAACTCCGTGTCTGCGGCAGCGCAGGGCCTCTTTGGCGGAGCTTCGGCTTCATACGTCATTTTGGACCCGGAACAATTTGACACCCAAGGTCGGGGTTGCGCAAGGTTCAGCGTGGATAATGTAGCTGTGAAAGCGGCAAAGGCTTTCGCGGCTGAGGTTGGGGGTGTGGAAGTGTTGTGCTTGGCGCGGACCTATTACTGTTATGTGATTACAACCAGTACTAATGTGGATAATCAACGAGACTACTGCTGCTACTGCTGCTGCTTCTCCTATTCCTAGTACTATTGTAGTAGCAGTAGTAGCAGTAGTAGTAGTAGTAGTAGTAGTAGTAGTAGTAGTGGTGCTACTACTACTACTACTACTACTACTACTACTACTACTACTACTACTACTACTACTACTACTCCTGCTGCTGCTGCTACTACTACTGCTGCTATCACTACTACGACGACGACTACTACTACCACCACTACTACTACTTCTACTGCTCATACTGCTAGTACTGCTAGTACGTTCTAGTACTGCTACTGTTGATGTTGTAAACCCCGCATTACCTTGACCCGAAACTGTGGGAATGATGGTCTATGCCTTGTTATGGGAAATGCAGGATTTATATCATCAACCGTAGTACTGACACTACTAATTACTATTACTACCACCACTGCTACTTCTACTACTTTTACTACTTCTACTACTTCTACTACTTCTGCTACTTATACTACTTCTACTACTTTTACTACTCCTGCTCCTGCTACTTCCTGCTCCTGCTCCTGCTCTTGCTCCTGCTCCTGCTCCCGCTCCCGCTCCCGCTCCTCCTCCTCCTCCTCCTCCTCCTCCTCCTCCTCCTCCTCCTCCTCCTCCTCCGCCTGCATACCACCTACGGCTGGGAACTTCGCAATCTTGAATCCCGAGGTGGCTGTCGAGATGTCTTCTACCAGGGCTATTGCCTGGTTCTTCTTGACAAGCAGCAGGAGGTCCTAGCGATGAGTGGGACCAAAGGTCACTTTTTCGAGGTGCTGGCAAAGGACACAGTGGAGAAGCTGCCGGTAAGGTGGGAAGCACCGCTTGAGGATGAGTCGGAGGCCGCCTACTTTGCCAGGCTTCGGGACATTGCCAACAAGGAAAGTAAACCATTGGCTTGGCGCAAAGGTGGTGGCAGCTGCCTGGGGCTTCGCCTTGGCAGCCGCTCAGAGCTCCCTCTGGTCGCCGGCAACTACGTGTGCAATGGCTTGCCCAGCAGCCGGCGTGACATTGATGTCACAACTTTCTTTGAGAGTGCTGGCTGGAACAATGTGCAAATTTTGAGTCGGCCGAGCAAGCGAGTGGGATGGCGAATTTACGCGGTTCCCCCCTCGACTGACTTGGCTCAATTCATTGAAGGTGACGATCTCATGGTGACGGTCACCCGCTGTACAGGCACCAGACGGCCGGTGAGTGAGACGAGCGAGCGCTGGAAGCCCAACAAGGGCTGGAACAGCAATCACAATTTTGGGCGTGGTTTTGGACCTCTCCAACAGAGTTCCCCCAATCCCGCCGACACCGAGGAAATGGACTTGGATATGGAGAGTGGAGACGGTGCAGCGAAACAGTCGCTGCAGGAGAAGATGGAGGTGGATGCCAATACGGCGAATGAGGAATCCAGCCAAAAACGCGAAGCTCCTGCCGACAGCCACGAAGGCGGGCACAAGGAGAAAGTCAAGGCGAAGAAAGAGAAGCTCGAGGACCTCGATCCTTGGACGACTTGGTCGGCCGATTATCCTTTGCTTGACTTCGGAGGTGAAGGTCGTTGCGGTTACAACTGTTTGGCGGCGGCTGCTGGGTTGGTAAGGGGCGATGACTTGAAGAAGTGCCAGGAGACTGCTGTGAGTCGAGGACGTACCCTGAGGCATGAAGTTGCTCAATACTTTGCGGTCAAGCGGATTGGTGCTGATGTTTGGCGCCCGGACCCACACTGGACGGAGGAAACCGAGGGAGGGGACGTCCCTGCTAGCTATGGCGAGTGGATACTCAGCCTCAACCGCGACCATCGCTGGCTTTGTGGGGATACCCTGGCTGCTGCGGCAAACCGGCTGAAGCTGACTGTCGTGTTGCACCAATGGTCCCAGGACAGGTGGAGTGAACCCATCCTCTTCGGCAAGGGCAAAACGTGTGTGGGATTGGTGCTTTGTCGTGGACATTATCGCCTTATCAATCCGAATGTCAAGGAGATTCCCGCTCTATGGAAGAATGGCACCAAGTACTCGTCGGGGATGGTCCTTCGAGGAGGCGGCTGGCTCTCCTCCTCGCGTTCCTTGGGCACCAAGTCCGCCGACGGCAGCCTTTACCGTGGTGGTGGCTGGCTTCCTTCGCGATCGAGCGCTTCGGCAAAGAGCGTCAAGTGGTTGCCTGCTCTTACGGGCTCCCACGGTGGATCGTGCAGGACTTCACGAACCAAAGCGGCGGCCCCCTCTGCGGCTTCTTCGGCTGGCTCCGTGGAGACCTTGGAGGCACTGGCAGGCAGAACCCTGGCTGAGGCTTTCGGAGGTCCTTGGTCGAGGAAACCTCCTTCTGCCAGGGCGGCTTCAAGTGTGGCAAGCTCTACGAGCAAGGCACGTGCGCTGGTTCCGGGCGCACCAGAGGGCGAGGATGCGCGATCATGTCGGCACCTCCAAGATGGTGATCGCGGGCTCTACCAATGGGTGGAGCACGAAGCTGACAAGGACAATCAACGGCTGGCTCCGATGGGGATTGCGGAGCTTTGCTGTTTTGGCCTGTTGCTTGGGATGGCCTCCTTGGTGGTGGCATCTCATGACTTTGATCTTTTGGATCATGGCTGCTTGGCTGTGGGTGTCAGGCGGTCAACTGAAATTCAAGAAGGCGAAGCTTTCGCCAATCCAATGGGCAGGCGCTCGATCAAGAGAGCGTTGCATCTTTGGGGCCCGGGCACGGCTAAGCGCCGCAAGTGCCACAGCCATGTCAGGGCATTTGATGGCAGGACGCTTGGGTCGCTCCTTGGGAACATCGCCGCCTGGAGGGCCAGGTGGATTGGAAGAAGGAGGCGGGCTTGGAATGGCAGACTTCGTCGTCTAGTTACGTTGCACCGTGGCAAGTCGCGCACGATGCGGTGGCTGCCGGGGCAGCCTGCTGTCTGGAGGAGGTGCCACTTTGGAGGACAGGGCCCCGGCAGTTCCTTTCGAGGTGGCGGCGGCGGATCGGCAACTACTGGTCGTCGGCGTGGCGAGGGCGGGCTGCTCCGAGTACTTCGCGGACCCCTGCACCAAGGACATGGACATGGCAAGGGCAAGAGCAAGGGACAACCTACTCCGCCTACTCCGTCCTCACCTTCCCCTTTGGACTCATCCTGGGCTGCGGTTGCCGCGGGACGAGGCAAAGCCAAAGGAAAAGGCAAGGACCATGACAAGGGCGGCGGCAAGGGAAAGGGCAAACATGGCCATGGACCAGTGCAGCATCCTAAAGGGCAGGGCAAAGGCAAGGACCGCGTGGACACTGTTGAACTCTTGACCAGCAACTTTAAGCAGTTCCCGGTGGTCTCTTTCAATGCTTTCAAGAAGCGCCTTGCCGAGGGAGACACCAAGACTGTATGGATTCGCGTTCAAGACAGCACCCAGGCTGTTGAAGTGAAAGAATTTGCGGAGCTCCAGGAGATTAAGATGGCTGGCATTGTCTTCGAAACCAGGGCTGCCACGCATGCCGATTGGGGCGAGCCGGTGAAGCTTATGGTCAGGACGGCGAGTGGCAGGATTGAGGCCAAGAGCTACTTCAAGACCTTCGTCGGCAGCGGGTTCCCGGAGGACCTTGGAGTGGCAGGCACCCGTGCTGCCACCACACCCGACAAGCACAAGCTGGTGACATTGAGGGTACGTTGTCCCAAATTGGTGTTTGATGAAGGAGCCTGGGCCAATCTGGCTAAGGACCCTAAAGTTAAGCTCAACGAGATCCTGGGGATGGCGGGCCACACCTCCTATGGCTGGGAGCTCCGCAATCTGGGCAGTCGTGGAGGCTACCGGGATGTGTTTTACCAAGGCCACTGCAGAGTTCTTCAAAGTGCCCTCGAGACGGTCATTCAGAAGAGCGGGACCGCCGGCTACTTCTTCGAAGCTTTGGCCAAGGACGGGGGTGAGAAGCTTCCTGTGAAATGGGAGGCCCCGCTTGATGATGACGAGACCCCGAGTGCTTATGCCCAAAGGATTGTGGAACTGGCTGGGAAAGCTCGCAGGCCGCTCGCATGGCGCAAAGGCAGGGGCAGCAACCTTGGCATTCGTCTTGGTAGCCGGGAGGAATTGCCTATATCACAACAGGCACTTTTGAGTGCAGCAATATCCCGAAGTCTTGGCGAGATGTTGACGTCACCGCTTTCTTTGAGAGTGCCGGGTGGCGTGAATTGCAAGTTTTGCATCGGCCTGGGCGGAACAGGGATTGGCGCCTTCGTGCCATACCTCCCTCACCAGCCTTGGCTCAATTCGTGGAGGGCGACAACATCATGATTACGGCTGTGCGTTGTACAGGCTCCTACAGGCCGGTCAATGAGAAGATCGCCAAGTGGAAACCGAGCACAGATCGCGGCTCGGGATCTGGTTTTGATTTTGGTCGTGGTTCTTTCTTCGGGCCTCTCCAGACGGGTGACCCCGACGATGCCGAGGACTACGACGACATGCATGTGGATAACGAGGAGAACGGGCGGGAGCCGGCTAGGGAATCTACGACAGAGGCGCAGGGGAACCCGGACTCCAGTGTGGGCAGCGAGGTCGCCAATAGCAAGCGCACGGCACCGACTGAAGATAAGGGCGGCAAAGCTGGCGAGACAAAGGAAAAGAAGGCGAAAAAGCCTAAGCAACCACCGGACCCTTGGGCATCGTAGCCACCGTCTTATCCGCTGCTTGACTTCGGTGGTGACGGGCGGTGTGGTTACAACTGCCTGGCTGCTGCGGCTTCTCTTACTCGTGGCGACGAGCTCGCCAAGGTTCAGGAGAATGTGATCAGCCGGAGCAGAACTTTGCGACACGAAGTGGCCCAGGCAGTGGCTCATAAAAAGTTGGGGGCTGACACCTGGCGACCTGACGCCAAGTGGACTCCGGAGACAGAAGGAGGACCGGTGCCCACTTCGTATGCTGACTGGGTCGGGAGCCTTGCTCGCGACCAACGATGGCTTTGTGGCGACACCCTCAACATTGCAGCGATGAGGCTGAAGATGACCATCATCCTCCACCAATGGACGGGGGAGGAGTGGAGCGGCCCAATCGTCTTTGGGCGTGGCGAGGCATGTGCTGGACTGGTTCTATGTCGAGGTCACTATCGGCTAATAGATCCGGGGAGCCTGCAGGTGCCCGCGGCTTGGCGCAATGGGGTCAAGTACTCTTCTGGCATGATCGCACGAGGAGGCACTTTTGCTAGAGGAGGTGGTTGGCTACCGGCCTCTTCTTCCTCGGGTTCCTCCAGGGCCTCTTCTTGTTCTGCGGTGCAGAGGAGCAGTGCAGAGGGGAAGCCGGCCGTTGAGCTCAAGGCAAAACCTTGCTGGCTTCCGCCGTCAAGTGCTTCAGCTTCTTCGAAAACGAGTCGGTCGACAAAGGCACGTGCTTGGCTGCCTGCCAGGTCGGAGTGCTCTGGCCTTGGACGGGTCGGTTCTAAGACCGGGTCGGCAACCTCTGTCGGTAGAGCCAAGTCGATGTCGCGTTGTTCGGTGCAGCATGTGATCGAGGACCACCCGGGCAGGCCGGCTTCGGCTGCTGTGCCGAGATGTGCTGCTAAGTTTTTGCCTCGCTCGACTTGCTCTTGCTGTCCTGGCAAACAGCCTCCTTCGAAGGAGGCGTGGCTTCCACCTGCGTCTGCCGATGATAGGCATTCTGTGCTTTCGTGCTCCTCTTCGGCTAGGTCTTCTGGAAACGCTCTCTCTACTAAGGCTCGCTGTCATGGGCCACGGGCGACCGCGGAGGAGCCTTCTTCTTCTTCTTCTTTGCATACCGAGGCTATGAATGGAGGTGGCCACCGACGTCTTGGTCACGACGATGCGGGCAAAGCCCATGGCCAGGACTTGGCCCCGATGGGACCCCCAGCGCCTCGGCACACAGCTGCCTTAGAGGAAGCCGTGCGGAAGCTCTGCAATGACGAGTTGCAGGTAAGCTTTTGCCAAATCTCGCAGGGAGGACAGTGGGCCACGGCGGTACCAGATTCTCCTTGCTGCTTGGAAGCATTTTTGCAAGGTCCGAGTTTCAGGGAGCGCCGGCCACCGACTCCGGCGGTTGGACTATGCGAAACGATCTGCCGGCCATGGTGGCTCTAAGGCTCAGTGGGCTTGGCAGGGCCTAGCAACTTTCCTCTCCTGGATTTTGGGGGAGAAGGACGGTGCGGCTACAACGTTTTAGCCGCCGCTGCCGGGTTCGTGAGGGGCGACGACCCCACAAAGGCCGGGAGGTCGCCATTGAGCGAGGTCGGACCCTCAGGCATGAAGTCGCCCAATGGGTGGCCAAGCATCAAATGGGAAAGGACCTGTGGCGCCCTGATGATAGGTGGTCCGAAGAGACGGAAGAAGGAGCAGTGCCGACCACATATTCCGAATGGGTCAGCTCGTTGAGGCGTGACCGCAGGTGGCTTTGCGGCGACACCCTGATGGTGGCGGCGCAGAGGCTCAAATTGCAGACCATCCTTTACCAATGGACAAAGGGGGCATGGTCCGATCCAATCTTGTTTCGCAACCAAGGTCCTTGCATTGGAGTTCCTGGCAAAGGGACATTACCGCCTGATCGATCCTGGGGCCAATAAGCTGCCGGGCAATGGGATAAGCAATGCTGTCAAGTTTGGGAGGACTGCTGAGGATAAACAACTATTGTCTAGCAGGCACAAAACAGGAGCCGCTGGCTTCCTTATTGTACATCAATCTTGAAGGAGCCTTCGCTTCCTTTTTGTACAATATCTTCAAGGAGCCTTCGGCATCCTGATACGTGTGCTCCCCGAGAAAAAACCCTAGCCCTATAACCCGTTTGGGTGCCCTGACCCGTTTGTGGTTTAGGACAGGTATACCCTAAAGACCCTAAACCCGAACCCTATACCCTAGAGTGTTGTGGAAAAACCTTAAAACCTTCAACCCCTAGAGATCCTAAAACCCTAAGGGTTTGAAGGTTTTAGGCTTAGGGGGGTTTAAAGGTTGATAGCTTTGAGGGTTTAGGGTTTGGGGCCCTGGACTTTTCAAGGTTCTGTTTAGGGCAGGCTTAGCGGGTTTAGGGTTTAGGGGTTAACATAGTATCCATAGATTGCTCTATACACAATAATATATATATATATATCTATAACTACACGTACATCTCTATATGTATATATGTATATATGTACATATGTACATATATATATATATATATATACATCATAGATACATATGAATATGTTTATATACACATATAGGTATATGTGCATATATATATATACATATGTAAACATATACACATATACATGTATACATATATACATATATGCATATACAAATAAATAAATATAAATATACATATACATATATATATATATATATATATATATGTATATACGTATACTTCTATGTATAGATAATGATGCAAGGTATGTTCCCCCGGCCCGGCTGTGGACAATCCGATGGCTACCTAGGTATGCGACTCGAGTTGACACCAACATCTTATTGTCAGGCATGGGTTTCGTTGAAATCGAACTGGCCACCAAAGTCACTCGGAGGCACGGCTCGTCTTGGAGTTTCAGGGCAAAGCGTGACGACACCTTAGAGTTAGTGCAAGGACTCTATGATGGCGGTGACGGCACTGAAGAGGTGCAGGCTATGCTGGAATCAATGCGAAGAGGCCAAACTCGCAAGGAGCATCCTTTGGGCTCTGAGCGGCGTGTCAGCTACTCTACGGCGGCTCCTTGCGACAAGCGCGCCGAAGATCTGACTGAGGACACGTGGAAGGATTGCTTCGATTGTGAGCAGGTTGACGAGGATGCCGAGGCGGACGAGCTTGGCGGCATGACCGATGCCCCGCCGGGTGCCAGCCTCGTTGTTTCCTCTGCTGAGGGCGCTGCGACGGGACAGGAGCTTGAGGCGACCACCGCAGGCACAAAGAGGCAAGGCTCGGAGGCTGCACCAAAGAAGGCTGCAGTCCCACGGCTGCATGCCCCGTGGCGGCCAAACTCAAGCAGGACAGGGACACATACCTTGAATACTGGGTTGGACAAGGGCGGCCCACTGTACAGGCGAAGCCTCAGGATGACGCTGCTTCTTATGAGGACTTCCTAGCAGAAGCGGTAATGATTGGATCATACGCCGGAGCCCTGGAATTGCTGACTTACTGCTTCAGTGAGAAATGTCGCGCTTGGGTCGGCGCTCCTGCAGGAGAGGTCTGGAATTTCAATCCAACGGGAGCTGATCATAACATTTTCTTATGGTTCATTGGCAAGCACTATGAGTACTATAAGGATGCTGTCGAATCCGAGTGGGCTACCAGGAAGAGATGCCAGGATGAACAGGGAGGTTTGAAACCGCAGCCACTTCGTGGCAGCGGCGCCATGCGACGGCCCAAGCAACGCGCCGCTTCTCCTTGCAAGACTGCCCCTGCTAGGAGAGTACGCGTTTCGCTCAGTGACTTTGCTTCGACGGCATCCAAGACGAGTGGCGGGCCACATTGCGCTTCTGCTGACCCGATGGGCCGTGAGCCTGCGCTTGAGTCTGAGAAAGAAGGCTCCGAACCGCGTCCACACCGCGGCGGGGGCCCATTGGGTGCTACACTTAGTTCTGGGCTTCACGGTGGCGGCCATAAGTCTGCCTCTCTTCGTCTGTCGGATTTTGCATCTGAGCCTTCGGTTCATGTGAATGGCCCGATGTTGTGTAGCGCTTCTGACCCTGGTCACTTTGCCGATCCAGGATTGACCGTAAAGGATAGCAATCCGGATGAACAAGGACCCAACTCCTGCTCAACGGCCGGTCCCGAGCAGGATCAACCCCATAGGATACCCGACCCTAAGCTTCATGTGTTTTGGCCCACACCTGCTGAGCCTCGCATTCTTCGAAAAGATGCCGGAACTGAGGTGAGTGCCAGTACTGTCCTGAGGCCAGCCATTATTGCACCGAGACGACGGCTGCTGGGCAAAACGCGCCCCTGGCTATCGCTGAGCGCTGTGGCTTTGCCTGTTGATCAGCCCCCCAACCATGGGGGTACTTCAATGTCGCAGGTTGCTGAGGCTTTCGATGTGACTGAGCTCCCAGTCCCTAAGGACCAGCAGAATCAGCATCGGCAGGACCCACGACGTGGCAAGTCACACTATCTCATCGACGGGCAGTGCCAGGCGGTTTGTCACCTGTGCCCCTTTAGGAGTGTGCATGCTTCAGCTGCAAAGGCCAACCAGGCCCACGTTGCACACTACAAGAGTGCACATCCTGATGATGAGCGGCCCCTTGCACCCCGCCCTAAGCCCATTCAGCTTCGCGATGTCTCTGAGGAGGACCCGGCATGCATCACGTGGCAGTGCCGACTGTGTCATCTTGGCACGACTGAGGCGACATCCGAAGGCCGATTGCGCTATGCTGCCCGCGCCCACTTTGGCAAAAGTCACCCAAAGGCTGGGCGCAGGAAAGGACCGCAGGGCACCATGGCTCGCACAGTGGTCCGAAAGCGACTCCGAGCCAGTGCTAGGACCACGAGCCTGAATGCAGGCCTCTCCAAGCGCTGGCATCGTGATACGGATGGCTGGCGCATCTTTTCATGGCCTACATTTCGCCGCCGCAAGCGCCGGGATACTAGGCTCAGGTTTGGAGTTGTTACGGCTTGGCAGTGCGTTAAGTGCATGAAGACATCGCGCGGATGCAAACCCCAGCAACACCAGTGTAAACGAATCCCCGAGCCACGCAATGAAGCTCGGCTTAGTGTCCTCCAACGGGACCGCGAGGAAGCGATTGAGATGACCCGTAGCGGCAATGATTTGATGCAAGGATTTTCTGTACAGGACGTCACAAAGCTCTTTGATGACGCCATTCAGGCAGTTCACGATTATCAGAAGTGGTGTTCGTGAGCAATTACCAAGAGTGCGAGGCCCAGGTGGTATCCTCCCGAGGTATCACAGTGGGCACCCTCAACGTTGCAAAGCTGGGCACAGCTAGACTCAGCTCTGCTATTGGCCTTGCCGACGGAGCTGATGTACTTTGCCCCCAGGAGGTGAACGTCAATGCTCATAGCCGTGCTGGTTTCGAGCGTGTGGGCCGTGCTGCGGGCTATGACGTTTACTGGAGTGATTTTGATGATGAGCTTCAGGCTTATCGCGTGTGCATGTTGTGCCGATTGCCGGCTCGGCATGTGAGCTTTTTCCAACAAAACAATCGTTCCGTCTCGGTGATCGCTGAGGTTTCCGACTCCGAGAACCGCTTTATCAAGTTTGTTTGCACGTCGATTTATGGTCGTCCCGATGATGCTGAAGCTGCTCGTTCCTTGGCGGTCTTCGCTCCGTGAGCGGCAGGAGGTTCCTCCTCCCCCACCTGTTCTGGATTACGACAGTGTCTGCGAAGAGGTCGGCGATCAGCTGGTCCGTTCCTTTGCATCTGAGACTGAGGTCATTGTTGCGACGGATGGGTCTGCCCACCAGTTGGTGGCAGCTTTCTCGATTGTCTTCACGGATCATGAAGCTTCTGTGTGCAGCGGTCTCCCCTCGGAGGACCAAACAGCTTTCAGGGCTGAGCTTGAGGCGATTTACATGGTGATTCGTGCTGCCTTGCGAGTGTGGGACAGGCGCTTCCCTACCAGGCGCCTTGTTATAGTTTCTGATTGCCAGTCTGCCATTGACATAGTCCAAGGGGCTTTAGGTTCTGTACCGATCTTAGCTCGCCGGGTGCATGCTGACATCAGCCGAATCGCTCGTGCATTGATGTGGAGTTGTGGTGGGTCCCATCCCATGGCAAGCAGTCGCATCGCTTCGATACGAAGGGACGCGAAGCCCAGCTCAGGGCCTGGAATGCGCACAGACAGAGCTGCTGCTACTGAGATGCGCCGTAAGTGGCATGGCTTTCTCAGGCAATCGTGGTTTGTCCAGGAGAAGACGGACCATGACTGGGAAGTGGCAGCTGTTTCAGGCTTGCAAAGACCTTCACAGCTCTACCTGGACCACGTGGCTACCCTGCGGCCTCCAGCTGCAGGGAGCTCTTAGGTGTGCGACCATCCTGTGCGGCGAGGACACGTGCATCCTGCCGTACGCAACAAAACTGGGAACGCGTGCATCATGAAGCCGAAGGCGGGCTACGACTACCTGGCCACCGCCGCCCACTTCGCCGCCGAGTCCTCCACCGGCACAAACGTGAACGTGTGCACCACCGACGACTTCACGAAGTCCGTGGATGCCCTGGTGTACTACATCGACCCTGACAGCGAGGAGATGAACGGGCGGCTCACGAGAGGGGGCCAGCGAGCGGAGGGCCTCTGGAATGTTACGGCCGCAGACTTTCACAAGGCGGCCCAGGGGCGAAAAGGCTCTGCCGAGGGCCGCGAACGCCCAAGGCATCGAAGCATAGAGTGGAGACAGGCTTCCGTTGGCCGTGCCCGTTGTGCCCGTATGTAGTGCTGAAGAAGACTTGCCGTGCCATGTGTCAGGCGCGATATGTGCATTGCTCGAGCCAGCACGGTGGACAGGGACTCCCGGGTGCACAGCGTGCGCCAGTCGAGCTGTTCCGGACCCTTGTGAAGGATGAGCAGTGGGACTGGAAGTGTCCTCTTTGTGATTGGGGTCTTCCTTTGGGGACTCGAGGCCGAATCTCAGCTGCTGCCTTTGGGAAGGCTCGCGACCAGCATCGACGCTTGACTCATCGCCACCTTTCGAGGGCTCAGTTCATGAAACGTTGCAAGGCTCAGAGCTTGCGCAAGGCAGGCAATCGCATGTGCGCCAGGGTTCGATGCTGGAATGCTGCAGCGGCACGTCGGGCCCAATCCGGCGATGATCTTCAGGGATGGAGGCTGTTTCACTGGCCATACATCCACCAACGCTGGCAGGGCGACAAGCTGTGTGTGAAGGCCGCTTGGCTTTGTGTGCAGTGTGGGTTTTGCACTCGAGTCAAGAAAAGCAGAGGGCAACACGCAACGCGATGCGCTGAGCCAATCGACAACTCTGGCTACCGGCGCCGTCTTGAGCAGGACAGGATGGAGGCGCGCACTCTGGTGCATGGCATCTCCGACGAGCTCTTTGACAACATTTTTAGGGGCGCGAATGATGCGCTGAGCGGGGGAACCATGGAGCAGTGACAAGCTTCTTCACCATGAATGTGGGGCGCAACGCGGTCGTGAAGATTGACCCAATTGCATATTTTATGCGCAATTTTGGAGCTGAGGTTTGCTGCTTAATTACAAGAAGTGGATGTGAACCAGGCTTCTGGTGCCTCTTGGATTGCGACTTGGCGATCCCGGGGCCTGCATGCTTTTCTCGGTGACTGTGGTGAGGAGGGGGTGTTTCGCACTTCTATCCTTGCTCGTTGCCCGGGCCGCGTCATCAAACTGGATGTGCGGGATAGCAGCCGCTACACGGCTGTGTGTTTTGAGTTTCAGTTCGCCTCCGGGATCCGGAAAGTGATCGTGGTCAGTGTGTACAGCTACTTCGCTGACAAGGAGGCGGCTTCCGCGTATGTGGAGGAGATCGTTTCGTGCCTCAGGGCGCTGGGAACTGACTGGATGGTTTTGGGAGATATGAATGTGACGGCGGAGGAGGGCCCTATGGCGTCGCGACTTGCAGCTGGCATGGCTCGCCTCCTTGACGACCCCTTCCTTGCTGACTGTCCGCTTCCGGCCACGGCTGGGGGCACTCGGAGGATCGACTACGGGCTCACTGCTGATCGACTTCATCCTGTGGGCCTCACGTGGAGGGTGTGGCTGATCATGTGGCTGTTGGCTACACCTTTGACTTTACGGCTCCACCTTCTTGCTCGGCACCTCGGCGTACGCCTTTGTCGTCCGAGGCGGCTACCGAAACACAGTGGAGTGAGTTGTTTTGCGAGAACGATTTTAAGCAGTGCCTTGCTGATCGTGATGTGGATGCTGCTTGGACCATGCTCTCCAATGTGGCGGAGCGGGTCCTGGCACGTGGTGGTCCCGGCGATGCTGGCCTGCCTCGCTCGGCTGGTTGGCAGCCGCGTGCGCAAGCCCAGCGCAGCAAGGCGTGCAAGTCTTTCGAGCCGGTCTGTTTGGTTCGACTGCGCAGGCTTTCTCGACGACTTGTTCAGCTGCGGCGGCGTCCTGGTGATGCTCGACTTCGTGACATTGCGGCCCGGGACATTGCGGCGCTTCAGGAGCGATTTCCTTGGCTAGATCGCCTCGATCACTTTGGCATGGAGGAGCTGGCCCAATGGGTCTGTGACCAGACGGAGGAGGAGTGCAAGCTGGAGCGCGAGCGGGGCTTCACCAGGTGGCGCGCTTCATTGTCTTCTTCGATGAAGCGTCAAACTGAATGGATCAAGCGGCGGGCGGCTCTGAAGGTTGGTGCTTTGTGTCCTCGTCTCCAGGATGTACGTGACCTTCGGCGTGTCGCCATCCACCCGGCTGTGGTTGTGCAGCGTGCTGAGTCCGAGTGGGTGCCTCGATGGACTGCGCCGACCGTGCCTTCTGAGCCCGTGGAGGCGATACTGCAACAGCTGGGGTCATGCCAGGCCCAACCGGCGACGGTCGAGTTCACGGCTGACAAGCTTCGCAAGTGTGCTAAGCGCATGGTTGGCAAGGCCAGTGGTCCTGACGACTGGGAGGTTGAGGCGATGCTGGCGCTCCCTACTGGCTTCTGGTCTGCATTGGCCTCTTTGTGGCAGTGTGTCTACGAGAAAGCGGTGCTCCCTGGACGTTGGCGTGAGGCCAAGGTCGCTTTGGTGCCGAAGCCCACGGGTGACCACAGACCGATTTCGATCTTGAGTGTGGCTTACCGTGTTGGGGCTTCTGCTTTGGTCCGTGAGCTGAGGCCTTGGGCTGAAGGGTGGCTCGGACATCGCATCCTTGGGGGAGTCCAGCAGCGATGCGCCAGAGATGTGTTCATCCGCCTCTTCGAAGCAGCGGAGGACCCTGCCATGATCTTCATCGGCCAAGATGTGTCGAAATTCTTCGACTCTTTGTGCGGTTCACACGTTGTGCAAGTTCTCAGGCATTTGCAGGCACCGGCTGCGCTTGTGGAGCTCATCGGCGCCATCATGTCTGAGCAGTGGCGAGTGTTTTCGGCTGGTGGTCAACTTGGGGCGAACTGGTTTCGAGTTGACCGTGGTGCAGCTCAGGGCGACCCCTTGTCGCCGTTACTGGCAGCTGCTGTCATGTACGTCTGGACGGAGTACGTCGCCGCCTCAGGCGCCGAGTGTGCCACCTTTGTCGACGACAGGACCTTCTGACACCGTTGTGAGGTCGGAGTTCACCGCGCTAAGGCTTGCAGTGACGCTGTCGATGCTGCTTTTCTTCTGAAGTGTGACACTCGAAAGTGCCAAGTGGCTTCGTCTGGGCAGGCTGCTGGGCCAACGGTGGCGACACAGCTTGGCTACGACTTCGCGGAGGACCTCGAGCTGTTGGGTGTCTCCGTGCCTTTGACGACGAGTGGGGTTCCTGAACTGGCTCGCTACAACTTCGAGGCTGCTCATGCCAGGGTCCAGTGCATCAACGCTGTTGCTCAGTGTATGGTTCAACGCTCTAGGCATTTGAGGACGCTGGTTGTCCCCATGTTTGTGTGGGCTGCGGCTTTCGCCACGATCCCCAAGGCGGAGATTTCGAGATTGGCCAGTGCCATCCTTGCGGTCACCAACTACAAGCACGCCTGTGACACTCCGGCTTTGGCTGTGTGGGAGGTGATGGGATGGCATTGCCATCCGGGCTTTGCCCGACACTGGGCGGCGCTCCGTGGCGCCATGAGTCTGGCATGTCGGCCGCCGTGCTGGCTGGAAGAGGCTTCTCTGACTTTTGCAGCGAGGAAGTGGCCGTCGTTGCTCCCGGTCGCTGCGGAGGTGCTGCGCGAACTTGGTTGGTGGGCGGACCCTGAGGGTGCGTTCATTTGCAGACGGGATCGCTTGGGCACTTTGAGGCGTTATGCCATAGGCTTCGACGCGGAGGGTCTTGTTAGAGTGGCTGCAGGACTGGCACCGTAAGACTTTGTTGGCTTCGACTGCCAGGGTGTCGTCATCTCTTCACCGAGGTGAGACGGAGGAGCTGGCTCAAGGCTCTGCTTTACCTGGCGTTCCTCGCGGATCTTTAGTGCTCCTTCAGGGGCATAAGCAGTGCTACTTCGCGGCGACAGACCGAACTGCACGCAATTCGGCGATGGCTACTGGTTGCTCGGTGGCAAAGCTTGGAACTCCGATCGATCGACTCCCGAGTCGTCCTCACCTGCTGTGGCAGTGCTCCAACACTGCGACCTTGCGCCCTGGTTGCGCGGCGCCCACAAACCGTGCTGAAGAGCGCTTGCTGGCGCGTGTGGTGCCCGAGATGCCGGCGTCGCCTGGTGTCGTGGGCAGAGACATGGACATTGACAGCTTGGCGGCCCTCTTGGATGGTCGTTTTGAGGCGGAGGGCATTGCTTATGTGGGCTCCGACGGCAGCTCGGTGATGGCAGTGGCGGCTTGGTCTGTTGCGGTGCACGAGGCTGCCACGGTGGCTGGAGGCGTTGTGGGCGAAGACCAGAGCCCCTACAGAGCGGAGGTGGAAGCGCTGCTCAGCCTGTTTGAGGCCTTGAGTCTGTGTCGAAGAAGGGGCACGCTTGTGGTAGTCAGTGACTGTCAGTCGGCCTTGGCTGCTGTTCAAGGGAAGGGCAATGCTGTCAAGTTGGTTGCCAGGCTTTGTGAGTTACACTCTCTTTGCTGTGCTCGTGGCTTTTTGATCCACATGTTTTGGATTCCAAGTCATGGCAAGATTGCGCCTGCGCGATGGGTGGTGCCAATGGGAGGCGAGGCTTTGGCTCGTCATCTCAATGATCGGGCGGATGTGGCGGCTCGCGACCTTGCTGGCTCTGAGCTCCACCGGGCACCAGTGGCCTCCAGGACTTTGGCATCCTGTGGTCACTCTTTGAAAACGTTGAAAACCTGGAGGACATGTGGCGCATCCTGGGCAAGGGCACCAGCAACGGTGGCCTCGTGGTGGGCACCATCATCCAGCCCAAGCTCGGCCTGCAGCCCAAGCCTTTCGGCGAGGCCTGCTATGCATTCTGGCAGGGCGGTGACTTCAGCTACTGTGACACCACCTCCACGTCGGTTGTAGTGGGCTCGGTCTTGCGACTGAGTGCCAAGGTGATCCTGTTCTGGATGGCGATGTGGATGCTCTGCTTGGGTTTGCAGAGCTTCCTCACGCCATATTGGGCAATCCTTCTTTCGATCTGCTTTGGCGGTGAGATCGCGGCGTGGATTTACAAGATGCAGTACCGGGCCAGGTGGTGGGATCCCGGTCCATCCTTGACTCATTCGGGACGGAGGCCCAGAACACATACTGGGACATCTGGAAAGCACGAGCTCTTCCGGCGGGATGTGGCCCGTCGCTTCAAGCGCCGTCGCAAGGCACGTGGGATGCGCCTAGGTCGGCGACTCGGGAAAGTTTCGAGAAGGATTTCAGGCCGCACTTCTGCTGCCGCCTTTCGCCGTTTTGCTGGCCTGTGGGTGGCCAGACAGGCGGCTTTTGCGGCAGTTCGAAAGTGTGGCCGAAGTTTCCAGTGGCACAGGAGAGAGCGGCAGCGAGCCCTTGGCCTTTCCTGGCTCCTTCGTCAACGTGGGCTCCTGCGCGGACGGGATGCCCCAGGTTTCAGCTGCAAGGTTTCTTCCGAGGAGTTCGGTTTCCCTTGTGGCTCAGTTTCTGGACAAGTTCGAACCGCGGGGCGCTTTGGCTCAGCTTTTGGTTCTTTTGATTTTGGTGCTGACCGCCCTCTACGTGATCAGCAACTTCGTGGTCGAGAGCCTTTTGTACAGTGCAAGCTTTTACGGCAGGTGCAAGGCGGAGGATTGAACGGGGCCGGAGGTGTTTTGGCTAATGATGGCAATGAGGAGATGGATGGCGGCAGCAATGTTTCTCTGGCGCTTCCGCGGCCTGGGTGTGCTCTTTTCTTACGAGGTGGAGGCAGTGACATCGTTTCTCAGCAAGCACAAGGCGGTGGCTTGAAAGGGGCCGGAGGTGCTTTGGCTAGTGATGGGAATGAACTGCGAGATGGAGGGAGGGACGATTCCTTGCCTCTGTGTGCTTTTCAGTGTATTCCTTCTCAGTGTGGTGGAGGTCGTGTCACTGGTTCTTCGCACTTAGGTGGCGATGGTCGGAAAGGGGCCGGAGGTGTTTTGGCTAGCGATGGGAATGAAGCGAGGGACAAGGAGAGCGGCGACTCTTTGGCTCTCCGTGGTCTTCAGCATGCTCCTTCTCAGTGCGATGGAGGTCGAGACACTGGTTCACGACTGCTACAAGGCGGGCGGTGGTTCAGTTGGGGCCGGAGGTGTTTTGGCTAGTGACGGGAATGAGGTGATGGAAATGGAGAGCGGCGGCTCCTTTACTCCCCGTCGCCCGCATGCTCCCGCTCAGTGCGATGGAGGCCGTGTTACTGGTCATCGAAAGCTGCAAGGCGATGGCGTGGATGGGGCCGGAGGTGTTTTGGCCTGTGATGGGAATGCAGTGATGGACATGGAGAGCAAGGACTCTTCGGCTCCCCATGGTCCGCATCATGCTCCTTCTCAGTGCGACGGAGAGCAAGGCTCTGGTCTTCGCCCGTTGCAGGGCGGTGGTTTGGATGGTGCCGGAGGTGTTTTCGCTACGAGTGCAAGGGAGGAGATGGAGGGGGGAAGCATGGCTACTTTAGCCGCCTCGGCTCGTCGTGCTCTCCAGTGCATCCCTCCTCTCCGTGGTGGAGGTCGTGGCAAGGTTTCGGACGACTACGACATGCGCGGGGACAATGCTCTCACAGGACTCCTGCTTCAGTTGCTTGCAGCACCTCAGGCTAATCTTGCGCAGCAGGTGAAGGCAGTGTTAGCTAAGCATCAGAAACAGCAGAAGCGCCGATGGGGCGCTCACGGATCGCGGCCTGCTCCCCAGCCTGTCCCAGCGAAGCAGTCTTTCTATGGTTCCACTGCCTGGCGTGATAAGAGTGCACCGTGGCACTCAAATCATCGCGATGACTGGACTCCCGAGCCAGCTGCTAGTGCTCCTTGGCCCGCAAGCGGTCATGAGAACAGTGAATCAAGCTCTAAGCGCCGATGGACAAAGCGGCGGGGCGCTGCGGAAGCGCCGTGGACTCATCACATGTGGGCACTTCGTGCCGAGGATTGGGCTGCCCAGGGGGATGCAAAGTTGTATGTTACGAACTCTCTCGAGGACTTTGGGCATCAGCTTGATCAGGATGATGATGGGCATTAGGTTGCCCAGGTCGCCAATCTCGAGGAAGTGGCACAGGCCTGTGACATGGCGGCCAGTTCCAAGCAAGCGTGTGCAACTATCGTGTTGCAAGGTGCGGCCCTCTCTCAGGATCAAGTCACGGATCTCATGGAATCTTACGGCATGGTCGTTGCGCATACTAGGATCCCTGGCAAGCTTGGCTCCAAACTGAGCATCCGATCCTGTAACCTGTTCGGATTCGGAGCCGACTGGCCTCGCCTGCGTACCAAGAATGCGCCTACGGTGACTCTCGACACTGCTCGAGAGAGTTGGGTCCTTCGGCTTTCTGCCCATTGGAAGTATAATCACACCGATTGGAGCAAGTTTCGCAAGCAACCCGGGGCTCTCGCGCGCCGTTGGATGCAAGCTGTCTTGCCTGTGGCATCTGACAACATAGGCGACTCCTGGCATTGGCAAGAGGGTCGTGATGGCCTGCAAGGCCTGGTGCGGATCTTTGATCCAGACCCTGCCACTGCCGTGCTTCAGGCTTCGGGTTCGAGCCACGTTGACTCAGTCTTTTTCGCTGACCCTGTTGGAGCTCCACCTCCAGGCTTCGATGACTTGAAAGTCTTGTGGTTACCATGGAATGGTGACGAATCGTGGTTTGAGTACCTTCGAAGGGCTCGTGCCGAATCCTCGAAGGGAGTCGTGTGCGGCTCGCGGCAGCTAGGAGTGCGTTTGAGGCAGACGGATGCCAGTGGACTCCCACGGCTAAAATGTGGTCTTTGCGTTGGCTTCCGAAGGGCTCAACCCACCAGGATTTTGGTATCCTTGCGTCAGCCCTTGGATTCCACGAGATCGAGGTTCTGACTAAACTGGTGCGCCGCCAAGGCGCTCTTTTTGGACCTTCAGAGCGCTGCGCGCTGACGGTTTGGAGCTGGTCCAGGGCGCGTACGAGCAAGGGGGAATTGAGACGGAAGTCCAAGCGGTGTTGGAAGTCAGGAGACGAGGTCCCCGCACTGACAAAGTTTCCCTGGCGCCTGAGCGGCGCACCCGGGGGTCGGGTCAGACACTCTACCCCAGCCGCGATGCTGGAGCAGATCCTTTCGAGAGCCTCAATCTCTTCGATATGGATCTTGACGAGGAGGGTGACTTGACTGTGGACGACCAAACTGTGCAGCTGTGTGGTGCGAAACGGCCCGCAGGCCCGCCGGAGCCCAGCTCAGCTCGGCCTGCCTCCTCGCGCCAGAAAACGGAGTGGACGCCCACCGGGCGTGTGGTGCCCAACCTGGGGCATGGAGACTGTCTCTTCCATGCCATTGCTCAGGGCCTCACCGAGTTTGGGGAGCGTGGGTCTAGTGGGAAGCCTCGCTCACACAGGCAGCTTCGTGCCTTCGTTGTCGGTGTGTACAAAAAGCATCGAGATCAATACCGAGATCTGTGGATCAATCAGGGCCGTGTGGACCCATCGGGCACTGAGCAGCCTGAGTCCGCCACCTTTGAGGCGTACACCAACGCCATTGCTTCAGCTTTGGAACTCAACGCCTACTGCGAGGCGACTGCCACTGAGGCCTGGGTCGTGTCCGACGGCGTCGTGTACCACTTTAACAGACACGGCAAAGCCAAGGGATTGTTTTTCCGCCACAAAGATCGCCACTACGAGCTTTTGGTCGGAGCGCAGAGGGACCAATGGGTCGCCCGTAAACTTCAGCAAGACGAAGAGGGCGGACAAAAGTTGCCGCCCCTGCGCGGCGGCGGCACTTCTGACTGTGCTGCCTCCTTGCGTGCACCCGCTGCTTCCAGGGCTTGGAACCCTCGGTCAGGCGCTGCTTCTTCGCGTTCGCTGTGCTTAAGCGACTTCGCCTCTTCGAGAGCTTCTTCTTCTGCGGTGGCTTCAGGCCCAGTCAGTGGGCGAAAGACTCAGGCTCCTGTTTGCACTTCAGACTCGAAGGCTTTGTCAGCAGGCTCCAGGGCCGCACGCAGTGTCACACGCTCGCCTTGCTTGAGTGACAACGCCTCGGCGACAGCTTCCTCGAGGACAGGTTCTGGTCCGGTCAGAGTGCGACAACCACAGGCTCTTGTTGACACCTCAGGCTCCAAGGTTTCGTCAGCTGGCTCCAAGAGAGCCCGCAGTGGGTCACGCTTGCCCTGCTTGAGTGACTTCGCCTCGTCGAGAGCTTCCTCTGAGAGAGACGCTTGCTTAGGTCGTGCTCAAAAAACACAGGCTCCTGCTTGCAGTCCGCGTGTTCAGGACGGGGCTGTGCGGTCCTCAGCCTCAGTCTCCAAAGCTTCAGGTAAGCGAAAGGCCGCTGCTCTCGCTAACTGTGAAACGACTTCCAAGGGCAGAGACCAAGCCTCGAAGGTGTCTGGTCCGGTTCAGGAGCATTCTTGGCCGTGCCCCCACTGTGGGTGGCAGGCTAAGGGTGAGACGGCGCGCCAAGTCACTTGCGCTAAGTACCGACACCTGAAAAAGCATCACCGCGGCAGGCGCACTGCTACGCGTCACCTCAAGACCCAGTGGGTGGAGGCGCAGCATGGAGTGGGCCGCGGGCCTGGTGAATGGCTTTATCACGAAAGCTAGCTCTGTGGAGCTCGCGCGAGTTGCCCTTTAGCAATTCACTTGTATTAAGGCACTAGGGAAAAAACAGGGTTTGCACCTTATCAGGTGGGACGTCCAAGAGTTAAGGTGGGGGGTAGGGGGGGGGAGGGCCCCCCCCCCCTTCACCTTGTCATTGTGCGTTTTCCACTGATAAGGTGCGCTTCCCTCCCCCCCGTGCCTGGGATAAGGTGGAGGGGGGGGGGGCCCCCTATCATGAGGTCCCCCCCTCCCCCCCCCTCCTCAAGGTCCCTTGGTTTTGTTTGTGTCTGACGTTCGGCGACTGAAGTGCGGTCTTCTCTCCAGAGTTACCTCTAGTTGTCGTTCGCACATTACTTTCTCAAGAGTTAAATGAACGAGCAACGCCTGCACCCTTCACCGGCCCAAACTTTCCCTCCGCTACTGTCGTGCACATCGCTTTGCAGAGCTCAGCACCGGACCTCGTGCTTCTAGCTTTCGTGACCAGCTCTCAAGTGGCCTTTGTGCCAAGGGTCTGCCTAAGCTTACGGGTTACGTTAGACAGAAGAGCATTGCTGAGCACCTTGATCAGTATCATGGTGGTTGCTCGACTCGTGAGGCTAATAGAGCTCTGTTGGTTGCTACGGGGTCGGTGGTGGTAGGCGACAGGTCTGCTCAAGGTTGCAACCACGTGGTCCGGAGGCACCAGAAGCACCAGCACCTTGCTGACAACCTAATTAGTAGCGTGTGGTCACAAGATCACTTACGTTCCCCAGGCTCGCGGTTTGCGTCAAGGAGGCAGCCGAGCTAGTTGCTGGACCTGTCGTGTGTGTCTGCTTCGGTGCCACTCTCCTGAGCAGCTTGAGCGTGCTGCTGCTAAGGGCAAGTGTTTGGGCAAAGCGGCGAGAGCCGTTGCTCTCAGGTCTTCTGCTCTCGCTTCTTGCTGGAGGCTGAACGTTGCCCGTCGTCGTTCCTTTGCGGTCGCTTGGGACCTTAGTGCTGCGGAGCATCGCCGCCTGACGAGGAGGGCCGCTGACGCCGTTGTTAAGACTCGTGGCAAGAGCTGCAACCCGGCTGGGGGATGGCAGCGGGACCTGTGCGCTGAGAACATTGAGCCGAATCCCGGCCCGTGTGTCTCGCTCTTTGGGTGCCTCCGGCCTTTTCCCTTCCCTTTCCCTTGGGGTCTAGGCCTGTGGTTCCGCGGGTGCAACCAAGGGCCCGGCACTTGGAAGCGTGACCTTACGAGGGATGGGGACGTCGAGCCTAACCCGGGGCCCCACGCGGTCTCCATGCGTGGTGAGGCGGGTCACCGCTTGCACCTTTGCACTTGCAATGTTAACGGTGCGGGATCGTCTTTCCGTGCTCTCCGTGAGCTCTCTGGCTGTGACGTGTTAGTGCTGCAGGAAACACATCTTGCTGAGCATGACTTGGTTGCTTTCGGTCATGAGAGTAGGAAGCAAGGTTACCGTACGTGGAGCGTTGCAGCCCGTGTTGGCCGCGACCCTTTGGGCCGGCGGACTGTCAAGGGCGGCCTCGTGATCGCTGTGAAAGCTTCTCTGCCGGCCTTCAAGGTCTCTGACATGTGCTGTGCTGAAGCTGAGGCCATCACTTTGCAGTGCAACAACCTTCGCGTCTGTGGTTTTTGGCAGCGCCCTGAGCACGCCGCTGCCGGCGGCCTGGGACAGTACCTTGTTGACGTTGGCTCGGCCGGTGGACCTGTGGTCGCGCTAGGTGACTTCAACTTGACGCCGGACGAGAATCCCCTCTTGGACTCGTGTGCCTGCAGCCTCTTTGCTGCTCAGCAGGATGGGGAGTTGTTGCCCACCCGATGGTCGTCTGATCGTTGTATCGACTACCTTCTTGTGCTTGGTCAAGATCAGCCTTCTCATTTTCAGGAGCGTGCGCCGCCCGTGCAGGGGCGAGCTTGGCTTGATGAGTTGGCCCTCTCTGATCATCGTGCGGTTCACTTCGGGTTGGGTCTGCCTTTGGTTCGTCAGCGTCACAACGCCACGTTCAGGCCTTGCAACAAGTACCAGGCCCCGATCGACACTCGGCCTGCGCAGTGGCGCTCTCAGGTCGCTGCTGCCTTTGGCTCTCCTACTTCTGTCGGGGCCATTGGGTCCCAAGCTCAGCTCGACGCGGCGTGGAAAGTTTGGTGCTCCAGACACGAGGCTGCCTTTGCCGCCTGTGTGCCTGCACCCAGCCCCGACCCCCGTAGGCTACTCCTGCTCCTGCTCCTACTCCAACGCCTGCTAGTCCTACTCCTGCTTCTCTGACTACGACGACGGCTGTGACGAAGACGACGATTTTCCACTCCGAGGCCGACGACGCTGTTATTACTCCCGCATGATTGGGCTACCGCTGCTGTTTCGACTGCTGCTGCTCCTCCGACTTCTGCCACGACGATGACGAACTACTTCTGCGACTACAGGCTGCTGCTGCTGCTGCTGCTGCTACTGCTACTTGTATTGCTACTACCACCACTACGACTGTTACTACCACTACTACCACTACTGCCACTACTACCACTACTACCGCTACTACGGCTACTACCACTACTACCGCTACTACCACTACTACCACTACTACCACTACTACCACTACTACCACTACTACCACTACTACCACTACTACCACTACCACTACCACTACCACTACCACTACCACTACCACTACCACTACCACTACCACTACCACCACTACTACCACTACTACCACTACTACTACTACCACTACCACTACCACTACCACTACCATACCACTACCACTACCACTACCACTACCACTACCACTACCACTACCACTACCACTACCACTACCACTACCACTACCACTACCACTACCACTACCACTACCACTACCACTACCACTACTACTACTACTACTACTACTACTACTACTAGTACTACTACTACTACTACTACTACTGCTACTATCGCTACTACGACTGCTACTACTACTGCTACTACTACTGCTACTGCTACTGCTAGTGCTACTGCGGCTACTAGGAGGAGGACGACGCCTCCTGACGACGAGTACAGGGGTTGTTACGCGGCTAAATATTGTTTTTTCATGGGGCATATTGGAACTTATGGTGAAACGAGGCCTGCAGGGTGCTGCGGACGTCAGAGTGCTCGAAGCGCAGATCCGACATTGTGTCTCGGCTGTTTTGCGGGCCCTTCCTTTTGGTAAGAGCTAATGTAAGACTCACTAGCAGCAATCCTCGAGTGCACTTGCTCAAGGGGCAGCGGCAGCTGCAAAGATCACGCCATCCGAACTGCGAGCAGAGCAAGGGTTCTAAGTACAGCACAGCTGCGAAATATTGTTTGGACCGTTCAGCGTCCCGTCTCAGTTCACGAGTATCAAGTCCGAGACGTTTGCAAAGGGCTGCCCCGGGCAACATAACAGAGGTGCTGATGCTTACCACCGCGAAGACACCTAGCTCGGTGCTACATCTGTTTTTGGCATCCTCCTTGCTCTGGGTGTCTTGCTGTGTGCAGGCGAAGCCGAGCTCCACAGCTTGCCGCAACAGATTCGGAAAGCGGAGGCGATTCAGTTCAAGGGCTCAAGGGGTTGAAGATCTCGAGCCTTGGGGCTGTAAATCCACACTCCGGGAATCCCACTGATACCTTTGACACATGCGGTGTGTGTCTGGGAAGGGTTTGCCTGTGCAACCTGCAGAAAGTGGTGTTCGTTGGTGAAGTGTTGCCACCGAATCTGCTGTTGGGTAGTCTGAAGATTCGTTGTCGTGCAGCCTTGCCTTCCTGGTGCGAGTAAGAGTCGGAAAAAACATACAAGACTAGCCATGTGATCCTTGGCAAGTGTGTGGAGAGCGAGCGAAATGTTTTGGAGGTTGGTCGCATGATCATTCGTCTCGGAGAACGAACCGACAGCGTATGAAACATTCCGAAGTACAGCCTTCGAACCGGGAACCTCATCTTTGTGCGTCTGTTTACATCTGACAGCCTCAAGTCCGAAAGCTTAATCGTCACATTCTACAGGACCTCTAGGAGCAAGTAAACGATGTATGCGTGGTTGTTCGGGAGTGGTCTTTTCCACCATTCGCGGTCACGGCTTCCGTCTCCGCTGCTGAGAAGATAGGACCTTTGCCCTTTGCATTTTGCGGCCCCTGCAAGACGGGACCTTTCTTTAGTGGGGAGCACGATTAAATAAGATTATAAAGAAGGGGTGTGCTTAAGCCTCGAACCGTGACTTGCTGGAAACCCTTACGGACTCAATGATGCCTGAACCCACCCCCAAACATGTGAAACCTTCCAACAGAAATTTCTCGACGTCAGA